TATTTTTTATTATTTTTTTTTTATTATTTTTTTATTATTTTATCATTTTGTTTTTTATTTATTTATATTTTATTTTAATGGTTTTATTATATTTATAATAAATTAGCATTTCAAAAATATTGTGAATAAACATATTAATTTTTTTTAGATAAATTCTTTTTTTTTTTATATATATATATATATATGATATTTGGCTAGGTCGGAAATATTTGATTTATTTTAATTTTTACCCACCTGCGCACTATATCAAATCCCGGCGGCCATCTAATCGTAGCATGATTCAATCTCCGAAAAAATTCTAAAGACCGACAATGCGCCTCTAATGCCACTTTTCAGTTACTCTTCGTCATTAGCTATCGATAGAGCCAAGAAGCATACAAATACAATCAGTAGAAGTCGAGAAAAGTAGAATTATATGAATTTTATTTTTTGAATAAATATTGATTTCTCAAAAAAAAATAAGAAAAATAATAATATTATAAATGCCGACTGAAACCGATATTTTTTATTTATTTATTTATTTTTTGGTATCTTGCGTGCCCTTTAACCGAGGCGACAGATTGTTCAAATAATCTCAATTACAAGAGGTATATATATATATTTGATATTCTTTATATTTTTTGTGGAGAGGTTGAAAAGTTGTAAAAAAATATTTTCAATGCAGTCATTGGTGCAATGATTCCAGTTGAGGAATGAGGACGGGGGTTGTTTTTTCAAGCAGAATAAACAAAAATAATACTCTTATTTATTTATTTATTTATTTATTTATTTTATTTTTCTTCTGTGTGCATCTCTTTCAATAACCATACATATTCACATTAACTTGCCATGAAAGTTACAATTGAAATTACTACAATCATACACATGCGCACATGTACGCACACACGTATTTTACCAAGAACATCTCTAAAAATATATTATATTTGTTAAAAGCGCAAGCTTTCACCAAGACCACGAGCAAGTTTTGATGTGTATGAATTAGAAGCCAATTCTTTGCATTCGTTCTGTATGATAAAGCCGTATTATAATAAATATTTTTTATTTTTTATACTTTGTAGGCTCCCTGTGGTATATATCGGCGATAACAGAGATAATTGGTAGATGTGTATGTTTGGAATAGTAAATAATAAGAAGAGTTGGCGTGTACAGCGATGGTCACTAGCGTTTAGTTTGTGGGTCTACACGACGATTGAAAAAAAAAAGACTTACTGTAAAGGTTTAATTCTCGTAAGAAAAAGATGGTAAGAATAGCATCTGTTAATATTGTTTTTGTAGAAAGTATATCTACAAATAAAAGCTTCCCTTTCATGTTAAGTCGAGTAAGGATAAAGGTGCGTTACATATCATAAACGAAAGTAAATTTATCGATGGAACAAGTTTCGACAAATAAATGGTCTTTATATATCATATATATGCTTCCGGGGAATATTTTTTACTAATTACGATGGGTGAAAAAATAGCGCACAATATTTTTAACTAAAATGAATTTGTATTGTGAAGATAATCTACTTGGAATGAGAATAATATCTGTGATGGCACAATAAATGGAACATGTTTTGAAAAGAACCTAAAAATAAGTTGCTTGACCAGAGAAAGTCTATCATTTTTTTTAAAAAAAAATGGAAGAAAATCATATAATTACAAAGAGGTAAAGTATAAGACTTTTCTGCCCCCAGAAAAAGGTGTATGAACAGGCAGTATGTATCGCAAGAGAAGTAGACACTTGGTTTATCTCCCGTGTCACATGGGTCAATAAATTAATAAACAAGTAATATTTAAATTTTGGGCCACAACAATTAAACGCTGCTTTTCCCCATTTTGATTCTTTGTCTAGTTAGAATCCTGAATGATCTTAAGAGTAATAAAAATAAATAAGTTATACAACTGTGGTAATGTATTTTAAGAGATTACAACCATCGACCTCAGGGAGGCCAAAGTGAGGATCCAATGACTTCCAAATATTTTTTTTCTCATTCGCATTCATTGTCGTCCAAATTACCTTGGTCTCATCCCGCACACCACAGGTATTGACGGTTTTTTTCTTACTATTGCTATCATTATATACTTGCTGTATACTTTATCACGCGTTTCTTCACTCTACACAAAAGTCGATGTAACTTGATAGATATTAAAAAAGTATTTATTTATATGTGTTCTCTAATCGTTTTTAGGAAACATAGATGTATTGCACTGAATTTAGAAAGAAATAAAGAAATAATGACAAAGAGATGGTGTTGTCTGAAATTGCATCCAACCCCAATTAATATTTGGTACAGTTGACGTTTGTGCGCGTGAATAAGCAATATAAAAGAGAGGAATAACCACTTGTCTTTAAATATTAACTAAAGAATTGTAAGTAAGCTGGGTGGTGGCGGTGGTGGCGGTAAATAAGTTTGATTAGATACAAGTGTACCAAAACTATTCATTTTCTCGACAGTTATTTTGTGTTGAGAGTTCAGTTACTTTTATAAAAGAAAAAAATGGTAATAAATTCAAAGCATTATAAATTCATTGTTATTTGCCTATGTTCTACATCAGATTGGTTCGCGCAGGTGTGAGCGTGAGTGTGAACACAAAATGATACTCCTCGAATTACAGTAATCATTTACTCACGACGAAAACCGATAATTGTTCATGTGTTGTGTCACTGTGTTTTACTTGATCTTTTGGACCATCAGCTAACCAGTCAAAAGGTTATATTGGCGCTACTCCAAACGATTCGCAATGTTTAATGTATTGTCTAGAAAAAACAAGGAACGAAAGTATTTCTATACATCAAAACTGATTGAACCTACCCTTTTAAGAATTTATGTCTGCAAGCTTGGAGAAGTATTGTGCCTCAATTTGGAACTCAAGATCAGAAAATAAATAAACCTGAACCAAGCTAAGAGGGTTGGCAACATCTATATATACCCATGGATATAATAGATCCAATTTTGCAACAAATTGACCCGTAAACTTTTGGAGCTCTTTGTATACTATTCTCAGCATTAATACACGGGTGTCAATCTTTATAGTTGAGGAGGTAAAGTTTATTTATGTTTTTCTGTTATAGTCATTACTGTGGTTTTAGAAAGTTCACGTTTGTTCGTCCCGGACAAAATATTATGTGATCCTTGGTGGTATTGGTTTAACGAGTCAGAGGAAGAGGTGTTCATTGACTATCACACATCCTAAGACTTGGATGTGTTTGTATGTGTTAAAGGTGAGTGGATACTTCTTTTGGTTCTCCATATTAGAACACTCTGTAGATTTCACTAAGCCTTGTATTTATCTATGTTGTGAGCCAGTGTTTTGAAAACAGCCGAAAACGAATGCAAAATTGAATGTCGTATTTACTCGAGCCTAAATTTTATAAATTGTGTTTATGCGATTGTAAGAGCGTAAAAGATTTGTGATAGACCAATGCTTATTTTCCTGACAATTAAGTCAAGCAGCTAAAACGGTGCCATTTTCTTTCTTTCTTTTTTTAATGGCCACTCGAGTTTCAGATATATTGACCAAATTGGATCCACCAAAAGTTGTAAAAGAAAGGTAATAATAATATATATACATTTTGTTGGCCGTTTATTTCTATATATCTGCATAATCGCCTTTGTTGCTATCTACAAGAACCTCTCTAACAAGAAAGACAATATATCTTGCTTTCACTTAAAGAATACAATTGCTGTTACTGTTATTATTACTTTGTTCCACAGGACATTTATTATTTTAATTGAATATGCAAATGGTCAATTGGTACGGAGAGCCTTTCGTTTACTATAGGAGTATATATATAGTGATAAATAATATGAAAATTAATCATTGCTTCTCAATATTTTTTGAGCTTTGGATTACATAGATAAATGTAAATACTACAGAATAATAAAGAAGCAATAAAAGAATAGAGATTAAATAACATCGAATATTTGCGACTACAAAAATATACAGAATTGCTTTGTATACTGGTATTCTAAATACGAATGTGTGGAGGCTGCTGTTTCTTTATTTCAAGGCATTAGAGCTACAAAGTACTTCTGTCGCCCATATCAATGCCCTATATTGATAGCATCTCTGTAAAGAAAAATACCCTCAAGAAGTATATAAACATGGGAATAAAAATAAATTGCTAGAAATGTATTGTTGACTATTTTTACCTCTTGTAATCAAGATTTATATATAGCAGCGTACTTTTCTTATTCTTTGTACTGGGAGAATTGCTCTAACAGAAAAATGGTTAGATAGTTAACTGCCAAGACTTTACCGAAACTTACAAATAAGTGCTGTTCAAATATACATCTAATAATTATACACATTTAAGATATAAAATAAAATATAATTAATCTGAATAAAATTGGCTTATTTTAGGGCTAAGCTACTAAAAGCCTCTTTTTATTGGGGGGTTTCTTTTTTTTTTAAAAAAAAAAACTTTTATATTGAATATTATTCAAATGGTAAGTAAAGCATTGCTGCATCGAATTGTCAAGCACCGAGAACTGTTGAAACCGCTTAAATGAGGGAAATTACTCTATTTCAATAAAAATAAAAATAAAATAATATTATCTAATAAAGTTATTAAAATCCATTATATATTTACCAAGCTTTTATTATTTAGCGTTAATATCATTATCTTTGGTACCATTATTAAATAAACGTGTAATATGTTTTGCTTAAAAATAACGTTTTTCTTTATTCTCCAATTTTTCAAAAGAATCTATAAATCATTATTTTTACGTAAATGTGTTTGTAGTAAAAAAGACAATCGATATTTATTGAAAGGTAAATCAAGTAAATTAGTCTGGCTCTTTATTTGATAGTCAATTTGGAAACTATCTTCCTAATGTATATATTTATATTTATATTTATATGAATATGAGTGAGTGAGTGAGTGAGTGAGTGAGTGAGTGTACATGTTTTTTTTTGGTTAAAAAAATTAATTAGAAGAATATGAAGAATATGAAGAATAATAAAAATAATAATATGATAAAGATAGCAATATATATATATGTGTGCGTGTGTGTTTAATGCTCATTTACAAACAGTGGGTCCAGGCTCAACGGGTCAACATCAAATGGCTGGATCTCTAATTCGCGCGCCCAGACAAACGAATAATTGTCCCCATTTTGTAGTGTTACGGATGTTTGATCAGAGACCGATATGGACTGGCTAGTCCGTGGTGTGGCCGCTATGCTTTCTTCGGGATCTTCAAACAATGTGATAGAAAACGGTGAAGGCAGAGGTACTCGCGAGGACGCCTGGAGTCGTAAATTGGCCGGTGGTGTTTTCTTTTGCTGGGTTACAGAAGGATCCTGTCTTCTCAAGAGAGAAAAGAATGACCGATTCCGACCTGTCTCAAGTGTCAAACTTTCTCTTGGGGATGAAGTCACGAACCCACTTATGGCCACTGAGAGACTATCGTCCCGAGACAATCTCGGTTTGTCAGAGTAATCATCGCTACTGTCATCAGTGGGGCAAAGGGACAATGGGGGCAAGAAGGATAGATCAGTCGATGTTGAGGATCGGATCATGAGGTCCGGAATGGCCACAATCGCACGTCGATTGACATTGTCTTCTTGTGTCTTGTGCATGTCTCGAGAGAAAATCTTGTCAAAGTGGATAATAAGATCACGGAAAAGTCGCTGAGGATGCTTGTCGTGGATATTCTTTGTAGATTCTGTTACTGGGCGCAACAAAATTGGTCCAAACAAAGAAGCCAGTGCATTGAGACGAAAGCTGTCTTTCTTGAACAGTCTGTTGAGGTGAGGAAGGAAAACGAGTACGAAATTATATATAAAAGAAATTAAAAAAAAGAATAGGTGGAGGAAAGGGAAGGCAATATTTTTTTTTGTTTTGTTTTGGAGAGAAAATTTCCGGGTAAGCCAAGCTATGTCTTTGTCTTTTTTTTTGTTTTCTTTGTCAAGTTTTCTTGATCAATAGATAGTGAATACTTGCGTGTGAAAGTGGTAAATTATGGTCTTTAAGGTATAGAAATTAGCAGAAGCTAATGTGGTCATCATCTTGGCTACAGAAGTAATTCGACATTCTTCTTCGATACTCTGTTCATTATCTAGATAGATAGATAGATAAATAATATATAAAGTCAGAATTAGTACTCTTGTTCTTAGACAATATTCTTTTATATTGTGTTTCTATTTTATGATAATTTTAGCGTTACGTTGGAGGTATATTGTCTTTGCAGGCTCATAGAGCTCAAATGTCAACAGACATTCGGGTAATTCCAAAAGGTAGAGTCGTACAAGAGAAGCAAGTACCAAGACATCAAAGCGCTCTAGTTTGTCTAAAGCTGTCTTTTCTGGTGACACATTGAGTTCTTGACGGGCGGCGTGAACAAGATCTAGAGGCAGCATTGTTGTCCATGTCTTTTCTCGTTCTATGATTTTCAACAGCAGCAGAATAAAAATAATATTCAGCAAGAGTTAATAATGAAGGCTATGAACAGGTTTTGTGTGATATTCACCATCTTCATGAAGATCGGTTGTAGCTAATTAAAATGATAATTAAAATAAAATGGTTATTGTGTGTGAGTGTGAGTTTATCATATCGAATCTAAAAAGATACAAAATATAGATATTGTTTTTAACAGAACGGTAATTACCTGAGGCAATAGAGTTTATTGCATTGGCAATAAACGGTGGTACGAGGGATTGGTTGTACTGAGCTACCTCGTCCAAAGCAACTCCAAAGACTTGATCTTATTTGTGTATAAAGAAATGAACGTGTAACCATGAGCCACAATGGGTTTTTAGTAGTAAGTTTTTGATTTTTTTGTAGATATCATATAATAAGGTAAACATGAAGAAGAAAAAGAGAGTATTTATATATTAACAAGAAATAACTTACCAACAGCAGGTCCTTCATAATGATTTTCATACAATATTGGACGAGGACAAAATCGACCTGTACGATACTGCTCCACAATAAACTGGACTTCTTTGTCTGGACGAATGGCTTCTTGGTATATATTGATACAGTCATAGGTCTCGCTGAACAGTGGCAGTGTATTGGCAAGCAAAGTTGTTATCGTGGCAAATACTATATTGTGTGGTACATTATTATTATTAGAAATGAGATTTGGAGCAATTTTGGTCTATTTTTAAATTTTCAAAAGGAAACCAAAAAAAAAATTTGACCAAATAACAGACAATTTTGAAAGAAAAAGAAATACTTTATTATATATATATATATCTTTTTTGCTCGTGGTTACTTACTTTGCTTCAGGGTTTCGATACGCTCTAATTCGAGGTTCTCCATATCATCGTAATAAGACGACTAAAAGAGCAAAAACCAAATTATGGTGTGAGAATTAGATATAAAGATATAAAGATATATCGAATTAATAATATAACAAATAGCTAGTGTAGTTATTATTATTATGTGGATCTTAAAATTTCTATGCACTGTTTTTCTATATTTTATACTCACCAATGATTCTTCAGTCTGGAGTCTCATTTTCTCGGCTAATTGGACACTTTCACGATAGACTTTTTCGGCCATCATCATTTCTTGGTTTGCGAGCTGGAATTGCTTTTCCTGGTTTCGTTGGCTGCGTTGTCCGAGTCTTCCGAGCAGGCTAGTGAAGCTTCCGCCAGAATAAGTCAGATTACTGCTGATGCTGGCCGTGGGGCTCTTGAGGGGTTCTGTGAGATCGAGTGACTCGGCCATTGGAAAGTGATATCCTCCAATGCCATGCGGATGCACGCTGTAGATTGTGGTGTCGAGTGGTTCGAATCTACAGGAATTGCCTTTGAGAGGCTGAAGCATCTGGAGCTCGACGAGCTGGTGACACACTGCTATTGCTTCTTCGGTTGAGCTTCTGGGCGGCTGAATGTGTGGGTTGGACAGGGCAGCCAGGTGGTCTTTAATCCAGTCCAGGATAAGTTTGCCGTCCAGGTCGCCTGGCCTTTCTTTATGTAACTCGTCCAGAAGGTGCGCAATTTCCCAGTGGGGATGTTTCGCAGATCTCCCGGAAAGCGTGTGATGCAAGAAGCTGACCGAGCGTTTTCTGGAGGTCGGAGTCAAAGATGAAGAGGAAGACATGGTTGCGTTGCTGTTTCTGTTACTGGTGTTAGTACCGGTCGAAAGCGAGGGCATGAGAGGGTCAGATGGCCAGAGACTGTCGAGGGTTCCGCATTTGACATGATAGGCCGACTTGGCCAACTCCACTTTCTGAACTGCCTGTTCAAACGCAGAAATCTGCTTGTCCACACGAGATTTACTCTGATCCACGAGCTGTTTGTAGTGGCTCGAGAACCGTGAGAGAGGCTCGAGTACATCGTCTGTTAGGCTTTCGACACGAATTCGATGTCCACGCGCAGTTTCCTGGCTCTCGTCTTTGATTTTCTGGAAACATCTTTTGAGTCCGCCACCAAGATCTCTTTCGAATGCTTTGGGTATGTTGGTGTTGCTAACGTTGCTGATGTTGCTGGTCTGACTACTGATATTAGTACTGGTGCTGGTGCCGGTGCCGGTGCTAGTGTTAGGTTTGCTGATAACAATGGACTTGAGGTGGTCTACATAAGCTTGTTCAGCCGCCAACCGCCGTGTTACATATTCGGCGATCGCTTGGTTTTCTTCGGTTGATTGGGTCAGTTTTTTGTAAAGAACATCGACACCGTAAGAAAAATTTGGGGATCGGTCAACAGAGGCACTGGGTGACCAGAATGATGCCTGAAACGTAGAAGGCTGCATAGTTGAATAAGCAAAGGAACAAATGAGAGTAGAATGCAGACCAACTGAAAAATGAAAAAAAGCGATAAATTAAGATAAAGGATGGTTTACAAAAAAACAACAATAATTAAATAAATGAAAAGGCTATATATTTTTTATATATTTTTATTTTTGGTTACTATTATCGTTTGCTCTTGATATATTTATTATTTACTGTCACGCAACATAACCATAAATTGCAGAGTATAAAAGTAAAGAGCTTGCCTGTTGTTTTGTTACGAAAATCACAAGTTTTTATTTTCAAAAAATAAAATAAAAAATTAACACATACAAAATAGGAAGAAGCAGAAGCAGAAGCAGAAGTAGTAGTAGAAGAAGAAAATAGAGTATGTTTTCTAACATGAATTGATTAACTATTCTAGGCCAATTGTTTTTTTCTTCTTATATATATACACTCACAATCAAAAACGTTTCGACCCCCGCAAAAAATGCCTAAAAAAAAATCGAAAAAATAAAAATAAAAACATTGTTTTCTCCCAATATTATTAATCAAATCCAACATGCAAGACGCAAATTCAACAGAAAACACCCACGGATCATATGAAAAGGCCGATCCCTATAAATACGGATGCATCATGTACATGCATTAAGCAAATTACGGGGCGACCCAGATTTCATTGGTGGTTGGCATGAGTCTGTCAACTGTCAAGTACATCATTAAGAGAGTGGACGAGACAGGATCGCCCGAGCCAAGAAAAGGGTCCGGAAGACCTAGAAAGATTGACGAGAGGACAGAAAGACACCTTGTTCAAATAGTTCGTAAGGACCCCTTTGCCTCATTTTCTAGGCTAAGGGCTTCCTTAAAGAACATGGAGGTATTTGTCTGCAGAAAGACAATAATCAGTTGTCTGAAGCGTTTGGGCTTCGGATCATATATCGCAGCTCACATGCCAGCTTTAACCGAAAGCCACAAGAAAAGAAGGCTGGAATGGGCCGGTGAGCATGTGAATTGGACAGATGACCAGTGGAGAGGTGTAGTGTGGTCAGATGAATCACGGTTCACAGTTGAGGGTAATGATGGAGGAGCTAGAGCTATCAGGAAAGTCGGTGAAAGGTTCAAGGAAGAAAATATCATCGAAGGAACCAAGTGGGGGAAGGGTAGTGTGATGATTTGGAGCTGTTTCTGGGCCGGTGGTTTTGGCCCTTTGGTGTTCCTAGATGGTAACGTAAACCAAGACCAATACGTGAACACTTTGGCTCAGAACTTCCTCCCTTGGTTCCAAAATCTTTCGTGGGAACAAACCAGAAGCTTCGTGTTCCAAGAGGACAACGCCAGCTGTCATACTGGGTCGTACTCGAGGTGGTGGAAAGATAGCCATGAGATCCGAGGTTTTGACTACTGGCCCGCTCAAAGCCCGGATCTCAACCCCATCGAGCATCTCTGGTGGGCTCTCGAGAGGCGCATGAGTGACGAGAGGGCCAGTATTAACAATGTTGAAGATCTGAAGGTTGTAATGCAACGAGAGTGGCGAAGGATAGATCTCGAACTTTCGTCAACTTTGGCCGGAAGCATGCAGCATCGATGCCAGGCTGTAATTGAGGCCAAAGGAGGTCATACAAAATATTGATCTTTTATTTTTTTCTATATTTCAATAATAAACATATATATAATCTTTTATTTGAAGTTTGAATGCTTTAGCTTTTATTACTGAGGAGCAGTTGCATGTTGAATACATGCCATGATTTCTCTCATGCATTTTTTGGGCTCAGAGGTCGAAACGTTTTTGATTGTGATTGTATATATTATTTTGTTGTTGTTATAACAGATTAGTCTATGACATCAATGATGATAGACTGTTGTAGTGCTAATCAATTAGGCTTGATTTGATTCTTGTAAGACTGTTATTAAGTGATAGTTTCGTAATGGCAATATTTTATATTTAAAAGTATATGTTGTCTTGTAGATTTATTTATAAGAAGAAATATAAGCTTGTAAGATTTGATTGGAAAAGGAGTAGGAGTTGGGAAATTGTAGGCCATTTTGATCGGTCAAAAAGGATAATGTACATAAGGGGAGTAAGACAATAATAATATATAGGGTATAATACAAGCAATGCTGCAAAATATAAGAAAAAATATATGAATAGTAAATAACAATAGTAGTAAAGATAGTAGTAATGGAAGCAAAGTGAGTGTGAGCATAAAACAAAAAAGAGGCGTACATAATAACTGTTTTTCTGTTTTCTGCCTTTTGGTTTGTTTTCAAAGAGAACAGAACCGCAAGAACAAACAAATTAAATGTGTAAGGAAAAAGGAGAGTATTCTTGGTCTTATTCTTCCCTTTTCTTTTCTTTTGCTCGATTATTTTGTTAGTAAGAAGGAAGGAAAGATTAGGTGAGAATTGTAAAAAATAAAAAAAAAAGCAAAAAGAAACTTATTTTGAAGATGTCCATTTCATAGGCCTTGCACCAGTCATGTCATAAGAGGCATCGTCAGAACCAAACGAATCAATGGGTCCTATGGGGGACTCTGGGTCATTCAAGGTGAGTTCCTTTGAATCGTCTTCGCTAGACCGATTGCTTCTGCGTCTGGTATTGTAGACCGTCCTGCCACCCTTGACTTGCTTGTTGGCTCGGCGAGGAGAAAATCTTCTGACACTGGTGGTCAGTTTTCTTGTTTGTTCTCCGTCTTCATCTTGCTGTCGTTGTCGTCGTCGCTGTTGCTGCTGCTGCTGCTGTTGGGAAGGATAGGGTTCTGAGCTTCCTTGAGGAGAAGAACAACCGGTGCGTGATCGGCGACGCTCTGACTGACTGGATTTTTTGTATGTGAATGGGTTGGTTGACATCAACGACTCATACATATGATTAGAGCTTTTTGGTGATTCTACTCGGCGACGCTTTGTACTACGTGGAATGCCTGGAAGAGAAGATGACTATAATGTATGTATGTATATATATATATATATATTTATGTAAGTAAAGATGTATACATACAGACATACATATATATGTATATATATAAAAGTAAAGACGAAAAATCCGAGAAAGTAACAAATAATGTACGAAATGGATTGGAGATAAAGATCACACAATATCTCAAATTTGTGATTCACAATTCACAAGTCATTCATTCCATCGTATCTAAGCTTATTTTATTTTTTTTCTTCTTCTTCTTCTTACTACTATTATTTTGTATGTGTATATAGTGTGTATATAGTGTGTGTGTATAGTGTACATATAGTGTATACATATATTGCGTATATATATAATATATATATAAATAAATGATATGCATCTAGTGTGTGATATTTACCATGAGACTGTTGGTGTGGGCTTCCTGAGGACTGTTGCTACTACTTTTACTGCTTTCTGCGTCTCCGTCGGCCGATCCGCTGGGAGAGTTATTATTTCTGTGAAGATCCCTGCTAGAGCTGGAATCCACCATGCTTCCATTGCACAACTGTTAAGTCGGTTGGACAACACTCTGGCAGTGTAAAAGCATACCTGCTGGTTGATCCCTGTTTGGCTCGTTGTCTTGCTCGTCCAATCTGACGATTGTTGGCTTCTTGCTTCGACGTGAAATCCTTGAGGTAAGCTTGGTATTTCTAAGAATATAAATGTGATAAATAACCCAAGATTACAATTGAAAGAGAAAAAAAAATGTATATGTATATATACACATATAAAAGGGCTTCCTGTTCCTGTTTCTTCTTACTCGAAAGAATATTGATAGTAATAATGATAGTAATGGTAATAATGATCAAGACCATAATTCTCATCATTATCATCATTATCATAATAGTGTGCCGCTTTTTTTATCTTTTTTTTTTCTGTTTTAAGAAGCACTGAATTACTTTGTATTCTGGTGTTTGTCTGTAACGTTCAAGCGCAGAGATATATTCATCCTTTGCCTGCATAGCAGTGCGTTCATACGACTGTTTTTCTTCATGACTCAGGTTCTTCCACTGGTCTCCGACAAACTTGGCAATTGTGGCAAATGACATGTTCTGGTCCCTGAGCTGAGCCCTGGCGTTGTTGGAGAACATGATGTATGCGGACGGTGGCTTGATTGGCGCATGCTTGTCGCTTTTTGGATGGCGTCTGTATTTGCGCTTGGGTTGGTTGCTTGGGGTGTCTGTCGAGGCTTCGTCGTCGTCATTGGACGAGAAGCTGTTGCTTCGTATGCTGGTATTATTGGTGTTGGTGTTGGGATTGGCATTGGTGTTGATCTTTCTCGGCACACGTTGGGAGGAAGAGGATGCGGTATCGACTGAACTTGGGACGGTGGAGGACATTGAGCCATATCCACTTGTGTGTGCGCCGTGTGAAAAGTGTGTGGCACTTCCGGTAGTACTGCTGTTACCACTTATACAAGAACCTCCATTGCCATTATTGATATTGTTGTTATTGTTCATGCCGTTGTTGTTATTTCCACCACAGCTGTTACCACTATTGATGTTGTGGTTGGTATTGCCGTTGTTGTTATTGCTGCCGATACCAACACCGAGACCGATGCCTCCCATTGATCCATTGTGTGATCCAATTAGACCCTTTCCGATATTGTTTTGAGTAGAGTTCATTCGATGGTCTCTGAGCATACCACCGTTGCTGTTATTGTTATTGGGCGCCATTGGCAATGTAGTACACATAACTACCGGGGAATCAGCTTAAAGTGAATACAATAAGAAACATTAATTGATGAAAGCCAAAAGAAGGTTTTGTCTTTTGTCTTCTTCCAAGGGTAGACCGAACAAGTGACCACAAAATGATAATAATAAAAATATTCTTCTATTGATCTTTACTGTATATAAATAATAAAAGTACTTACATGAGCGGAGTGGGTTAATATCCAGAGGCTGGTTTCTTGGAACACCTTTGGCAGAAGCAATCTCCCTTTGAATTACCTAACAAATTAAAATAAGTAAATAAAGACTGAATCCGATTAGAGGGGTTTATTTTATTTTATATAAAAAAAAAAGCTAATATATATACAGAATCCCATTACATACCCTGCGATGTCCACGTTTGATTTGCATGTCTACCATATCATTTTCTGTTATCTCATAAATCTATTGCACAAGTTAGAAAGACATTGATTTAGGTTTGTTGGATCTTACGGATGAAAGGGTATCAAAACCTTCGGCAATAAAGGCTGGTAGATAGTTTGACAGGTTGCAGCGTTCAAGAAAATCCTGAGTTTGACGATGACCGGGGTCTGTAATGTCAAATGGTGTGTCGGGTTCGTCCATGCCAAAAGGTTCCATTGTGTGGTAGATTGTTGGTTGTGGGTGTGGATAATAAATAATAGTGGATGGGGTTTGAAATGTGAAATGTAAAAGGTCAGAAAAATATTAGTACTAATTATTAATAGCAGTCAAGTAGATATTGAATAATAGGATATTTGAAGCAAGGTAAGGCAAGGCAAGGCAAAGAGTAATGTAGATTAAGGGAAAGAAGGGAAAGAACGAGAAATAATGGTGAATAGTTTGGATGGTATTTATACAAATTCTCGAGGTTTCATATTATCCCATTCTAATCGATAATGAGAAAAAAAGAAAAAAAAAAGAAAAAGAAAATAGTCAAACACCGCCTTGTCTTTTTGTTCTTTATGACTTCTGGAAACTTCTGAAGGAGTCTTTTTGTGCTCACAGTGTAAACGGGGTGGAGATCCTCTTCCTTTTTTCTTTTTTGGTGTTTATTTTTTGCCTTTAAGAAGAAGAAAGTAAACGAAGTACTCGAAATTATGAGCACCAAAAAAATTTTCACCATGAAATGACAATAGAGAGAATTGCAAAATTCCTTAATATTCTGCATTCGTAAATACGCTACATTTTATTTCAATTGTGCTTTTTATATATATATCTTAATTGTTCATTTCATTTCATTCCATTTCTTTGGCTTCAATTCTTTTATTTTTATTTTTATTTTTATTTTTATTTTATAATAGTAATAATTCAATGCAAATTTTGAACGAACGAGACAATAAATCTTGAGCGTAATTTAAAATAAACGAGTATTATCCCGATTTGGGATTCGCTGGAAATCTGAATCGGAAGGAAATCAAGCATCTCGCGATGATGGCAAAAACTACATCTTTTTTTGTTAATAAGAAAAAACTAAAAAAAAAAAACAACAACTAAAAAACTAAAATAATAATAAAATAAGATCAGAAATCCGCACGATCTCCTGCATTCCGTCCGCTCATAATTGCCCCCATTTGCTGTCTTCTTTGCTGTTCCAATTTAGGGCAATCATTAATACGATGTCCCAATCCACCACAAAATGTACATCCTAATAATAATAATAATAATAATAACAATTATGTGCAATAGAGAAAATACAAATATAGATGTTAAGTAAGTATATGTATATATGTATATATGTACATATGAATTATTCGATTAATAATATATATATATATTTAAAGAGATGATCGTATTACTATTCTACTCTAGAAATAAAACTAATACTACTACTAATGATAATGATAATGATAATGATAATGCCACAATTATCACAAAATATTACTACTGCTATTACCATTAATAGTAATACGTGTGGTAATAATGGTAGTAGATAGGTATATAATATATATAAAAAAATCACTAGTACAAGTACAAGTAAGAGTATTGTATAACTCACCTCCTGCTAAACCATATTTCTCGCTGGGATCGTCCATAGCCGCCAGGAATGGTGGTACACGCTGCTTTGCTTCTCTCAATAGATGCTTCAAATCTAGGCGAATTTGTTCAGAGCAATGTTGATTGATAAACGTAGTAGCAACACCAGTCTTTCCACTACGACCAGTACGACCAATTCGATGCACTTTAAAGTTTTTTTTTTTTTTTTTTTTTTTAAGAAAAAAAAATCCAAATCCAAATCCAAATATTTATATTTATATATAAAGTATATTAGTATTTTAGCCATCTTTCCAAATATAGAAGAATCCTAAAGTCTTTTATATAATGTATGTATATATTTCTTACCATAATCTTCAATTTCCTTTGGCATGTCATAATTAATAACATGTTGAATCTGTGCAAAATCAAGACCCTTTGATGCTACATCTGTTGCAATCAAAACATCCTTTTTGTATTCCTTGAATGAACGGATTGCAAATTCGCGCTCTTCCTGTGCTACAAGACAGCAAAGCAAATATCAATATCAAATATTTACACATAGTATTCAACCAGCCAAAATTATCATGTATGAACAGTCCTTTTGCCCAGTACTTGATTTATTTTTGTTTTGGTTGCCTGGTTGGTTCCTTTCCAAACCATATATTATGTTCTCATTTCTCACTCTACTTACTTTTTCCTCCGTGAATGGCAACACCCTCAACACCCTTCAATAGCAAGTATTCATGGATATCATCTACATCGTTTTTGTTCTCTGCAAACACGAGTACCTATTAATTTATCATTGTTTGTTGTTTAGTAGTTAATATATGTATATATTTGTTATTTTTTTTTTAAAAATAATAATAATGTATAATACATATAAATATATGTATTACTTACAGGTGGGGGAGTCTTTTGAAGACATTCAAGTAGATAGACCATCTTGGCCTCCTGTTTTACATACTCGACCTCCTGAATAACGTCCAGGTTAGCAGCACCAGCACGACCCACGTTCACAACAACTGGTTGCACTAGAGCAGACAATGCAAAATCTTGAATCTTCTTTGGCATAGTAGCAGAGAACAAGAGTGTCTGACGCTGAGACTAATATGATATGATATGATATAATATAATATAATACAGAACGGAAAAATAAGGTTGTTTGTATTAAACTTTGGGTTTAATGAAAATAAAATAAAATACAATAGAAGAAAATAGAAGAAAATAGAATAGAATCGCATTGCATAAAATCCGTATATAAAATATAAAGCATAAATAATATCTTACCTTGAAATAAGACATGATGTTTCTCACATCGTCTTCAAAGCCCATATCAATCATTCGATCAGCCTCGTCCATACACAAGTACTTGCAAATATCCAAATTGAACTTCTTTTTTGTCAACATGTCCATCAATCTTCCTGGTGTAGCTACAACCATATGAGGTCCTCTAAATAAAATATGTAAATATAATACAGATTGATATTCAGGTATATACGATGATGATAGTAACACTAATGGCACTTTGTTCTTTTTTTTTGCGAGTGTAGTAAGTGTGGTATATTGTATCTATAGTACATATGTATTAAAGGGTATGAATTACCTGTTTAATACATCAGATTGTTCTCCCATATTAATACCACCAATACAAAGCAATGATCGAAGATGAGGGAAACCCCCCTTTGCAAGTTTATCTGCCATTAAACAGAGACCTTCATGGGTCTGACGGGCCAATTCACGCTAATAATAATAATAATAATAATAATAATAATAATAATAAAACACCCAAATTGATTAATTTCCCTTCTTTTTCTTTTTCTTCTTATTTATAAACTTACCGATGGGCACAAGATCATCCCGATTGGGCCTTCTCCTTTAATAAGTGGTAATCTTGTCTCAGCCTCAAGAGCAAACATTACCAATGGCAGAGAGAATGCCAAGGTCTTTCCGGATCCTGTAAAAGCAATACCAATCATATCACGGCCAGAAAGACTATGACAAACATACAGGAAACAAGTGAATATAGTGAATATAGTGTCATTGTTGTTGCTCATATTTGATAAATTTATGTATCATAGCATAGCATAGCATGGCATAGTATGTAACTGTAGTTTGTCTTGATCCACTCTAATACTTACGCTACAGGCAATCCCTGGACCTGAATAGGTGTAGGTTTACTGATCTTCTTCTCTTTCAGGTACTCTAATATTGGCTCAGGAAATCGCATATCCTTTGTTTTTTTTTTGGTGTTTAAATAAATTGTCAAGTAACAATGATCAATAAGCAATAATCAGTATAATATATTATATCTTAAGTATCCAAGATACATTTATGTAAATGTGATTTGTTGCCTAGGAAGAACAAATAGAAGAAAAGACAAAAGGGCTTACTCTAAAATTCATGATTGGCGGTACAAGATTATCACCTTCGATAAGAATGTGAAATTTGTTGCGTGCTTGCATGTGTTGCTCTTCAGACATATCCCGTATATACTTTGGTGGTTCCCATCTAGGATTAACACACACACACAAAAGAGAGAGAGAGAGAGAGATTAATATAGTATATTATCATTATTATTATATCTGTTTACTTACGATGTCTTTATTGGTTCTGTGTAGAGTACACCAGATGCTGCTTCCTGGACAGACACAAGAGCTTTGTGCCGTGCCTGAGCATCCTCAATTTTCTTTTCTTCTTCAAGACGTTTTTCTTCTTCGGTCTTTTCTAAAATAAATAATGGTAATAAAGAATTAGGCCAAAGGAATAAATAATCAATGGATGCTATTATTATTATTATTATTATTATTATTATTATTATTTACCAGGAAGTGTGTTGTTGCGTCTCTGTTCGACTGTTTGATCCAAAAGACTCATTCCAGATCGAGGACCGGCAGTTGATGGCTCTTCGTCTTCGTACTCTGGTCTGGGTGCAGGTTCGGCAAGACGTCTCTGTGTAGCATATTTGTGCAATTTTTCCATGCGTCGTTGCTTGACAGACACATAGGGAACGTAATCATCTTCCTCTCTTTGCTTATTATTCTATATTTTTTATTTGTTTGAAAGTACACAGAAATGAACAATTATAAAAGTAGATGAGTATGTATGTTGATTGAGTGATCTTGCATTATTCTTCTTTATGATCGTGATCGTGATCGTGATCGTGATTGTTATCGTTATCGTTATCTTGATTGTAATTGTAATTGTAATTGTCTAATCTTTAACAAGTATGTATATAATAAATGACAAGTTTTGTGCTTACAGTTGAATCGCTCATCTGATCAATTTTATTATTATTATTATTATTATTATTATTATTTTCACTCTCTATATATGTATATATTGTTGGGCTTCTTTATATTTGTGTATGTATATTATACACACACGTATAATATAGATATGGATGGGTGTATATATTAACTCACTTCACCTTACTTTATTTCACTCTCTCACACACACAAATTAAAATTTATTATGCTATAATTGGCTGAATAAGTTAGACAGCTTGGATTGAAGCGTGAAAGTGTGACCGTCTATCTGAGAGCAGTCATACGTCAAGTCGAACATGCTTTTGCACGCGAATAAATAAGTGAAAAAGAAAGAAAAGAGTTATCTGATCCTGTACACACATATATATATTATATTATATTTCTCGGGTTCTATTAGACTTTTATAGTTTATTTATTCTCTTTAAAGAAAGTTAATGCTTCTACTTGTCTCGACAGTTGATAAATATAATTTACTAAGCATTGATCATATACTCTTGAAACGTAAAGAATCCAAGTAGATTATGAATAAACCCGAAAAGAGAAAGAGAGAACGGCAAGTACATAGAATAGTTCGATTAGGTTTCGTAGAATGTAGAGAGATTTTAACTGCACTGTACTGTACTGCACCATATTATCTTATATTATGCTATGCTATTCCAACAAATCAACCACCCACTTATATATATAATCTATGCCCATAAATAAGAATAATTTCTTAAAGATATTGCTATTAGCACCACCAATAGTAATAATACTTATCAAGAAGAATCTTTAATAGATTTGGAGTTTTGTAATTTGTACAATAAAAAAAGTGTCAAAAAAATATATGTAGTAAATTGTAATAAATGATATTTATTGCTATTATTTTTTTGTCATAAAAAAAAAACATACCACTTTGCTGTGATATAAAATATAAGCAAATTTGAGTCGCCCCCCTCCTACTTTTCCCCTTTTTGTCTTTTGTTTTTATTGATTCTACAAAATGTTCCGACAATTTGAAACAAAGATGTAAGAGTTTGTTTGTTTGATTGTTTGATTGGGAATATTAAATACAACTGATGAATACTATATCTGGGGTTATCTCCTTGCTGAATACATATAGGCATTTTGCAGAAAACCAAGTTTAGATTGAATGGTAAGATCTGATACAAAACAGATCTTGGAAAACAATAGTCAAAATGATCGTCATTTACACAGCCTTGTAATTTATTTCATACACGTGGGTCCAAGATATATATATATTTGGCCGAATCACTATCACTATCATTCTTTTTATTTATTTATTTAAAAAAGAAAGAAAGAAATAATAGCGTGCGTGTGAAAGTATTTTTTTTTTTTTGGATTTTCTGTTGTGGTTGAAATTCGGCCACGAGCCAGGTAAGAAAAAAAAATAGTATTATTTCTCTTCTTCTTTGATTAGAAGCTGTCCTACCATGTGTTTTACATATATATATATTATATTATTATATTATTTTAACTAGCATCAGATGTTCTTTTCCTATGAAATTTACTCACCTTGGCCTCATTCTAGCATAGTGCCAATGCAAACTGCCAATTCAACCAACCCAAACAAGTAACAATATATATATAAAAACAGTTATATTGTGGTATCAGACAAGTTTAAATTTCATCTATTTTAATATAGACAGAAAAAGAGACAAGAAGAAAAGAAACAAAGAAAAGAAAGGGCAAATAGTTAGTATCCTGCTTAAATCCTTGGGAACATTTTAAAATGCCTGTGAAAATATATAAAGTAGAATAAATTTAAGAAAGTGCTGCTGTAACTTATATTACACTATATGGTACTATGCCGTACTTTACTGTCTTGTAACCAGACTACAATGCACTGCACTTTATTGTGATAGTGTGATGTATGATACTGTACCTTGTTGTACACCTTTATGGCCAGTGCAGACCCAGAAAAGGATATAAATTGTGGATAAGAATTTATTTATTTATTTATTTTTAAAAAAGAAACGCTCGGACACTATTGGCCATTTTGTGAATGCAAATCCGGGTGTGAATTAAGTATGATTTTTTCATATTTTTGATTTTCAAACCTAGACTAGAGTTGCACTAGATTGATTGATTACAAGCAATGAAGCAAGTGAGTAAACCAAGTATTAGATGTATGTAAGTACGTATGTGCATACATACATACATATAAAAGGAGTTTATTTGACTCTTAATTATATAGCTACATATTGATTATTGATAGTACTAATGGTCATGGTCATGGTAATGGTTATGATAAAGTTTACATTTAAATAGATAGACAGATGATAAAGAAACTTTTATTTTGACTGATATTGAATATGTTGATTTTTTACGATTAGTTTGATATTTAAAATCAAAATGATTTGAATCATTTGAATGAATCAACGAATAAATGCAAGTCTCGATGGATTTCAAACTCGTGGGCTTTTTTCTTTTTCTTTTCCATGCAATAAAATTATAATAAGCATAATATATATATATATATCTTTTACATACAAACACAGATATAGAAAGTAAAGAGGGAGAAAGTAGAGAAGGCAGAGAAAGGCAAGTAAAGCGGTAAAATCGCACGTTGTTATTTCAACCCATTCTCATTGCGCGCCAAAATAGACTCTTTTAAATATAGACATGTATTGAACAGCAATAATCAATAGTCAATACAATATCTATATCTATAACTATGGCAATGGTTGCTAGGCAGTCACAGAACTCTTATTTCTTAATTTATTTATTTTTGGTCAAATAAGACGATAATTATGATGATTATGATGATAGTAATTGTGAATATTGTGTGGTTAAGCCGCCACCAGAATGATAAGCAACCAACACGTGTTGGACAAGCGTATTAGAGACCGACTTTTTTTTTGTGTGTGAGAGCGTGTAATGGATATAATTTTCTCTTTAATACAGTGCAAATGGACCGTTCCGTCATTAACAGCCAATCAAATCACTCATAGCCTCCAACTGCACAAAGAAAAGAAAAAGCAAGGAAACAAGATTTGCCCAGCATCGCACTATCATTCAGGGGCACAGACAAAAAAAGAAATAAAATAAAAATAAAAAATATAGTTAAGATAGATAGGTGAGATATACAGTAACCAAATATATTATAATAATAATTTTTTTTGCCCCTCCTTTTTCCGAGGTGGGGGGTGAGAGAGAGAGAGGGGAAAGAAAAAAGAAAAAAAAAAAGAAAGGATTGAAATCTATATATAAAGCACCCCACCCAACAACCATCTTTAATAAATATCACCACTTCTTCTACTTTCACTTCTTTTAGTTCTTTTATTTAACATGAGCGATCTTAACTGGTGCACTTATTGTGACAAATCAGTCAGCTCTTTGTCTGTAAGTCTTTAATATAAAATAATAATAATATATGATGTTTTATTGATTGAATCTCTATAGGACTCACTTTACTGCTCTCAAGAGTGTCTCCGTTCCGACGCATTAAACCACCACCCTTTACTCGGTTACGATTACGCTGAATTCAAAGACTTTCCTCGATCATCACCATCACCAGGACTCTCTCCTTCATCAACCTCGAGCTCAGCATCAACACCTCCACTTTCACCAGTCCCATCATATACCTTACCATCTCCCCATATCCACCAGTCCCAGTCCCAGACCAAAATCCAGACCCAGAACTTGATCCACAGTCTGTCGAAGAAGCAGATTATTGAAGATCGTCTTGGTCGTCTATCTCCCCCATTATTTGATCTTGGACCCTGCAAACAAACTCTCATTTACACAAAATCATCATCAACATCATCATCAGCATTATCATCTTCATATTCTTCGTCTTCATCTTCATCATCAGCAGTTTCTTTATTATCATCATCATCAACAACAAAAGCAACAAAATTAGTAGCACCAACAGCGGTACGAGGACAAGGACTATATAATGCTCCAAAACGCAGCATCTTCTTTTAAACATTTATCAACCCAAAAATCCCAAAATCCCAAAAAAATAATAATAATCTTATTGCATTTTTTTTTGTACATATCCAAAAGAGAACAAAATCTCATTCCCATTTGACAGAATACATTACATTACATTACATTACAAAATAATAAAAAATATCGTATGATTCAATTAATGCCAAAAAATTATTATTAACAATTTATTCGCAATCTTCCTTTAGGTCTGACTCACCCACCTACCCCCAATTCCATCATGCAACCCATCATATTTTCATACAATGTCTTTAGTGTTTTAATGAATAAATGAACATTCTATTGGCTTCTGTGAACCAACCAAGATTTGGCCAAAATTGTCCAACTGACTTTTTCTTTTCTTTTAAAATTCTACACATCATATTATAAGATTTGAAATCAACTCCACTCCACTTTTACTAGCTCTTTAAACTTCTTCCCACTCCTTCCTACTTCCCCTTTATATATATATATATATATTATGTATTATAAAGGGCTCTCCCTTGATGTCGTTTATCCAGCCAATCATACTTGGTGTGGGTGCAACTGATATATATATATATGTGTGTGTGTGTGTGTACATACATACATTTTTGGGTGTTGGAATATGGCGCCGGCTTCATCGAATGATTAAATAAATAAACAAACAAACAAAATATATAACATTAGAGCATCTTGTGCGTGTATTTTTTTCTTTAACTAATCTATATACTTTATATACATAAAACGACCCTTCTTTTCTTTCTTTACTTTCAACACCCCCCAAAAAAAAACACACCAAACCTAACCCCTCTTTCGATATATTTTGGAATACTAAATAAATATATATACACATGTGTATTATATGATCGGCGCTTGGCGAACAGACCCCCACTAGCCAGCCCACACACCATTATGACATCAAGCAATAAAATATTAATAAATTTCGGATAAATTTTTTATATATATATATATATTTAAAAACTGTTCCTAGCAAAGGATATAGAATTAATGAATAGATGTCATGTATCCATAGTGATAAAAATAATTGTTGTCGAGATCTTGAATTCTTTAGAGATTGCAATCATTTGAATCATATACTTTTATTTTATTGTTAGTTAATCAATACTTCTTCAAAGCCATTTTCTTTTTATCAAGGCGTTGTATCCACATTTCTGGGATAATCGGAATAACTTCTCGGTCTCTCGGACTTCGGTCTTGCTCAGCCTCTAACAGCTTTTGCTTGTATTCCTCATACATCATCTCTGAAACACTTTGTCGGATAACATCAGCCCCAAGCAGCCTCTTATCTATATCTGGCTGTCGGTTACCGTACGATTTCGAGACCTCCATCAGACCCGGTTCGGGCAAGACGAATCCCAGCACCATATCCGAGCTTCTCTTTCCTGTCCCTCTTGTTTCTTCGCCCACTCTTTCTACTCCTTCTTCATGCCCCAATCCATCACTAGTCCGAGAATACACACTACCCAAACTTGCCAGACTGGATATACTGCCCGGTCGAGAACTCGATCGCGAAAGAACACTGTCTCGTCTGGCCGGGTAAGATCCATCACTCTGAAAGCTTTCAAATGATAATCTTCGTGACCTTGTAGAGCCATGTTGTTGCTGTAACAATAACTGCTGTAGCTGCAAGGGCTGCAAGGGCTGCAAGGGCTGCAAGGGCTGCAAGGGCTGTTGTTCTTCAGCTGCCCCCACCACATACTTTTCAATTTCCTCCGAAAGTCGGGGTTCTGTGACTTCATAGCGATAATTGAGCACACACCGCTTGACATGGCGTGGGTTGAGTAACTCCAGCGATCCCAGCGTTTCGATAAATATACTCGTGTCAGACAACTGAGACATGCACTGAAGGAACTGGAGCAGCTGTAGAACCTCTCCAAAAAAGTTGGCTGTCTGTCTTTGCTTTTGGTGTCGCTGGCCAGCCAAGGTCTTTTTGTTCGTCCGTACCCATTCTTCAATACTAGACAAGTTCATTCTGATCTGCAGAGCCTTTGATCGGCAGAGATACTTTCGGTTGTTTACCATCCGGCTGATCATCTCTCCCGACACATAGTGCAGCGACTGGCCAACAACCTGGCTAATGATATCTGGCTGGACACAATAAGATTGCAGCAGCTCCACAATCGACCTTAACACATTGACAACCGAACATGGCGATTGGATTCTTCCCGGACTCTCACACGTTCCCCGATCTGTTCCTGCAGATCCGGATCCTGTTGTATTTGTATTTGTGGTTGTGGTTGTGGTTGTGGTTGTTGAAGCAATAATCGAGTGACGAGACCGGCGGCGGAAAAATCGATGCCAGTCATTCGCAAAATTCACTTCTTCCATCATGCCCTGTATTGCCTCGTGGTCAAGTAACCCAGGCTCGATCACCTTGTCCAACTGTCTCTCGCAGTCCAGAACTACGAGCTCATAGCACCTTGTCACCAGGTCTCCAAGGCGATCTTGGTAACGCGTTGTCGAAATCGCAAGTCCCTCGTCTCTGTCCAAGTATCCCAACAGCTGGGATATATTGGCCATCCAAAATATCAGTGTTTCTGCATCTCGTGAATTAGACTACAAAAAGAAATCAATTATAATTAATTAATTAATTAATTTTATTTTTTTAAAAAAAAAAAGATTAAACAAATATATTTTATACTTGCCTTTATTGTCTTGGCTAGTCTGGCTATTGCACTGTCCAGAAACACATTGAGCAGTTCACGACTCGAATAATAATATGCAAACCGACAGCAAAGAAACAGGATATTTGCCGGAACCCACAGGTCCTGTCTGGATTCATCCGACAAAATACTGCTTGCTTCACCAATCGCAACATCTAGAATGTGGGCCGTGTCGTCCTGACTAAACACGAGCATCTGGTCCAGCAAACACTCATCCCACACAAAACTGTGCATCGATTCCATCAAGGCCTCGCAGTTTTCCAGCTCTGCTTCCTCCCATTCACTATCATACTCATCCTCATCGTCGTCATCATCACTTGAAAACTCTTCGCTTTCACTATTGATTTCACTTTCACTGTCTCTGCTGCTATTACTTTTGTGATCTTTATTAGAGCCTTTGTTGTCTAGGGATTTCGGTTCACTGGATGATCGAACGACAGGCTGTGATGATGGCGACGGCGATGGCGACGGTGTTTCGGTATATTGACTATATCCATCAAATGTTGCACCATAATAGAATTCAATCGGATCTATCCAGACTGTTGCTGCATTTGTTGTTGGTTGGTTGTTTGTTGATATGGATGATTTCTTTATTTTGGATTCAACCTTTCTTGGCTTTCTTGGCTTTGATTTTGGCAGTAAAGGTGGCAGGGCGGCAAGAACGGCGGTACTTTCATGCTGCATGATTCCGTACACTGACCATCCCCTGGCCGTAAGCAAGTCTGTGGACGCTCCACGACTCAGCAAGAGTTTCATTACCGATGTATGGCCATTAATAGCAGCCCACATTAAAGCACACCAACCCTCTTTAATAATAACAAAACCAAAAAAATATATATTTATATAAAAGTTAAAACAAAAAGATTCTTTCTAATAGATGTATATATGTAAAAGGAAGTAAGGAGTTAAAAAAAAAAGTCAACTTACTTTTGTCTTGGCCATTTACTTGTGCTCCATGATCCAAAAGTATTTTAACACAGTCTAGGTGTCCCAAGCAGGACGCATAGATGAGTGGAGTGGTGCCATCAGTAGGGTCGTCGGCCGCATTGATATCCAGGAGTGGCTTTAAGGACGGACTGGTTAGGATTTCTTCAAGTGTCTTGGCATGGCCACAGGATGCAGCACGGCCGATGGATTTCCTTAGGTTTAATTCCTCTTCACTGATTGGCCTGACAACTATTTCTTCCTTTTGTTGCTGTAGTGATAAATTACTGTTGTTTGATAATGCTGGTGATGCTAGATATGACAACGATGCTGAAGATAATAATATTGGAGAGGATGATGATGGTGACAAGGGCGATAATATTGATGAAGAAAAAGGGGAGGCAGATGATAGAGGTGATGAAGATGATGGTTGTAATAGCTGTGATAACTGTGGTGGACGTACTCTTAATGGTGTTCTTGTTTTTTCTGGTTGTGGTTGTGTATTGTGCAGATTATTGGTGTTATTAATAATAAAAGAAGATTGTGGGTCTTTTACTTTTAATTTTGCCGAGGGTGGATGTGATCCAATGGTTTCGGGGTGCATAGGATAGGAAGCCCAGGTATCCATTGTTTGTGGAACTGAGACTGGTGTGGATGATCTTTTACTAATTTTCTTGGTTGCATTTGTCATGGTCGTATTTGGAGCTGTATTCGTAGATGTGGTTGTGGGGGAGGAAGCTTGTGTGACTGAAAAACTAGAATATGCAGGTAAAGACGATGTGGATTCTCGGCGTGAGCCCCCTACTGTTTGTGAATAGGGTAAAGTAACCTGGAATCTTTCTGGCTGTTTGGCTGCATTCATCTTGTTTAGCATTGACGAGAATTCCTGGAAACTATCTGCAATTCTTGCTGACAATTCTTGGGTACTTGTGCTTGAATTTGAATTTGAGTTTGAGTTTGTGTTGTCATGTGGCGAACGTTGGTGAGGAAATGGTACAGAGGGTGAACGCCATGGTGTGGTTGGTTGTGAAATTGTGGCCATACTATTGGTTCTTCTATTTGGAAGAGGGCCTCCTCCACTTGCTCCTGCTCCTGCACTAGCACTAGCACTAGCACTAGCACTAGCACTAGCACTAGAGCTTCCTCCTGAGGGTGGTGGGGAAGGGATAGAGACAGAGAGAACAGAATATGAGCGCTGGGCAGTTAGCATATGCCTGGGACTCTTAATTGTTGCCGTGGTATTATTATTGGTGGATTTGTGATATTCGGGCATTATTTGTGTATTGATTTTTTTTTGTCTTTCTTGTGAAATAAAAAAATAAATAAATAAAAAGGTTATTGTTATGATTATTTTTTCCCTCTTTTTTTTTCTTTATTTATTTTGTACACTACAATTGACTATCTGTTTTTAATTTTTTAATTTTTTAATTTTTTAATTTTTTGTTTATTTTCTTGAGTAAAAAAAAAAAGCAAGTATGAAAGAGTAAAAAGAAAGAAGGAGAGAAGAAATAAGAGTAATATATTTAATGGGAAATACTTTTAAATACACTTATGTGTGTGTCAATGTGTGTGTGCGTGTTTGTTGGGAATTACATGAAGTTTGTCGTACGACTGGGTTACAAGACCATGGGAGGGTTATTATGTAGTCGTTGCGTAGGAGAGGAGTGGGGTAGGGAAGGGAACCATGCGTTTATTTATTATAACGATAACTATCAAGATTGATCATGAACTTCTTTCTTATTTCCATATACTTCAATTGTACTGGTGCCTGTTGTTGTTTCAAAATAATAGTAATAGTAATAATAATAATAACAGCAGAAAACAATGTCAATTGTATGGTGAGCAAGCTTCTTCTACTAAATTCGACATTTGTGTTTTGTATATATATATATAAGAAATGTCTTGTGTTGCAGCAATATGATCAACTATACTGTCCTTATTCTCAATCGATTTCTCATGCGATTGAATTCATAGATTAAATCACAAGCACCAATCTTTTTTCCGTATTATTCTTGCTGTTGGTCTTGCTGTTACATGTACCTATGTATATATATTTTAAATTCATTCAAATCATTAAGTTAGTTGACTATTAATATTGAATTTTAATGCTGGTCTTATTACTATTACTATTTAAGATAGAGAGAGATAGAGAGAGAAGGGGGATTGTACAATCGAGATCGACAAGTCTAGTCTAGTCCTGGTGTTCTGTCTTGGATTGCACGTGTAATTACAACATAATCTGATAGATAAATGAAATCGGTGTAAAATAATATATAAAAAAGACGATTGCTTGTGTGAATGGAGGAGCTTTTATTATCATTTTATTTTAATGTCTTTATTCAATAAAGTTAGATTTTGATGAGTGATGAGATATATAGAAAGGTTTATTAGTATATAGTTAATTAATTAATTGATCAATTGATTGCTTGACTGATTAATAATATTATATAAATAAATAAATAGAAATGCATTTAAAAAGGGATATGTAAATGTAAATGTATATATAAGGATCAACCTTTATATTTACAGACATTATATCTCTAGTACATGTTCTTGTGCTCGTAATTGTAGTCATAGTAATGAATTGGCTCTGGTACTTGCTTCTGTCTTCGCTGAAGAGAGCTGGCAACAAAGAATCCAAATGCGATCAACATGCAGCCGCAACCAGCACCAACCAGGTAGATGGACGGACCCCAGTGCAAAGACAAAGCCTCAGACAGACCGGCTGTCTTTTTGAGACCATTGAAGAGAATCGAATAGCAGACGATGACCAAGGCCAGTCCAGCACCACCACAGAGAAAACCAATCAAACTAACCACGGTTCCAACGATTGGTTTGTTGTTGGTCTCACGCTGATTATGTACGAGTCCAGCCACTATTATTATAATTACTTTAGAATGTTAGCAAGACTGTTGATAATTGGTGTAATTGATAAAAAAGGAAACATGGACATGCGTTTTCTTTTCTCTTTTTATATGTTGTAGCATTAAGACTAGAAAAAACTAGAAAATAATAATAATAGTACTACTGCTTCTAACGATAATAATCATACATACAGATAGTAATGCTAAAATAAAGGAAGAAGAAGAAACATTGGGAATACTTGCCGATAATTGAAACAAAAGCCAAAATTGTAGCAGGCATGATAAAAATGCTAAACTTGTGAATTGACGCAAGATCTTCCAACTCAGCCAGGATATTGGAATTGGAATTGGGATTGGGATTGGGATCAGTCAGGTTCCCAGACGAGACTGAATTCATTACACTAATTTGGTTGCTGTCTAATTTGTTTAATTTATTATTAATATCATTGTAATTATATAGTTTTTTTTTATCCAAGACTCTCGATACACTAATTATATACATATTTAATCACTCTTGACTTACCCAGAGTAAAACCAAATTTTGGATCAATACATTGAGATCGACTTCCGTTTAAATAGAGACAGGAATTATAGAGTCCATATCGAATGGATGCTCCTGTGGTTGATTGATCTAGCCGTGCAAAGTATACATCTGGCAAGATTGTAGAATTGAATGTGGTGCCAAGGTTTGATACAAGGAAGACAGCCAGTGCCAAGGTAGAGAACAGAACTGCTGCAGAGTGTGGTTGAAGGAACATTTTTTCTTTTCTTTTTGATACTGTACAATTTTTTCTTGGTTTGGATTATATATATATATGTATGTGTGTATGTATGTATATAGAGGGAGAGGGAGGGATATGACGGTTAAAGAGATAATGAATGGAAAATAAAAGAAAAGAGTAAAGAAGAAGAAGAAGAGTTTATGAAAGAAATGTTGGAGAAGTATCAAAAGTGGGCGATCTTTTATGTCTTGTATATATTGTACAAATTAACGTGTAACATTGGGATAATTTAAATACCACTAAGCAATCAACCTAGTAGCTAACCAAGTAACCAAGTAACTAACTAATAATTAAATAAGTAGACACTTAGATAAATAGATAGATAGATACATGCATAGAAACTGTAAATTGGCAGGATACGAGCCTATCTGTGTGTGATGTGTGATTTGTGTGATTTGTTTAATTAGGGCAAGTGATTAACAGGTTAATTTAACTGTATCGGTAAATTTTATGGATCTATTTGGGTATTCATCATGATACAGAATCCCGGTTTCCTTACTTTGTCTACCAAGTGGAACAATACCCCTCTCTCTGTAGTTACAATTGGCTGAGTTTTTGCTTCTATATATATATATATATATATTTGAAGGTTACGATCCATGTTGAAAGATTTATATATTGAATTATATTATTTCATTTTATTGTATTGTATGATGATTTCTGAAATGAATTTCTTCTTTATAGAACCAAAGACCAAAAAAAACATGCAATTTAAGTTACCGAGCTAGAAATCAGTAAAATAATAATAGTATTAGTAACAATACAAAAATCAAAGCTTTGTAGACAGAGTATATTCTCAGTTGCTATGTACGTCTGTATATATATATACATATATGGAATATATTGACAAGGACAGGTACAGAGGCAAGTACAAGAACAATACGTTTATAGTATTACTATTGTTAATGAGTCTAGGAAACACAAGGGAAAGGAAGAAGAAGAAGTACTTCGGTAACTGTCTTGTTTTCCGAGATCTTGATTTTTTTTTCTTTTCTCTCCGGGGTGAATTAAGGGTTATAATTTCAAAGACTTGTAAGGTACGTAAAAGTTACCTGTTTCATATTCTTGGTTTCTTTTTTGATCTCCTACTTTCCACACTGGTCTTTACGATGATAAAGTAAAATACCTTTTTCTGTTTTATTAATCTACCTGAACTTGCCTTACATTATGATATCTTGTAGTGCATTAATTATTATCTTGTATATGTATTTCGAAATAAAATATAAGATATAAAATATCTTGTGAGATTTTTGATTTTGATTTTCTTTCTTCATTTGAAAATAATAATAATCGGAATGACAAGAGGTGTGCACCCGATGAACTAGTTTGGTTGTTGTATACCAATGACAGTTTTGGGGTCCCTGAACAACCCAACCACAGCCGGAATGAATGTACCTCGGTTTGCAAATATGAAAGTACAATACAACACAATACAATACAATACAATACAATACAATACAATACAATACGATACCATGTCATGTCATATAAAAACAAGTAGTTGGATATTGTACAAGGTTCATTATAAGGAGAACAAAAAAAAACATAGCTTGTGTAATATATATATACATACACACAGAGAGAGGGTGCACAAGGAAAAAAAAAAGACAAGAAGAAGAAGTCTATTAATGGGATCTGAGGACCACTTTTGTACACCTTCTATACTAGGTTTAAAATACATGCTTATACACCAGTTTTCAAAAATAAAATCAAAATTGCCATATATATATATATTGTTAATTTGAAAAAAAAAGAAAACTTTATTCTTAAATAGAAAGGTAGTAATTATAAAGTTAAACATTTTATTTTTATTTTTCCTAAATAGATAAGTAAATACTCGATTGAACAAAATGATATGAATGAGTGAAAGGTACTTCATACAAACTATGGACTTCTTGCTTAATCTCATTTCATCAAATAGATATGATGTCTAATACTCGGCTAATTATGTCTACAAGATCCCAACTATCGATATAACATAAAAGAAGTAAAGTAAAGTAAAGTAAGGTAAAGTAAGGTAAAGTAAAAGCATGTTTTTAATAGGCAACTGTTCATCAGTGTCAATAAGCTATAAAATCTTTAGACTTTAAAGACAAAAGAACTGTATACACAGCTATATATTTATATATAAGATTATTGTTGAAATACTAAAATAATAATAATAATAGTAGTAGTAGTAACATGGAGTGCAAAATTCTCTGGCGTCAATTACTGTCCGGCATTGGTTGTTTTTGTATACTCTTTTGTCAAACAAAAACCAGGTTCAATATCATTATCGGTTTTCTGATACTCTTGTTAAATGGGTCAACCTCTAGGTAGTCAACTGTTGTCTTTACTGACATTTTCTTGTACCTCCACCTCTTATCCTGAATATCCAGATATCAAATTGCTGTACGAAATTTTTAATGACCCATCAATTGAAGAAATCAACTATAAATCAAGCTTGGCTGACCATGTTAATCCCATTTGCTCCACAGACAAAAGTTTGTTTAAGCAACTCCAAGACCTTTAACCAGACGATATACCTGAATCAAACCAGATATATATTCCTAATAATAGATTGTGTATTTGCGATACAGCTTGAGAATGAATCTCAAGATTTTTTTATGATAGGTTGCATACTAGGATTCCTCTTTCACAGTACATACCTCCATAACTCTATCTTTTTATATATCCTGGAACCATTATTATTCACAAGTGAAAAAAGGAAAGAAGAATTGTCATTTGTAACGAAATTCAGGGCAAACCTAGCTGGAAGAATGAATTGCATCAAGTGCTTGGCCGAAGGACAGCCAAAAAGTCTATTTAAGCGATATTCAACAGGAGTAAAGTTTACCAGTTAATCATGGCAGAAATAGATAATATGAGATGGTTAAAAAATAAGTACGGTTTCCTTTACATGTTTAATTTCATTTCATTTCATTTTCATTTTCATTTTCATTTTGTTTTTTATTTTACTGTATAAGATTGCAAAAAGAAACTTCATTTAAAGATTGCTTTAAAGATACTGCTAAAAATGGTCCAAATATTAACAATACATAAGCACTATAATAATAAAATATTCAAGCAGGAATCCAAAGTGTTAGCATTTAATACGCTACCACTTGATCTGAATAAGAGAGGGATATTTAAAGTTTTGTACATGGTATATACACACGCACTAATATATATTCTTCATTAGCCATACTCTTGTCTAACAGTTTTATCATGTATGCTTGATAGAATCTTATATGCTTATATTGAGGATTAATGAACTCCAAGTCTATTAATTGTATAACTGTATTTTCACTATTGAAAGCTCATATCTCTCATCATTTTTTTTATCGAAATGTACACAATATGTACTTTCTGTTTGTTTATTAATTTTATAAGAGTCATAAACGTTTAATTGCATCGCATGTATAGAGAGTGAAGTGAACTCAAGAATGCCAGTAGAGCATACATTGTCCCACGATATACATCTATACGTACTCGGGGCACCCTAACTCGACGATACGGAAGAGGATATTCCCTGGCAGCTATACATAGCTGTTAGATACTGTCTTATATTGGATGTACATGCATTCAACTGTACCTAATATTTTGTGATTTTATGAAGAAACCAAGATTGTCTAATTGCATCGCATGTATAGAGAGTGAAGTGGACTCAAGAATGCCAGTAAAGCATACATTGTCCCACGATATACATCTATACATACTTGGGGCACCCCAACTCGACGATACGGAAGAGGGTATTCCCTGGCAAATATACATAGCTGCTAGATACTATCTTATGTTTACTCTACGTGGATTTTACTGTACCTAATATTTTGTAATATTATGAAGAAACCAGGATTGTCTGATTGCATCGCATGTATAGAGAGTGAAGTGAACTCAAGAATGCCAGTAGAGCATACATTGTCCCACGATATTCATCTATACATACTCGGGGCACCCCAACTCGACGATACGGAAGAGGGTATTCCCTGGCATTTACGTTGACGGCAAATGTATAAAACAGCTTGCCAAGATATCTTGGTATGAATCGCTCTCTTTTTGCTGTTTGTTGTAAGTCACTTATAACAAACAATGGTTAAATTGCCAACTAGAGATGCAAGTCACATATGGAAAATGAAATGAGCATGGTAAACACCCCCTATTGAATTTCCACTCCAAAAGTTTGATTTTTCATTTTCAAACTATGGATATGGCCAAGAGCATCTGCAGCGGTTACATTAAAATTAGTCTTTTTTTTTTTGACTGTTTTAATGTAAATCTCGCCTTTTCTCTCTCTATAGGATAGAGAAATAAGTTATTTAATACCTTTCTTATTTTGCAAGTTGCTCATTTGATTGGCTGAACTTGGTGTGACTTGGAGAAAAGTAATTGATGTCAACTTATTTCTCTCCCGTAATAATGCACTCATTTATAAAGAGAAAGAGAAAAAAAAGACATCATTATAACCCACATAATCCTCAAACAAATCATATTTCTCTTTTGTTTTGCTCATTTAGAGAAGTCTTTAATAAATCTGAGTCAATAACAAGCTTATAGAAGCAAACAAACAAAACAATTAAGATTAACGTTGCCCCTTGCTAATGAGCATGGCAGGTTAACAATCTCAGGAACTGTTATACACCAGGCACACACACACACACACTTTACATTTATACAGTGTAAACTAGCCATTACACAATAGAGATTTGAATAGTAATAGAGATATACAACAACACTTGATTCTCTTATAGACAACGCTTTTTTTTTACGGTATCTACTTTTTCTAAATTGAACATGTCCACATATATATATATATGGCTCAAATACTTCACTTTACCTAATATTTTGCTTTATTTTATTTTATCTTATCTTATTTATCTTTACCTAAACACTAGCTCATTGCAATGGCCGCTATCAGATTCAAAGAAGGTGGCAGCTTTATATGAATTATTATTATTATTATATAATGATTTTGTGCTGACCACTTTTATAGTTATAAGCTCTTTTATATTAAACCGCCTTGAGAATCATCCAAGCGTCAGTCTAGATGACTTTGTGAAGGAAAACAAAGATTTTATCATTCAAAACACAAATCTGGGTGATAACATAGAGGTGATATGGACCAAAAGATTTGGAACTACAGCAAAAGAGTTGAAAGTTAAATTGGTTAGTTATCATTCTATATACATATATAATCAGGCTCGAGTTTATTTATTTTAAAAACACTGTATCAAAAATTAGACGAGATCGACTGTCAATTGGGGTTCGCTTGCCCTTGAGTATTTAACCAAATGCAAACAAAGCAGAGATACAGTATCCGATTGTTCTACTTCTGAGGCATCATCTTATTCTTATTCTTCGTCATTATCGTTGTCATCATCAGCAGCAGCTTCAGCTTATATCAGTTCCAGAGATTACAAACTGTCCATCGATGATAAAGAGAATATCAAAAAGATGTATAACAGCCTAAATACAGAAAAGATGTGGAAGCTGAGTAGTGGAACAATCGTTGAAAAGATTATGGAGAAAGTAGCACTCGCTTGCGAATACGAGCAGTAAGATTGGATTATATGCGCAAAGTTGCTCTAGTCTAGTAATTGGCTGATCGACTAATTGATGGTGTTAGTCCGGCCCACTCACTAATTCTCGACCCACAAGAAGCATCATGGTCTGAGCACTTTACGGTTGAAGAACTAAAAGAAATAGCGGCACACAAGGCGCCAAAGTTTCAAGACTTCCCGAAAGAAATGGAAGAATATATCAAATCCTACAAAACGTTGGTAAGAAAAGTGATTAACTACTACTCTTACTAATTTGCCTAAAGTATCAAGAATCACTTTAATAACCTTTTAATTCCACAAAGTATGATATTGAAGAGCTCTGGGACCACAATCAGGCGCATACATTCCACCCAAAGAAGCAAGCAGACCTGTACTGGTTGCATCAATCGATAATAAATACATTAGAGCTATATTTTTACAACTTGCTGGATAAAGGACCCGAGAATTCCGAAAGTGATTTAATTCATAGAGTATGGCGACCTATCTACTCATGTTTCAATTGTACCTCAATAAGTGTAAACAGGTAAGATTTATGACCAACAATCACTCTTTTTCATACGATAAGCTTAGTATGCATTTTGTATATATTTTTTTAGCGGTGAGGTGATGAGTAGTGCGTCATCAAGAAGGAAGAATGCCAACCGGGTTCTTCCTACAATTACTCCAATAGAGCGAAAGAAGCTTGGAACTCGAGTGGATCTCTTGTTCCGCACCACGGTGGTTGAGCTGGGAACCGCCGAGTTCAAAAGGAACGAAGATGAAGGCAGCCAATGCCTGAGAGAAATAGGACTAAAGTGCCCTAAAGCAATGAAAGATATGATGGTAGCTTTGTTGGAGACCGCACCCACAGAGCTTGGAAATATATCTACCCATGGATTCCAAGTGTCAGGTAAGAAATGAATTTGCAACATTTTTCTTAAAAAAATATATAAGTAAAGCGTATTCTAATATCTGATCTGTAGGTTTATTAATGAACCAGTTGACCCTGACAATCCCAGAAGGATACGTGTGTAGAGTATCGCGCCTCTCACAGCCACTACGATATCCAGATAGTCCAAAACAGTTTTTCCGATACTTGTATCCAATCCTCAAAGTTATCTGGAATGTCAAGTTGAGAATGGCTGCCACTCTGGAGAGAGTGAATGAGGAGCAAGGCGAAGTTCCTTTATCCTATGATTACCAACCGCAAACCTCTGAAATGACTATTCCTTCATGTTTTAGCCCTAATCCCACCAAGAAAAGAAAATTCAATAAATAAAAATAAAATAAAATGCATTTAATTTAATATAAAACAAAAGACGTATATTTAATGTATATAAAAGTGTTTGTAGCAGTTATATTCTCTTTAACACTACATTTAATGTAACGGCAAAAGTGTACAAGACTTTTATATATATATATAATAGCTTTATTAAATAACTTTAAAGAAGAGAACAATAACAAATGAATTTTAATAATATAAAAATTGCTGTGTAATCGGTGTAATTGAGTTAATTAGTCCTTCCTGTACAAATACTTTAAGCTCTACTGATGATGTTTAAAGCAGTTTAAGATACGATTTTGGTCATTTTGAGGTTACCTGGAATTCATGTCTTTTTTATAGACTTATTAGACCAACCAACCGACCAACCAACAAAAAAAGACAGTCTTAATCATTATGTTTCTATTTAAGAATAAAGTTCAAATTAACGTGGTAATTTGAAACCAGTAGACTCTTAAGCCGAGTATGGAAGGTATACAAAAGTGGTTCACAAATCCCATTAATAGGTTTTATATTGTCTTATTTTATTTTGTCTTCTTTTTTTGTCTTTCTATTTTATACTTTCTTGTGAACCTATCCGTGTATATTACACACGTTATTTCTTCTTATTCTTACTCTCCCTTATACGGCAGCTTGCACAATTTCTGGCTTTTTTCTTGCAGACCGAGTTACATTCCGGCCGTGGTTTGGTGTCCAGGGACCCAAGCTGTCATTGGCATAAAAGTCCATCGGGTACACCTCTTGCCACTCCGCCTTTCCAAGTGCAATTGAGGCCTCATAAGGTGTTAAAAGAGGTTTTGGGAATGCATAGCCCCAATCAATCGAGAGACGAGGGCATGCAATCTGAATCCAACTGATTTATACATACCAGATATCATTAAACCATGAATATATATATATATATCTACATAAATAAACTTACGCGTCTACATCTTCGAATTGTGCCAATTTTCCGGGGAAGATCTCGGATAGCAAGACAATAACAGAAGTCTTTCCAGCATCGCTGATGGTCTTCTCAAGGTACTCCATAACCTGAGGTTTACCCTGTCTACCAAGTGTGCCCAGAATCAGGCCGTACTTCTTTGCTTGTTTGCCAACTTGGATTGCATGTTTGCGAAGTGAGTGCATCTCAGAATGGTCATAGCGTTCCCGAGTGAATGTCTTTCCATATGGATCGTACCTTTTATTTTTATACAAAAAAGAGTCAATTAATACTGTAAAGAGAGGGTTTAGTAGGTATTGTTTCACTTACTGGAAAGCAGGAATATCAGGATTCTGTATCATGATGGATTCCAAATGGAATCGACCGTCACCAATATAGCTAATTATTATTACTACCTTGTTAATATACTTGCCATAATTATTATAAAAATTATAAAAAAACTAATCTGAAATATAAACACCCACTCACATAATAGCTTCATAACCTGGCAATTTAGGTGAAGTACAACCGAGAATCTCACCAGGAGATAAGGGCTTTGACTGTGGGATCAACATGTCGTATTCTGTCTTTAATGCCTCTCGTGATGCCTAAAGAGAAAGAATGAAAACACATACAGAAACATTGATGCTCTTTAATTATATATATATGATTACATGTGTGCGTCTAGACTTTTATGATCATTCATGAGACTTACCTGTAGTGCAGTAGCAAATTGAATTGTGCTCACCAAAACAATTTTCTTTCCAGTCTCAAAGTTCTTTCTGACGGTGTCAATAAAGTGCGAGGTATCGATCCCAATATCCACAAAAACGTACAGCGTATTGATAGGTGTTACATCCACAGGTACTGAAATATATATGCAAACATTGCCTTTTTGAGCAAAGCTCCTCTTTCCACACACAAACACACATAAAAGTCTTCTATTTCTAAACCCATAATTTTTTCTTTCTTTTTTTGTAGATCACACTTATCGTGTTCACTTACCCAAGCAACTGTGAGCATAGTGAACCAAGAAATCACATCCCAGGGCGCGTGCAGTGAAATCATCTATACAGCAAGCGCCATATGTGACATCACCCATAATCAAAGTCTCGGCATCACAGAAACTATAGATTTGACATTTCTATATTCTTTAATAATCCCATTCCTCCCTTCATTTATATACACAAACAAAGCAAATAAAGAATACTCAAATTATGACTTACACTTCAAGGATATCTGAGATCAAGCAGGCAAACATCAACAGTCCCTCAGGCAATTGAAGAGCGACTTGTAATTATTATTATTTTTGGAAATTTGTTCAACAATTGAGTCAAAAACATTGTACTTTATGCAATTCATTCATTTTATTCTATTTTATTTTCAATCTTTTTAATATTTTTTTAAGTATCTACCTTTCTTTGCTCCTGCTTTCTTTACTCTCCAAACAGTCTTGTGGATCTCAAAGTTGTAGTTTGATGGAATCTATTGAATGTCAATTCTAGTCATTCCATTTATATTCAAAGAAACTACAACAGAAACAAACACACGTATATATATATATATATATATATATATATATATATGTGTGTGTGTGTATACAAGTCTTACTTGTTCAATAGCCTTGTTCAACAAAGGATCATTAAGAATCTCATCAGGAATTTGATTTACAGCTCTGTTGGCTCTTGGTCGACTGGATTCTTTATTGATTTATTGATTTATTTTATTACAAGATCTAATGAGATTCATTTTGCACCAATGGGCTAATTTATAAAAAAAAAACTCACTGGCAAATCCAACAGCACCATCCTCAATCGAAGGTTCATTATCTCCTACTGTTGCTGCTGCTGCTGTCTTCTTTGCACGACCAACAAATCGTTTTCTTGGTTTCTCTGCTTGTTGTGTGTCCATGGTTAGGGGAGGTTTGAGTCAAATTCAACTTTCACTTCAAGACAAGAAACACCCAAGCGGGGAAAGTCGGTCGGCCATCAAAGCCACCATAAACTTCCTAAAACGGGAATACATTTCGAAAAACCAACAAAAAAAATCGACCCACTCACCCACTTAACATATACAACCCCCCCTTGCCCTTGTTCCATACATTATTTGTTTTATTAATATTATTAATATTATTAATTATTAATTATATTAATTGTAGTAATAAAACAAAACCTTTAACCTCCCCCAACCTCCCAACTCTATTTTATATTTATTGCAATGCTTTCAGGCACGGTAAAAAGACTGACAGGGCTGACAAAACCAAGTGCAATTGTACGACCTTCATTGCAATGTCAACGTACATTTGTCACAAAGTATAATGCCTTGAGTGCATCCAAAACGACCCGCTCAGTATTTGCTCAGCCAAGCTTGGTGTCCCGTTTGTCTTTCAACAAGACTGCTCTTGTTTCAAAGAGGTTCGGGTCTACAGTAGTAGAAAAAGTAGTACCAGGGGCCGTTGCCCCTACTATTGGCCAGTCTGCCACTCAGGTAGTCAAGGAAGTTGTCACACGCCCTGTGGTGGCATATTGGCTGTACTTCAATGCCGGTCTTATCTATGCTATTGTGGTGGTGGGAGGTCTGACACGCTTAACAGAAAGTGGATTGTCAATTACAGAGTGGAATGTTATTTCGGGTATGAAGCCCCCTCGTTCTGATCAGGAGTGGGTGGATGAATTTAACAAATACAAACAATACCCCGAGTATAAAATGTAAGCAAGACTCTTCTTCTTCTTTTGAATGTATATATAAATTACAGAGAATAGAGGGAATCAAAAGAAGGAAAAGAAGACCCGGAAATGCTGAGAGAAATAGAGATCTTCATGTTCAACCATTCATCTCCTTGTATTTTTTTTTTCTTGGTTAGTTTGAACCGCCACATGACATTGGAAGAGTTCAAGAAGATCTTTTACTGGGAATGGTCTCATCGTATGATTGGCCGCTTCATTGGCGCCTCCTTTATTCTTCCTGGTCTCTTCTTTGCCTCACGGGGCTATATGAACAAGCGTGTTATGAAACAAACATTCGGTATCTCGTGTTTGTTAGGATTCCAGGTAAGAAAGAAATTAAATAGAAGTTTATGGGTCATTTTGATAGTTTTCCTATACATATATGTGTGTCGGTGTCGGTGTTGGTGCTGGTATTTGTACATATATACTTATCTTTATATATGTGCTTATCCAATATTATTGAAATTTAGGGATTTATGGGATGGTACATGGTTCAATCCGGTCTGTCCCAGGCATTACTTGAGAAACCTGGAGCTGTTCCTCGTGTGAGCCAATACCGCTTGACTGCTCACTTGGCTACCGCAATCCTGATCTATGGCACAACAATCTTTTCTGCTGCCGATATTCTCAGACGCCACAAGCTGGCCACTGGAACTTTCTCTCAAAAGGCTGCCGACTTACTTAATAGCCCTCTCTTGAAGCGGTTCCGTATCATGTCTCACTCGCTTGGAAGCTTGATCTTGATTACTGTCATGTCGGGAGGATTGGTAGCAGGTCTGGATGCAGGTTTGATTTATAATGAATTCCCTTACATGGGTAACGGTATCGTTCCTCCTACTTCTGAGCTCTGGTCAGATGATTACGTTAAGCCAGAAGACAATGGCAAATGGCGTAACTTGCTCGAGAACCCTACCACAGTTCAATTCGATCATCGTACTTTGGTAAGTAATTGATATTGTGTAATGTGTAATGTGTAATGTGTGATGGGTATGATGAGAAAAGAGATATCATAAGAATAAAAAGACGCTCAACTTTGGTCCATTTGTTTGGTATTTGGTATTTGATGTTTTGTAGGCTGAGACAACTGCTGTTGCTGCCACGGCTCTGTGGTGCTACTCTCGTCGCCTTCCCTTGCCAAAGAATGCTCGTCTGGCTGTCAATACCATGATGGGCGCTATTGTTGTCCAGGTTACTCTCGGTATTTCTACCCTGATCTACATGGTTCCAATTGAACTCGCTGCTGCTCATCAGGCAGGTGCTATGGCTCTGTTGACCTCTAACTTTTGGTTGATTCATGCTCTTCGAAGAGTACCCTTGTAAAAAAAAGCCAAAAGAAGAAGAAGATAAAAGCAAAAAGGCAAAAACACAAAAGTTGATTTTTTTTCTTACAAGATACAAGTATAATATCTTTGAATATTGAATATTTATTTATTGACTTTCGATTCTTGTAAATCAGTATAGAATAATGCTACTTATACTTTTAATAATAACAATAATAAACAAATAATAATAATAGTAGCAATATTATCAAGAATAAAATTTACATATATATATTCATTATGGAAAAGGGACCGGTGATTCAGTTGGTGATTTGTTTATTTTTCTACATATCCATACCCCATATACATATATACTGTTTCAATTTCTAGTTCAAGTTCTAACTTTCGGTAGGTTTTGCTCGAAATACAGGTATGTGGCAGATACAGATCTTTTTGGAGCCGCATTCACCCCAAGTGAAGCCATCGAGTATACAATAGACAACACAGTCTTTACTGTCCCGACATTTGCCATGAGGGTTGTTAATTGCTGGCAGTGCAACGACAGAAAATAAAAAGGACACCAAAAGGCACAGCTGGAAGAGATATCTCATGGAAAGATCAAGATGGAAAAGACTGTTATGTTTGTTCGTTTGTTTGTAAAGAAACGCGTTTGATAAGAAATAATCTTTATATATTCAAATTTCATTTATTTGTATATATATATATAAACCATGCGGTTTTTCGTAAATGAACAAGATGACTGAGAGAGAAAAGGAAAGACGATCAAGGGAGGTCTCATTTACAAGAAATATATAAATATAATAACAAATATCAATTGTAGTACTTCTTGAGTTTTAAAGTTGTAACGAAAGATACTCACATCAAGAGATATTTCTTAAAAAGATATAAACGTCTATATATAAATTCATGATCTCCTCCACTCCCTCTTCTCTCTTTACGTATTTTATATTCAAAAATTAACTCTTAGGAGTAAAGTAAAATAAATATAGAAAATGCATTTATTTACTTCATAGTGAGCCACCACATAATAACATTCTAAATCAACCCACACGTGCGCATAGATAAACGTTAAAACCGATCATCATCCGTAACAATTTCAAGGGACACAATAACCACAATAACACACATACACATTTTTTATAAAAAGAATTGTACTTTTATTTTGAAACAAAAAAGAATCTAAAGAAACAACGCACAAGGGGAAGTTATTTCTATTAAACTCTTTTTTTCAAGACACTTCATTGCGAATTGTTTAATCGAAGAGACCGAAACCCATATCGTCATCCTCAGAGTCCTCATCGGAAGCCTCAGCAGCGGCGGCGGGGGCATCAGAAGAAGCAGCGGCAGCAACGGGGGCAGCGGCAACAGCGAAGGCCTCGGGGTTGGCAAGGTACTCCTTGATTTGCTCAGAGCCCTCGAAGGTGTAGTCGGTGGCGACGGAGACGGCCAACAAGTTCTTGTAACCGTTGATGAGGGAGTGGGGAACGGAAGCCAAAGTGGGGTAACCGACAGCGAGGGAGATGGAAGCAACCTCACGGATGGCAGCCAAAAGGTTACCGATCAACTGGGACTCCTCAACATCCAAAACCTCGGAAGAGAAGGCGGAACCCTGGTCGTAGACCTGGGAAACGGACATACCGTAGGTGAAGGGAGAGATGTTCAACATGTTCAAGAGGGCAGCCTCGGAGGGACCGACCTTGGTACCAGCGGCAACAAGGTTGACATCGGAAACGATTTCAATGGTACCACGGGAAATCTTGGTGGGGATACCAAGAGCCTGGAAGAAAGAGGTCTTTCCGGGCTCCATACCGGTGTTACCACCGGGAACGATGACATCAACGGGGGCGACGGCACCAGCACGAGCGGGGGCAGCAACACGGTTGGAGGTGATCTTCTCACGGATGGCCTTGAGGTCAGCGTTGGTGAATACGAAACCAATGTTACCCTTGACGTGGGGGAGGATACGCTCGAACTCGGGACGCTCACTGAGGAAGGTCTTCAAGGCACGACGAACCATGGTGTTCTTACCCATAAGGACGACACCCTCTCCACGGAGGGAGAAACGGATCTGGTGCATCTGGTTGGAGCTGACATTGTCAACGTTGACAATGAAGATGGACTGGTAGGTGTCCAAGTAGGTCTTGAGTTTCTCAAAGTACAATTCCTTGGCTGCTCGCTTCGACATGATAAATAAACTGTTCGAGGACTTTTAAAGAGCCTGTATCAAAAAAATAAGATATTTGTAAGTATCAAAAAATCTTTCATTTTTTTATGGATGTATGGATGTATGGATGTATGGATGTATGGATGGGTGTATAAATAAATGGATGTATGTATGGATCAATAGATCTATGGATGGATGGATGGATGTGTAGATGGATGGATATATATCTATTCTATCTATGTAAATTTGTAGTGGATGATAATTACCGTTAGGTTACAGATAAAGGGAGAACGCCAGGGCTCACAGAGCAGAGGAATTGTTATAGCAATTCGAGACGAAGTATGTGACTGGTTATACTCTACCAAGAAAAAAAAAGTATCGGCGCTCATAATAATAACGAATAGTAAAGAGTTATATATAAATATAGTAAATTCAAAAACCGGGCCAGCAAATGTAAAATTTGTACTCCGCAACTTATATCTTCTTGAGTTCTTATTCTTTCGCGATAGTTTTAATACACTCTAGGACATCTGTTAAAGAGCTGCAGCATACTATGCTAGTATAGATATATATATAGTATTAATAAAAAGTTATATGAAAAAAAGTGGAAATTTTCAGTGGCCCGGTTTTTTAGGTAAAGGTATCTTTTTTTATTTTTCATTAATAAGATACCCTTTCTTCAAAATGCATTTATGCATTCTGCTTTGCATGGATTCAATTAGATTCTTGCACATCTCCTCTGGGATACTATCCCACTCATTCTGGAAACGGGACCACAATTCCCTCATTGAGCTGGCTGGCTCTTCATATTGGTAGAGTTTACCCTTTGTGTACGCCCAAAGGTTTTCGATGGGATTAAGGTCAGGCGAAAACGGTGGGAAATCAATGACCTCAATCCCCTCTGCCTTCAACCACTTTCTGGTATTGGCTGCAGTGTGTGACCGGGCGTTATCATGCAAAAACATGATATCGGACTTGATGAGATTCTGCTTCTTCAAGTTCTTCAGTAAGCCCTGCTCCAAAACTGTTACGTATTTTGGGCTTGTCATGATTTCATTGATCTTGAGAAGCTCTCCGTGACCTCTGGACGAAAAGCATCCCCAAACCATAACGTGTCCTCCAGCACGAACAGGGGAAGTCTTACCCTTATATTTTTTAATTGCCGACTTCTTCAACCTACCTCCATCTCTTTCCATCCGAGCCAAAGCGATTCACCTTACATTCGTCTGAGAAGACAACACACTTCCAGTCCTCCACGGTGAAGTTGATATAGTTCCTTGCGAACTCCATACGCTGCTTGCGGATAGCGGGGTTTGTTTTTACCTTCGGAGGTGGTTCCAAGGTACAGATGAACCCAGATGCTTTTAGCAAGGTGCGGATTGCTGGAGCCTTGACAGCAAAACCTTTACCACATAGCCGTCTCTCTGCCTCTGTTGTTGTCATAAATTCCTCATTTAGGAATGCATAGATGATACGGTGGGCGAGCCTTTCATCGATTTGGGCAGGTCTACCCCCAGGAACTGAGGTGGAGATGTTCAATTTTCTTCGATATCTCTTGACAGAAGTCTGCGAAACACCAGCAATCTTTGCTACCTCGGCTGTAGACTTTCCATGTCTAAGTTCAACTTCAATTGAGAGTATTTTGTCGCGTGAGATGGGAGACATTTTTGTTTTAAAGTTGAGCAAAGGAACAAGGAAAACTCTGAAAAATTCAATATAATATATCTATTTTGTTTGCATGATTGTGATGTAATGACAAGACACACTCCGTATAAAAATTATCATAAAGCAGTTCTGCATTGAAAGTAAAGAAATAATGCTTTACTCTATTTTTTGGCCCATACCTAAAAAACCGGGCCACTGAAAATTTCCACTTTTTTTCATATAACTTTTTATTAATACTATATATATATCTATACTAGCATAGTATGCTGTAGCTCTTTAACAGATGTCCTAGAGTGTATTAAAACTATCGCGAAAGAATAAGAACTCAAGAAGATATAAGTTGCGGAGTACAAATTTTACATTTGCTGGCCCGGTTTTTGAATTTACTATATAAAGGAGCAAAATGGTATGGGAGGGTAAAGCTTGACAGTTCAAAAGTAGATCCATTTAATTTCATTGTATTATACTATATTTTCAGTGACAGATATGCGAAAAGAAATAATCAGGGCAGTTTCAGGGCATTCTTCCTTTCCTTGGCTTTATCAGAGCTGAGCAATATTTTTCGATCCAAAAATTAAAAATAAATACTCATTATTCTCTTCCACACAGACACTTGCATATATACAGGCTGAAAAAACAATGTTTGGACATTTCAAAAATTACAAAAAAAAAATACTATTTTCTCCTCAAGCTATTAAATAAACCCACGAAAAAAAGCTTATTATAAGCCATAATGAAGAATAAATTCAACTGGGCAGATTACCAATAAAGTTGCGTGTTCCGATCTGATAAGTCCAGACTCATAATTAAGAATAACAATGAGGGTCTCAGAGTAATTAGAAAAAGCTAACAAAAGGTATGATGAAGGACATGGTATTCCAAAAGCAAGGCGGGATAAATTTAGTGCCATAATCTGGAGATATTCGTGAACTTGCAGCTTTAGTCTTTTCGCGTTCATTGAAGATAGTGTGAACCACAACATATATGTTAATGCTTTGGTCCATGAGTTCTTGTTATGTCTTAAAGAAAATTGATGCAGCAACATCAAAATAAATTTAAGTTCTAATTCAACTGTACCAGCTGTTATACTGGTGCCTATATAAAGTAGTGGAAAGAGTGATGATATCAAGGGCTTTGAGTACTGGCCTACTAAAAGTCTAGATCTTGACTCTATAGAATATGTTTTGTAGGTTCTGAAGTTAAATTGAGTAAATTTAGGACCGTTATACAAAATGTAAATGATTTTGAAGCTTACAATTCAACGAGAGTAGAATAACATAGCCCTCGAGCTCACTTCATGTTTTATGGGGAGTATGTAATCATGATCCCAGGCAGCAATTGGTATCAAGGGTAGCCATAGTTGATGTTAGACATGCGTAACCTTTTATATTCCAAGTATGAAGCTCTTAACTGTAGCAATTGACGAGCATTTGCATGCTAAATATGAGTCATATTTCTTTGCGTAAGAAGTATATTCTCGGAGGTCTGAACGTTGTTTTGTATGAGTAAATAAACTAAGCATTAAGTCAATGAATTACTCTGGCACATGCTGCGCACGATGGTAATTGTGTACCCATTAGAATATAACAGTAGGGAAAGGTTATATATTGACTGTCTGTAGGACTCTGGGAGGAGGGATTTTCCTAGTTTTATTTTTATTTCTTTGTCTCTATATGGATCGTAGAGTCTTGTACACATAAATTAGTTTTGGTGTTATTATCTTGATATGCAATAATTGCCCAATATATTCCTTAATAAGCCTTCTGGTCTGTCCTGCTCTGTTGTATTTTATTTCTTTATTTCTTCCTGTTTTTTTTTGTTTCTGGTATGTTTGTAATAAGTTTTGTATTTCTGAGAGAATATACGAGTATGTGAGTAGTAAAAGATTGACATTTCGATAACAAAGAATTGATTAGTAAGCCAAAGTGACAATGGCATAAGCAACACCCAGCTTGTAATTTGTTTTTAAAAAATTTACTGGAAGTGATAAATGGTACATGGTAAATGTTACATGGTAAATGTTACATAAATGTCTCGCACCCGTGTCCGTAAAGCCGCGATCGTTGATCTGATATCCCGGATTTTTTTGGTTGCAAACAATCCCAAAAGCATAAACCTATATCTATATATGTATATAAAAATATATTTAGCCAAGTAACTTGCCTTGATGATAAAACTTGACAAAAAATAAACATTTGAGCGATTCCGAAAAGCGTGTTATACACACACATGTATAGATAGATGTCTATGCAAGTATACTTGACCAGCTTTGTCTCAAAACACCTTGAGATTTATTGATCGATTTATCTATGTAACTTACTTTGATTAAAGTTTTTTGATGGTAAAATTTGGGTTAAAGTAAGATCCCGTTCATACTTTACTTACATGCATAAATATGAACCATTCAAGTCTATAGTGTTTATTAGAGTTGCCGTTATAAGGTGAAAAAGCTTAAATCTATAGTGTATTTTTTTTTATAATCAAGGATCTTTGGACTTGTCAACTTCTTTTATTTTAAATACCGATATAAGAAAATGTTATTAAATGTCCGAAAGCTTTAAAAGAAAAGACTCTCATATATTGAAATTTATACAGCCACAACATTATATACATATTTTATAAAATGCTTAATAGTGAACGCTGGTGATGTGATGTGATCTATTAAATATTGAGATACGTCTCTTCATTTCAGGACCACACTTTTATGTTTTAATAAGATTGGTTTATGTCTTAATATATTTTCAAGGTAGTCTTAATAGACACTAAAATTTCACGGCAAAAGAGGTCTTGAACGCCATATTTTACACAAACTTGGTCTATCAAAGGATCGCTTGTCTTACTCTATTATTAAGTGAAAATCCCGCGTTTTTTATGACTCAAAAGACTTTATCGGAAATGATAAAACTGAATACATTTTCGGTTTATTTTGCTAGAAATAACAGCTTCTTTACAAACCTTAATAAAAATACAAAATCAGCTTCTTTTACAAAGTGAACAGATAATAATGATAATGATAATGCATTCCGTTTTGTCATTCCCAACAAGGTTTTTTGAGTCATAAGAAGAAAAAACAAGACTGTAAATAGGCAAGATAATAGTACATGAACGATTTCTCATCAAAATTTCTATAATGAGAAAGATAAAGGTAACCTGAAGTCTATTGATATGCAAGCTTTCTTATCACGTCATATATGGTTTTACTTACCATTGGAGTGCTATTGATTAAGAGTGTCGCTTTGTTTTTTTGCTGTTGTGTATTTAATTTGAGGGTCTCATTTGGATTCCATTGTAATTTTTTATTTTTTTATTTTTTTTTGCAGGGCTGCTGACAAATTAAGACACCTTCAATTTTTTTTCTCTAAATGTTTAAAACAGTATTTAAGCGTCCTGTTGTTCATCTCATTCGTTCCCCATCAAGTTTACTTTACAAACAAACACTCTACACAAGAAATATGTCTACAATGAACGCCGTAGTTGTCGAGAAGCATGGAGGTCCCGAAGTTCTTCAGTACAAGCAAGTCCCCATTCCCAAGGCTGACCAAAAGAATTTAGTCATTAGAAACCACATTATCGGTAAGTATCAAAGACGCGCACTTCAAACACAATATACATGTCTGTATATAAAAGAAGTTGAAGATTTATCTAATTATTTTAATTTTTTTTTTAAAAAAAAAGGTGTTAACTATATTGATACCTATCATCGCTCTGGTCTCTACCCTTTGCCCACACCTTTGGTGGTTGGTAAAGAAAGGTAAAATACTGTCAAGAATTTGAATTCATTGATTGATTTTTAATAATTATAATTATAATAATAATAATAATAATAATGCCTATATCTACAATTTTCTTAGTGCTGGTGAAGTTGTTGAAGTCGGACCAGGTGTTACTAACTTTAAGGTTGGCGACAGAGTGGTTTACTTGGGAGGAGACACCTATGCCGAATACAGCAAGGCTGAGCCAATTTCAGTTGTCAAATTATCTGACAATGTGTCTTATGAGACTGCTGCTGCTTCAGTACTCCAGGGCCTAACAGCATGGACCATGGTGCGTGATGGTTATCCCGTCAAGAAAGGAGGTAAATAATACAATCGAATATAATTTAAATAAATAAAGTAAAAATAAAATAAAATAAAGTAAAAGTATATATAGCTGTGTGTTGTAATTGAATTCAGAAACGGGGTACTGAACTAGAGTTGGTTAGACTATATTCTTGTGCACGCGGCTGCAGGAGGTGTCGGTCTTCTTCTTTGCCAGATGTGCAAGCACCTGGGAGCCCATGTTATCGGTACAGTAAGCTCCAACGAGAAAGCTAAGATTGCCCTTGAAAATGGCGCAGAGTTTGTCATCAATACCAACGAAGAAAATACCGTTGAGCGTGTCAATGAGATTACTGGCGGTTTGGGTTGTCATGCTGTCCTTGACGGTGTTGGAAAGGCCACCTTTTCGGACTCACTCGAGGCTGTCCGTCGTCTGGGTACAGTTATTTCATTTGGAAATGCTTCTGGAACAGTTCCTCCCGTAAGTATTTTTTATATAAGACCAAGAACAAAAACAAGAATAGTTTTTTATAAAAGATAAAAGATATACATTTTATCGGCTATCTTTTTTTTACTACCTGTCTATTTGTGCTGTAATAACCTTATTTTCATAATTTTATGTTTGTAGATCAACATCGCTATTTTGTCCAAGAAGAACGTTAAGCTGATGCGCCCAGCCTTGTACAACTACTTGGGTTCGAGAGAGGAGGTGAACAAGTGGTTTGGTGAATTGTGGGAACTCTTGGAAGCTGGACACATCAAGATACACATCCACAAGATCTACGATCTTAAAGATGCTAAACAGGCTCATCTGGATATCGAGAGCAGAAAGACAACCGGAAAGCTTTTGCTTAAAGCCTGATTTGAGTAACCTCGTTCTCTTGGCAATATATATATATATATATACAAATTTCCTTTTTATTTTATCGCCGTTGCGCGCACACTCAATATGATATGATGTGAATAAATGAATAAGGAAATATAAGCATAAACACACACACACACATACACTCTCTCTCTCTCTCTACATACTTGTTTGCATGCGTACATACATACATGCATATATATATATATATATATATACTCTTTTATATATACATATAATTTTGTTCGGGTTGAAATATGAGTGGTCTCCAAAAATGTTCCGGTTAAATTCAACTCCTTCAGATAATTGTTTAATTGATTGATTGGTTTTTATATATATTTATATATATCATTTCTGCTTTTGCATTGTTTTTCTGTAAACTTGTAATATTGGTTTTTATTTTATTTTATTAGATTTTTATGGCGCCGATGATTGATTGATTACATTTTATTTTATTTTTACTTATTAAACAAAGATCGTGTGCAATGTGTAACTACGACCCTGTTAAATATACATCAGCTATCACTTATTAATGAAGAGGTAGATTTTGGACTAAAATCATAACCAATTATATGGGCATAAACATATAGAAAAGGTAACGAGAGAGGGAGAGAAAGAGATAGAAATAGAAGAGAGCCTTAGCCCATGATTATATATAAATATATTTGTATTAGAGTACATTGAATAGAACTAATGGACGGCACAGACCTTACCTGGTGTGACTGTAAGACCAATACTAATACCAATATCAATACCAATACCAATAGCAAGACCAGCAGTAAATGTCACTATGGATACTACTGCCTTCAAGTTCCTGATTAGTATATAATTATCTATTTATTTTATGGATTTCTTTTTGGTTCTTTGGAACGGAGCGGATAAAGAGTTTATAAAAGAAGTTGAAGTTTATATTTTTGTATTTTTGAAGAGGATTTGTGTCACATTGAAATTTGCCTTAATACAACGAAAAGAACCCAGGGAAAAAAAACAAACAAGAATTACTAGAAAGGGGATTTGTAACAACTGGAAGATGCCTTTTTGCACTCGACTCTATTTTTGGCTCAACAGCGTGTGGGTTCTTTTGAACCAAATCTACCTATTCTTGTGCTTCGATTGAATATAATTTTTTTTCTGTCTATATATACAATATACAATATATAATAAATAATATATATTTCTATATATATTTTATTTATTTTTTCTGCTTCTTTGTTCTCTCCTTTTTTTTCTCTTCTTCTTCATATATTTTATTTTTCACTTTTTTCTTCTTAAGACCAATATAAATATATACAATATCACTATGGTTTCTCTGTCAAAGTCCTTTGTCTTTAGCGCCCTCCTCTTGCTCGTCCTTTTGCAGACCGTTGCGGCTGACATCTACTCTCAGCTCCAATTTATCAAAATCCAATCTCCCAAGAGTGGACAGAACATTCGTGCAGGCGAGAAGATTACCGTCAAGTACATTATGCAGCCTCTTATCTCAGGTAAGCAAAATGGATATACAAAATGATCTATGACCTATGAACTTTCTTCTTAAACCTTTTCTTGTCTGTAATAGGCGGAACCTCCATGGGTAAGGCTATTAGCCTGAAGACCGAATTCCACAAGAGATCTGGTAACAAGATCCAAGGAAAGCTTGCCACTATGCACAGCACATGGTATGCTTTATATATCTAATTATTCACGATCATGTGTATAATTTATCGTTTGACCTTTATTTATTTTACTAATTAATTCATTTATCTTACAAAAACACTATACTACATTTATTCACCTATCATAAAATCTACACAAACCAACAAACTATCCAACAACAACAACAACAAAACTACAGCCCCGTTACTGCCAAAAACGACAAGTACGTTACCCATAGCAACGTATGGACCGTCCCTAAGACCACCAAGCCCGGATCGTATGCCGTCAGCTTCGTTGAAAATGTTCAGCTCCGTCGTGGAAAGATTGTATCTACCGAGAGTGTCAAGATCAACATTGTCGATTAAAAAATGAAAAATAATATTATCAATTATTAAAGAAAAATCAGCAATAACTATAACCACAACAGCAGCAGCAGCAGAAACAGAAGCAGCAGAAGCAACTATTACTACTGCTACTACTACCACTACCACTACCACTACTACTATCAGACGAACCCTTTTCTTTTTTGTACTATTTGTTTTTCGTTTTTATCTACAAATTTTGGTAAAAATGAAACCCAAAAAGCCAAAAAAAATGTCACTTTTATATTTATATCACATCTATCTTCTTTTTCACTTTCACTTTTACCCACCACAAGTCACACCGCGCAATATACAACACAACACGCAAGAAAAAAAAAGAAAAAAAAAACATAATTATATATAAATACACAGACTGGTTTCTGATAATAAATATCTCTCTATCTCTCTCGTTGTAGCAAAACAAGTAAACACATGCAAAAATGCACAAACGTATATACTAAATGTCATCAAAGACCTTAATATATAGATGGTTGAATAAGCTAATTACACCAAAAAATCCACATAGAAAACATAATCTATATATAAGAGATCTCATTAATTTAGTACCCCACAAACGTGTTTCTGTTTTTATGTGCGCAAAAAGAAATGAAGAAATGAAGAAAAAAAAGTAGTAGAAAACATATTACTACTACTTTCTGGAAACGAAGAATATATATATATATATAAATGCTTATATTTAGACAAGAATTGGTGTAGACACTATCATCTATAGTAATAGTGATAATGATATAGTTGTACAGTCTGGTTTGTACATATTAGATACAATTCTACCTAATATTTCTGGTGTCCATGAGTAACAAGAAGAAGAAGAAAAAACTCTCCGTAAGCTTGGTGATGTGTAAATGATGCCGTTGTTTATCGGAAAGAAGAATAAAGTAGATTTGAGAGAAATACGAATGATCTCTTTCTCCCTCTCTCTAATTCCACTTACTTCCTTACTTTCATTATTCTATGCTATTCATTCATTCGTTATTCAATTCAATTCAATTCAATTCATTATCTCTTTTTGTTTTCTAATTATTTTTTTTAAAGCATCGCCATATATCGACATCAGGAAGTACAATCTATCCAAGTAAAGAATGCATCCTTTTCTTTTTAAAAACAAAAATCCCTTAATTACTATAGACTAATATATTTCTATTTTGAGCTACATGTATCAATATATCTTTTCAATAATTTCAAAGGCTAATATTACATGTAATAAAAATTATAAACTCCTTGAAAAATAAATAAATAAAAGTAATTTATAATCGTTTCCGCCAAGAGTACGAAATAAAATAAAAAACCCTTTTTGTGGGTGTACAAGTGCGTTAAACTATAATGACCATGAATCAGAAAACCACATCAACAACAACAAAAATCGGACACCGGACAGACAGTCACATAATTAGTTCGGTAAAGTTAAAAAAAAAAGAGAAAAAAGAAGTTTAAACCATTGGTTTCCATGCCAACAAAAATCTCATGATTTTTATACTTGATACAAAAGTCTCTTTAATTTGCCATGACAACGCTTAATATATATACATTATATGTTTACTTTAAAATGTTTAAAATTTTGGTTGTCCTGGAAACCATGATATATTCCAAGCAACAGACCAAACAACCGACCAACCAGCCACGCCTTGGCTTACTTTCCATTATACTTACCTTACTTGCCCTTACTAATCTACAGACAAATCGTACGATTTTGCAAAGCCCGAGTTTTCCCGCCATTCCAATTGAATTATCACAGCCTGGATATCACTGTGTTGTCTGTGTGATTATAATCAAACGCACACACGTATATACCTCGAATTTTGTTTTTGTTTTTGTTTTTTTTTAAAAAAAAAAAGTCAAATTGAAACGCTTTGAATTGAAACACATTATAGTAGAACAAGTTGGATTGAATCGACTTGAATTGAGTAATTCATTCTTTATTAAAGCCATCATTTGTATTATATAATTAGTATATTTATTTACAAAATAGAATGCATAGACACAAGAAAGGTTTTGGTATTTTAAGAGTAGTTTCCAATCATCATGACTAAGATATGTCAGCTATTTTCTTTCTTTCTTTATTTTGCTTATCCTTTTATTTTATCTATTGCTTCTTGGAGGCTTCGAGCTTGGCATAATACGAATCGCGGGCGTGAACATTTGGAAGGTGATAGAGGTTCCACCAGGCTGCACCACCGGCTGCACCAAGTGTGAGAGAGATTGAAATGTCTCTGATGATTTGTTTACGGAATTTTCCAGTGATTGGAGCAATCATGGCAATGAGTAGTTATGTAAAGGCAAAGAACAAGAGAAAGAGAGAAAGAGAGAGTGAATAATAGTAAGAGTAAGAGTAAGAATATGGGTATGTGTATGGGAATGGCTGTAAAATAAACGGGCGATTTTTTTTTCTTTTTACATATATGTATATATATATATATATATAATTGACAATTTTATGCATATACATATGTCTCTGTGTCTGTGTACACTACTATTCCTTTCTCTCTATCTCTTTCGTTTGCGTCATTCAAACATGTGTGTGTGTGTAAGAATCCTTTCATTAGTCTCAGGTACCACATTTATTCAGGTACAAAGATGTAGTTTAGTCAAATGAAAAGCCCAACAAAAACATCCTCTTTATTCCTATCTTTGTGCTCTTTAAGGATTTGGAATATACTTGACATTATGTAATCTAATAGTAATAATGACAATAAAAATAAAAGCCAGTGATTATGTTATCTCATCGCATTTGCAATTGCATTTGCATTTGCATTATATTTCCTTGATGGTCATGTGCCTTGGACTCCAGTCTATAAAGCATTGGTGACTGTTTGTAGACTGCTCCATTAAGTGCATATCAATTGAATGTATTTGTGTGTGGATAACAGTAATAATAATAATAAATAATAAGCTCTTTTATTTATTTATTCTTCTAGTTTTTAACCTCTTTGATTTCCTTCTTCTTTTCCTTCTTCTTTTATAATACACATATATATAAAAGAAGGTATTTGAAAATAACTTCTTAGCCCAACTCAACTCAACTTAAACTCAACACAGCACAACACAAGAAGGGTGGGAAAAAATAGTAATATATATATATATATCTATATAGTGTACATACATTAAAGATGAATTTTGGTTCATGTTGACTCTTCTGGGATTCTGATAATACGTCTTTTAGTCGCAATACGTTTTGTATACCGCTTGTTAGTCCGTTTCCTTCTACCCCATCTTTCTCTTTATTTTTATAAAGTAAAATAAAACGAACGTCTATATAACTTACTAATAACAAACGCGTTATTGTTTCCTTTCTTTCTCTTTCTTTCTCTTGTTAGTTTTTTTTTCAAGCATATCTTTTTACAGATTGTAAACAAGTACATTTTCTTGTGCCAATAATAAATAATAATAATCTACGAACATATTAAATCATAACAATGGTCGGCAAGATTCTCAATTATGGCTCGATAAACATTGACGAGTTCTTTACTGTGCCACATATCTGTAAATCTGGAGAGACATTGTCTTCAAGCAGCTATACCATGCGTGCAGGTGGCAAAGGTATTATCTTATTATATATCTATAAAGATGGTGTTTTAAGGTGGTATATTAGAATGGACTGTTAAATAAAGTGTGGTGTATTATAGGCGCAAATCAATCTGCTGCATTGGCCAAGGTACTACAAAGCAAGAAAAAGAAGAAATAAGAGTTATATTATAAAATAGGATCAAAGTTAATTAATCGTTGATCTTTACGGTCATTCTATTATTATTATTATTTTGGGTATTGTGGTTACTAGGCAGGTGGAAAAATCTATCATGCTGGCAAGATTGGAAAAGATGCACTTTGGGTAAGGACAAAACAAGAAGCAAAGAAAGAAGGAAAACGCAAAAAAGAATACAAGATTAATTTATATTAAAATTTTATTATATCCTGTTTTACTTGCATGTATATGCATACGCATGTGTATATGTATGCGTATCTTTGTATATAATTTGCTGTAAACCAAATATGTATATCTACAAATGTATACAAAATTAGGTCCGTGATTATATGAGTGAGCAGGGAATTGATATGTCACTTACTAAACTGGCCGAAGACGAGGTAATTGACAATTTCATATATATATATATATTGGGGGGAGTGAGTGAGGGAGTGAGTGAGTAAGTGAGTAAAGAGAGAGAGAGAGAGAAACAAAAAAAAAGGGGGGGGGGGTGGAAAGGGAAGGAAAGAGCATAGGAGAAGCAGAGAAGGGTAGGGTAGGGGAGGAGGAGAGAGGGGAGGGGAGGGTATTCGATCCACAGTTTAATGAACAAAAAGTACCTTTTTTAGAATAATGGTCGAGCATTAATTCAAGTCAGCCAAGAGACCGGTGATAATGCTATCATGTTGTTTCCAGGTACAAACGGTACCTACGATCCCAAGGAATTTGATGGACTTCTTTCGCAATTTGGCCCTGGAGATTGGATTGTTCAACAGAATGAGATTAGCAAAGGTGGTGAGATGATGAGACTTGCAGCAGACAAAGGTAAATTATAAAAACATGAATTGTATATAAGATATATAAAATATATAAAATATAAAAGAAGTATTACAAGGTTCTTCGGTTGATCCTTAAAATGGTATTGTTGCTCATGCCTTTATTTTTTTTATCTTTTTTTAAAAAATAAATAAATAATTATTATTATTGCTATTACTATTATTACTCTTCTTGGCGATGATGGTGTTAACGTTACCACTATAAACAATATCTTCTGGTGCCTGGATTCTTTACGTCTGCCCGGTCTGTGTCTGTTTATACTTCTTTTATTATTATTATTATGATGGGGGGATGTGCTTGTAGGACTTTCGGTGCTTTTTAATCCAGCTCCGCTTACGCGAGGTATCCTGGACAGCTTTCCATTCGACAAGGTTTCTGTATTGGTGGTCAACGAACACGAGGCCGAAGATCTCTGCCGGGAATTTGGCGGCAATGTATCATTATCGTCGTCCACAGGCTTGGAGATTGCCGGAGAGTTATTCAATCGGTTCAAGACAATGCAGGGTGTTGTGGTAACATTGGGTGGAGAGGGCGTTGTGGGAAAATTCAGAGACCAGGGCGAGATTCGCGACTTTGAGGTGCCGAGTAGAAAGGTGCCGGTCAAGGATACAACAGGAGCTGGCGATACATTTGTGGTAACCTATATAAATATAAATCAGTAAATCAGTAAATCAAAAATAATAATAATGAATCAATGAATATTTTATACAGCATACATACGCATAGATAGTATAGATATATACCATGTATATATAGTCGATTGGCTGACATGGTTTGTTAGGGTTACTTTCTGGCGGGACTTGTACGATCTGAAGCAAAAACGTATTTTGAACGAGTGCACAATGCCCTGGAAGAGGCTAACTTGGCAGCATCGATAGCTGTACAACGTGAAGGCTCAATGGTGTCTGTGCCTACCCTTGCTGAGGTGGAGGAAGCAAAGAAGAGACAATAAATGCCGTACTTTGATATAATAAATTCATATATTAAATACCATCAAGTCTGGAGTGCAATAGAGAGAAAGAGAAAGAGAGAAACAAGCAAAAGGAGATTCTTATTAATATAATATAATATCTGTATGCTGTATAAAGTCAAGATCCCCCTTTTTTTTGTGCTTTGTTACAGCAAGGAGAAGATCAAATTATCAAATCAATTGATAATATAATATTGTACTGAAATTTAGTCTACGTACTCTAAAGTACTGTGCCATATTGAACTGTGTTGAGCTGATTTATTTTTATATACAGTATTTTTACTTGGTTTTCGGACCATATTTTTTTTTCGGACCATCTCTTTTTTTTGGACGATTTTTATTTTAATCTCAGACAGCCTCTATTTTAATTTCAGATATCTACAGAAGGAAATTCAGACAATTTCAATTTTTCTTGCCATTCACCAGCGTACGATGGAATTGTCGAGGGAATTGAGTAATGTCATATAAGATTCCGATTGCCATTAAGCATTTGGCTTTTAATTAGCTCCTAAAATACCCGGCCTATTTTTGTTTTTTTGTTAATGATTTGTTTCGGTTTGGCTGTAGAAAATGAGCTTTATAAAGTATGTTCGTTTAGTGTATCTTTTTTTGTAACTAGAGTCCTTATTTTAGAAATTTTGTCAATTCGGAATCGAATAAAGTACTATGAAAAGTAATTTTTTTTTCAATTCCCTCGTACGCTGGTGAATGACATTGAGGGTAGATGCACTTTAAAAGGAAGTTTGTCTGAAATTAAAATGGAGGCTGCCTGAGATTTAAAAAGAGATGGTCCAAAAAAAAAAAAAAAGAGATGGTCCGAAGAAATTTGGAAAACGTCCGAAAACCAAGTAAAAATACTGTATATAAAAATAAAGTTATAAAAATAAATATAAAAAAAAAAAATCCAATATATTAATTTTCAAGTCAGCTATTTTTAAACACCAAATAAAAGCAAAATAAATAAATAAAAATCTAATAGGGCAAACCATTTTTTGGAACTTCTTTTTCCTTGTTGCCTTTCCTTCATTTTTGTTTTTTTTTTTTGTTTTTTTTTATTATTATTCCTTCATTTTTTTTTCTCCTTTATTTTCTTCTTCACCACCTTGACCACCTTGACCACCTTAACTACCGCCACTCAACCATTCAACCAACTAACCGTTCAATTGTTTAACAAATCATTCAATTCAGCCAACTAGCCGACCTACTTCAACCAAACACTCTTCAACCACCTCAATTATCACCACCACCATCAAGGTGCTATCGTCGTATTCGCTTCTCCTTATCCCACAAAACGAAAAAGAAAAATCTGCAAAAAAAAGGGAAAATAAAATAACCCTTTCACTTTCCAAGAACTGTCTCTCCTTTTCTTATAATTTACAATTCTATATAATTTTATATATAATAATTATTCTGTAAAAATCACAACAAAAAACAAAAAGCCCTTGTTTCTCTCTGGTTTTTTATTATTATTATTATTGTTACCTTTATTCAATTTTTATTTAATTTATATATTTGTAATAATTTCAATAATGATGGTCTACAATCAGCAATCATTCGCAACCCTATCCAAAGAATCTTTGCTTAGAACCGCCTTCCTCGGTCTTGCTCTTGGACTCTGGCAAGTTCCCTCTGCGCTGGCGCAGGATGTCAATCAGACCACACCCACCAACACGACTCAACCTACAACAGTCATTGTGCCTTCTCTCTACAACAACCCTGCCGAACCAACCATCGAGGCCACTGGATTCGATGCCGGCAGCAACGGATCCTCGAACGACAACCAGGAGAGCTGGCTGAAGCACAACAACCGCTACGTCTTTGTCATCATCATCTGTCTCTTTGTATTTGGTCTCTTGCTCTGGTATGTCATCAGAAGCGTCAGGGGAATGCGAACCAGGCTTCAGAACGAAAACAACAACCACGCTCTCATGATGCAACAAGTCAACGGACGATCGGACCATCATCGCGTCATACCCGAGTCTGTTCCTATTCCCATGGACGGTTACAAGGTCGACGGATACCCTGCACCCACGGCAGCACGCCCTCCTCCACATCACACACATCGCTATTGAATAAACATTTACACAAACCTACAAAAACAGAACAAATATATATATATATATATATATAATTGCATACATACATACATACATACATACATACAGAGAGAGAAAGAGAGAAAGTAAGAAAGAACAATATTAAGAAGAAGAAGAAGAAGTAGAAACTGTACCTTTCTTTATTTTATATATATATCTCTCTCTTTCTCTTTCTCTCTCTCTCTGTTTCTTTATAAATATATAGGATACACACATTTAAACATCTACACAATATATGTATGTATACATGTGTCTCAACTAGCAACTAGCAAATAGCAAACAAAAGGCAAGAAAATGTACTTCTTTTTGTTTGTTCCCCTTTTCTGATGTTGTTCACAATTATTACCATTACCATTATTATTATCATTACTACCATTACTACTCTTAACTTTATACTATAATGCCTGCCGATCTTTATTATTAATTTCTATTATATTTTATCACAACGACAATTCCTGTGCCTGTAGTACCTGTACCTGTCTGTTTGTACCTGTCTGTACCTGTATTTGCATTTGTATTTGTATTTGCATCTGCATCAATATATGTGTTTTTGTACATTGAATTGAGGAGGTCTATGCGACCAAGTATGAGAAAGACAAAGACAAAGACACAGATGAGGAGGGGAAGAGCCGGGGTACTGTAGTATATATTTTCTTCTTCTTCCTCTCTCTCTCTTTCTTTCTTTGTACACATTATAAAAAAAAACCAAAACAATTAACTTTATTTTTTATATATAATTTATTTTCAATTATGTTGTATTAAATTAGATTATTTGAAAATAGAATCCTTCTAGATTGTTATATATATCATCAAGTTACATGTCTGAAGAAACAAATATATATATATATATATATATATATTTGTTGCTATTGACAACGGGCCTTTGCTTTGTAGTTCTACATATATAGAAAAAAAAACAAAAGGAATTTTATACTATATTATTAATTTATTTATTTTTTATAGTTAAATTGCAATGTTCAACAAAATTTGCCACCTTGTACAGTTGAGGAATGGAATGTATTGCCAATTCTATGATAATCAACTTCTTGTAACCACCTCTTTATTTTTATATGCGTATATGTTTTGTCCTGGTATTTTAGACACTTCTTTCAAATACAAAACATTATTATATACTCATCGCTTCTTTATCTATCTATCTATCTATATATATATTTTTTTTGTGTGCAATATAAATGTACACGTTTATTTTATATATATATATATATTTCCTTTCTTTCTTTAATTCAAAGATATATTATATATTTTATTGTGACAGAATAATTTTTTTTTTAAAAAAAAAAGTATATATATAGTAAACTAATTTAAATGGTAGTTGGACAAGGATATTTGATACCAAAAAGACTATATTTTTATGTATAAATATGTATATATGTATACACAAAAATAATTGAATAAATAAGCACACACACACACACATATATATATATCTGTGTACGTATAAGTTTATATAAAGTATATAAAGTATATAATGTATAATGTATGGTGTGTGGTGTGTGTTGTATAGTGTGTATAGTGTGTGCTCTAGAGCATGGAAACGGTAACTAAGCACATTTTTTTTTATTATCATTGTAATTTTTTTGGAGTGATTACTTTTTATAGCCAGGCTTTGACAATCTGACTCAAATTAGTGCTTCCCAAAATGAATTCAAACTCAATGTCTGGACACACTGAGAGGACCTATTTGGATAATTTGTGGATGTATGTATATCTGACAGATATCGTTTCAAAATAAGAAGCATGACTTATGAGAGCACAAGTAACTAATGTATAGCGTTGATTGGCCATAAGCTATAACTGAGGTACATTAGAGATCATTAACTACGTTGAAAGTGGTAGAGCTCAGCCATTTCAACAGCGAGAAGAAAAAAGAAGAAGAAAATGAACCTCTTACAAAACTTGTACCTAGTCTCTTTACTTTTTTTTTATACATATAGTAGTACTCTTTGTTTCTTTTCTTTCTTTTAGGCATTATATATCGTTTAGAAAATCCATCTCATATAAAACAAAATAAAAAAAAACGCAAAGAAAAACCTGTCATTGGCTACTATATAAGTTTTGCTAAAGAATACCAAGTCTAGCTCTATTGAAAGAAGTAAATACAGTTATAGATAATTTCCTAGGTACCTTTGTTGTGTATAAAGCCATCTCATCAATTAGCTCACTGGAACCAGAGTTTTTATCGCCTTCTGGTCAATTGCAGACTTGACAGCACGATCTACTAAAGTCGAGTTAAAGTGCTTGGGATGACAAATCCTTCAGAACAAGGAATTATATCAAAAATGTCAAAAAAAAAAAATAAGTCTTGCATTTAAATGTTGTGCTGCTATAAGATTTCTGTCTGAGATGGTCAAGAGATTTAATGCACCCAACCGAGCCGAACCGCATGTACTGTGAGAGCGGCCTTTTTTTTTTATCATTATTTAAGAAAGGGGATAGTAGCTGTTTGTATAGATATTTGGCTTAATGGTTGATTATCACAAAAGCAGTGTAAAGAGTGTATAGGCTATGTTCCTGGAATTACCTTTCCAGGCTCCTTCTTTTCTGAACAGAAAAACATATGGTCATATTTCTGACTTTCAGGGCAGAAACTATTCCATTTCCTTTGAATGCTTTATCAAAACTTCAATTGTCAAAAAAATAAAACAAAACAAGATGTTCTTTCTCTCTTCTTCTTTCAAAATAAGATATTATTATTTTAAGAAAAGTAATATAATATATATATATATTAGGATTTATGTATTATCACACAAAGCACTTGAGAGAGAGAGAGTGAAAAAGGTACAATTGGTTGATGTCATCCATTGACTCTCGATCCTTCTTGCATGACTGTGAAAAATACTAAGAGGATAAATATATAAAATAATTACTATGTAGTACCAATAAAATATATATGCATATCTTTTGTGATTCAAAATCTCAGTAACAAGCTCTAAAGCATTTGGATTAGTAAACCCCCCCATTACTGTATATATAGTATCTATCTGACTATACGCTTATGTTTATGTTTATGTTTATGTTTGTGGGCGTAGTTTACCTAGTTAGTTCTTCTTCTTCTTCTTCTTCTTCTTCTTCTTTGCATTTAGATTATATACGTTCCTCGAGTATTTATTATAAACATGTATGTATCTTATGCAGTCGATTGACAGAATCTATATGTTTTATATACATGATTCTTATCACGTGAAATGAACACGGTCAGTATCTATATAATTTTTTTTAAAAAAAAAGGCCATGCTGTGTAAAACCAAAAGGATCTGAACCTCGGTTTGGCCTTAGTGCGGGATTGAACATGCTCTTAAGTAGGAATAGACCCTCTGAGATTCTTTTTTTTTAAAAAAAAAAATAGTGGGGAGCATTTATGTATTGTGTGTGTGTGTGTGTATGTGTTTGGTCTCTAACACATAAACAGACCCACCCATTTGCTGATAGTAATAGTAATAGTGGTATTGATTGTGTACTTTGGTACTATTACACAACCAACTCTAAAGCCAAAATAAATAATAAGAAGAAAATTCGGCTTTTTGTTCTTATTCTTATTTTATGATCCTTTCATTCTTTATTTTTTATTGCTACTGCTATTGTTATTGTTACTGTTACTGTTACTGTTATTGTATATCTGTGCATTCTGGTTGCGGAAACCATATTAGTTAAGGAAGTTCAAGTGTGACAGGTTTCGTCTGGTACGTTGGAATTCAATGTTCCAGCAGCAGCAGCAGCAGCAACAACAACAACAACAAGAATTAATACCAACAGCACAACCAAACGACGCTATAAAAATATATTCTAGTTCTAGTATAAAAACAAGACCTTTTTTTTAAAAAAAAAAATTAGTATTGTAATAAGCATAATGACATAGACCGTGTAACATACTAGATATTATAGCCTAAAGAAGAATAAATGATAATCGCATCTGTATCATAGAGTAAAGGCGTATTTTAGAGTGTGTAGTGCTGATGTCATTAATAGTATAATGAAAAGCTTAGTAATATTAACAGTAACAGTAATTAAGGGCAGCCTAAATGTAAATGTGAATGTAAACATTTATATCTACTTTTTTTTTAATAATATTTTTTGAAAATCTAAAAAAAAAAAAAAAAAAAAAAAAAAAAAAGATGAATTTAATTATTGATCTGATATTTGCTCTTGTAAAAACAAATTCCCTCAAAAATAAATAAATATCATACAAAATCCTATTTGATTTAGACTTGACTGTCTCAAGAACACAGTAATGTGATTCACAATTCACTATCTATCTATCTATCTATCTATCTATCTATCTATATATCTTTCTGTGCGTATGTATACACACATTGTAAATTCTAAATTCTAAATTATACAAATACAAATATATATATATTTTATGATTATTACTTCATTAATATTATTAATACTATTATACTATATAATATAAACGCAAGAATAATATATATATTTTATCCAATGGTATAGCGGAAAATATCTAATTCCGTTACTGGTCCCCTGATTTTATTATTATTATTTTATCACTATGGTTTTGGATTAGATCCAAAAAAATAAAAAAATAAAAATAAATAAAAAAGCTTACAGCTAGATAGTTTAATATACTCCATTTCTTACTGTTTTGTTGTTGTTGTTGTTGTTACTATTGACTACTGACTACCACCACCACTAATACTAATACTAATACTAATACTACTAACTAGTATTATTTCTTTATGGTCTAAACCAAAAAAAAAAAAAAGTATAAGAATATTAAAAGAGGTACAAGCAAATAGCGGCGAATCTAGCTGGATAATAATAATAATAATACGGTATGTACGTACATACGTATGTTTTTATTTATTTATTTATTTATTTTTACTGTTTTCCCAGACTTGGATAAATACAAAATGATCTTTTATTATATATATATATAAGAGAGAGAGAGAGATCAAAGAAAATAAGAAGAAACAAGAGCTGTGCTACGTTGCATTGGCATTAATTAAAGTATTTATGGTGAATTTAGATGTAAAGTCGAATTTAACGGTTATGTTGGTGTATTTGATATGGGCTTTGTACCGTTTATTTTTGTGTATCATACATGATTATATATATATATTGTATGGGGTGTGTTTGTGCTTAGAAGGCATAGCATAAACAAAGATATAGTTTATTTACATATACTTATTGATATAGTGTGGCATGTTTATTGTTGATATTAGAGTCTGAACGGTGTAGCGTTTCAAAACATGATATATATATAAAAAAAGAGAGAGAGAGAGAGCGGGCAAAGGATCTTTTTTGTTGTTGATTTTGATTCTTTTTTTTTTGGGTTTTGTAGCGTGTATGATGTACAATACATGGTTTTATATCATGAGTGATTGTTGATTGAAAAGTTTTGCGTTACAGGAGAAGTTTGGTGGGCATAGGCTTGGGGTGAAAATTCAACTGGGGCTGGAAATATGTTTGGAATGATGATATGAGAAGAATGAGAATGAGAATGAAGGTTTGGGTTTGGAACTGTTGATAGTGTAGATGATAATGATAATGATGCTGATGCTGATGCTGATGTTGTACATGGCGTTGATGGTGTTGATATTGATGCTATTGATTCTGTAGACATTGAAGGTGTAGAAGTAGGTAATGAATGAGAGACTAGCGATTGTTTCTGCTGCTGTTGACGAGTATTCTTTAGTGTTGGCTGTTTCTGTTTCTGTTTCTGTTTCTGTGGTGGTGGTGAAGATGATATTGATGATAATGCTGATACTGATACTGATACTGATGCTGATGATGAAGTGGTATTACCCGTATCGCACCGCTGACGTTTTTTGATCACATTTGTCTTCATTGACAATGGTCGCTTTTCGTTGTGAAGTTTGAGACTATAATATAAAGCGAGGTCAATAACAATGTATATAATTTGTTATGTTTCTTTCTTTTTTTTTTTTTAAAAAAAAAAAGAAATTATCTAATTAATTAATGAGGGATTTTTTTAAAATATTTTTATGTATATATATATTTATGATTAAGGTATGTAAATACAGATGCACTCACTATAGACCACATGCGTTACAGAGTGGGTTTCCTTTGAGATCACGTCTCCAGAGAGGTGTGGTTGTAGTGCGGCAATTTGTGCACAAGGTCTGGATGAGATTTTCCTCGTTCTCCGGTACACCTGGTCGATTATTCGATTGTGGTTTGAGATGTCTTGGGCGAGGTGCATTGTGTAGTTTTAAGCTATAATTACAGATATTAATGTTAATTGATAATTTGATATTTTGTAATTTTGTAATTTTGTAATTGGCAATTGTCAATTGTCAATTGTAGTAAATTGACATATAAAAATAAAAGTGGATAGGTTTAATTATAATGATAATAGCACTACAAGGAATATTGAAACCGTGTGTATGTATATCAAGCCAAATTAAGCAAAAGCAAAGAAATACATATAAAAATATAAAAACTTACTATAGTCCACAGGCATTGCAAAGTAAATCATCTTCGGCCGACCTTCTCCACAGCGGAGTCGAGGTAGTGCTGCAATTGCTACAGATTGGTATTTTACCCTCAGATGGTGTGCTGTTGATAAATGGTCTCCTAGCAACCGATTTGTGTGACGGGGCGTTAATGAATAGACCGACTGGTGAGACGCAAGTAGGTGAAGATGGGGTTAGTGGCGAGACAGGGGTCGGACTGAACAGGGGGAACGGAAGAGTGGCTGAACACAAAGGTGCAGAGAGAGAGTAGGTTTGGGAATGTGATGAGGATGGCCGGAAGGAAAGATCTGGTGGTGAACAGACCGCAGATTGTGTGACAGATAAGGTGTTTTGATTATGATGATGATGATTGTTATTATTATGATTATTTGGTGGCTCTGATGCTGACAGTGTTTGAGGTGGTGGTTGTAGAGATGTTTGCACAGGCCCGTCATTTAGATTCGAAAAAAAGGGTAGGTGCGTTGTTAGAGATGATGGCTCATGCGGGTTTAGGGCGTCCTTTTGCATGTAGCCAAGAAAGGCATTGATTTCGTCAAGCGAGCCAAAGATGTCCTGAAGTTGCACGATCGGATCATGTGTGGCATCAAACCTTTGTAGAGACAAACATTGGGTCGTCACTAGATGCGGATCTGGTGTCTGAATAACGCTACTACCATTATTACTGCTGCTGTTGTTGTTGTTGTTTCTATTGATATCATTGATATTTGTGGCAGTAGATTTAGCTACTGTTGTTGTTGTTGTTCTAGTAGGAGTATTACTAGGAGTGTAAGGAGTAACAGGAGTAGAAATATCAACAGAAACAGCCTTGGCAGTCTTGGCACCAGGAGGAGGGAAATTAAGCGTAAGATCAGATTGTTGAATGTTCTTGGTTGTATCTTTTGTGGTGTTTGTCTTTGGCGCCTGCACTTTTGACAAAGAGGGTGTGTTTTTTGATATTTTTTTCTGGCAGGGAGGAACAAAGCTCTTTGGCAAACGTTTGAGGATCTTTGCCTGCTGTCTTTGTTGCTGTAAGCGTAAGGTACGTCTGTACTCCAGCTGTTTTTGGTGATATTTTATTTTCTGTAATTCCTGCTCTGTGTGTACCTGAGTAGTACTAGTACTACTATTAAGGGTAGCAGTGGATTGTTGGGATGTCTGATTAAAAGGCAAAGACGAAGCCAAAGGTAAGGGCGACGGTAAGGGTGAAGACGAAGACACGGACATGGACATTGAGGGAGATGGAGAATCCAGGATGCTGGGATCTTTTAGATCGATATCCGATTGACTGCTGTTATTTTTGCTGTTCTGATGGTGGTGTATTGTGTGGGCAAACCAGAGTCTCCAGGATAGATTCTCTAGACGAAGACCGTTCTCTAGTGAATCCTTGACCTTTGTACAGACGCGCCATGTTGCCGACAGATCGTCTTCTGTGCCCAGGTACGAGAATTGGTTTAGAGGACTGTCCTTGATTTTCAATATAATTGGAGCCATTCAAGTCAAAGAAGTAAAAATAATAATTAAATAAAATAAAATAATTAAATAATTAAATAATTAAATTATATTATATTATATTATATTATATATATATATATCTTTATAATTATTTTTTTTTTGGCGATAAGAGTTTTTGTTTCTTTTATATATATATATATATATATAAATAAAAACTATAATTTTATGCTCTGGTACTTTCTTATTATGGAATCTGCTGGTTATAAAGGGTCAAATATCAGTAATCCATCATAAGTACATATACAGTTCCTTTTGCACATGAAGAATACAAATATATATATATATATATATACATTTCTGTCTTTACCTTTATTGGACAGATTGGAGAAGGTCGAATTATAAAACGTGTGCGCTTGTATATAAATAGATAAATAGATAGATAGATAGATAGATGTGTGCAGATAAAAGAAGAAGAAATATTCAGTAAGAAATAAAGAAAGGATATTTATAAATATATGTATAAGCACATGTACATAATATATACAAAATGTCTGTGTATGTCTATAGAAGCAGTAGCAGTAGAAGCAGTAGCAGTAGTGATGTATGGCTGATAAAGAAAGACAGCTAGAGAATGCGCGCGTGTAATATATATGTGTAGTATGTGTGGCGGTGTAAGTGTGTGTGGCAATGTGTAGCAATGTGTAGCAGTGTGTTTGTCCCTGTGATTACAAAGGCTATGAATATTACATGTATATATTTGTATGTATTTGTATATAATATATAAATGTATATATATATATATATATATTATACGTATTTGTGTAGAATGCAGAAAGAACCCAAGGCTTTCATTTTCTGCTCTTTTGCCCTGTGCCTCTTATATATATATATATATTTATATACAATTTTTTTTTTGGTAGGGAGAAAAAAAATGAAAAGCTTACTGAGACTCAATTTTTTTTTTTTTTTAATTATTTACTATATTAATCCTTATTACTATTTCTTATTATAAAAATATATAAAATAAATCATGTCAGGTATAAAGTATAGATATATTATTCTTCTTCTTTATCCTAGTATTGCACCCCCCTTGCCTTGTCTTTTTATATATATATATATTGTATATATGTTTGTATTGATTGTCTTTAGGACACAAACACCTTTTTGAGATCCGTAAATTTGCACACAAAACCAGTTCTTGGACAGGTGATAGTACCACCATGTTTGCAGTTCATATCTTGCAACGCCTGCAGTAAGAAAACAAGAAAGAAATACAAATACAAACAGTAGTTGATTAAATACGGCTTAGCTTCAAACTAGTATACAAACACACAAACACACGAAAAATAATGATTCTTACTTCTAGACTGTAGACACGTCCGTTAGGCAACAACATTGGAGGATTGTCTTCATTCATAATCTTGCCACTCATTCGGCATACGATTGTGGAGTTGAGGTGGTGACTCAAGGGTAGATTTTCTGCAAGTTTTCCAAGGGTCTCGGTGTCACACACAGGGCAATTCACATTTCTATTCTCGTTTTGAAAGCATTGGGGTGTCTTCAGGGCCGACAGTCCGACCTGAAGTGTAATGTACAGTAACGGGTGGGCCGTGAGAGAGCAGAGCGCGTAATTATCCGATCTGAATTGTTCAACAAGATCCAGCCAGCGGCGACCATCATACATACTCTAATAAAAACAGATAAGCTTTTCTATATTATAAAATACTATGCTAAAACTATATACACATATGATTTCATCTTCTTTCTGTCTTTCTTTCTTTTCTATCTTTCGGTACCTTGTATGGCTCACAGCGTGTATCGCTTTTGTGCGGAAGTATCCCCATTACTTTAATAATTCTCTCTTGCTCTGTAGGCTGCCATGGAGCAAGATACTTGCGTGCATACAGTACTGCTTCCACAAGTTTGGATTGTCTCGCCAACTCAACGAATTCTTGCATTCTTAAATTGAACTCCAGCGTACTCTATATATATAATAATAATAATAAAAAAAAGAAGGAAACGGAAGAACAATCATGCCGGAGATAAATAACCAAAAAAAGAAGTACAAAAAAAAAGGGACCTCCCCCCAATATACACACACATATATTCACACTCACCTTTATCTTCCTTAGACCAGACCGATTGTCGGCACACCATTGCAAGCATTCTTTACAGCTCCGTTTCTTTAAAGAAGTCTCCACCTTTTCACACTGTGCAAACAACTGTACATCTACCATCAACTTTATTTTTTTTATTTAAAAAGAAACATTAGTATTGTCCTAAATACTCAATATATTAATCCATTCACAGCTTTATCACACATTGACTAACCAACTAATTTTTTTTTTTTTTCGTTGGAGCTTTATACCTCTATTCCATTCTCTACTGCCATTCTCTGTGCTGTCTCTGTCAGACCCTCTCTGAGCAAATAATCCACAATCACTCTGTTCAACCTTGTCTTTGTCCACTTTTGGAATTCTGGTGCCTTTGCAGAACTTGCACCAGACACCACATTAAGGTCGTTCAGTCTTGCTTTGATACGATGAGTATGGCCAGCTTCTTCTTTCTTAATTCTCTCAAGCTATCATTTTTATCGTTTAATAAAATAAAAGATGGTTAGATACAATAGCAAAAATTAATATCATCTTATATTATGGCTGTTGCTTAAAGCTAATTGAACTAGTAAGTAACCTTTTTTGTCATGCCTTCCACTTGCTTCATTAGTTCATCAAGTGTCATTTGCGCTTTTTCGAATGACAACTTTCCATCATTGGCAGCCTTGATGCATCGTTCAATCTTGTCATTCAGAACCATAAGCTCCTTTTCGGTGTACTTGTATACTTGTCGGAAAGATTTTCGAAGTTGTTCATATGGAACCTATAACACCATTATTCACCATAATTATTATCGTAGTAATAATAAAATCACACCAGATCAAATATATATACATAAGCATAAAGAAATGTGTAAAGTTGTCAAGTTTATAAAGAAAACTGAGAAAATAAATCCATCTTGATAAAAGCTATATACTTTATAGACATGACTTGGATTTATCAACTACTACTACTACTACTACTTCTTTTTTCTTAAGATTTCTATTTCGTGATAAAAAGAATGTCACTTCATTTTGTCATTATACATTCATTCTGAATCCCTTCATTTAATTAGAAATGCATATATAGATATATATTTCAACCTTGACAAATGGCTGTTCAAGCTCAATAATCTGCTCAGGCTTGGTTTGGTTCATTCGAATATGTATAAATTAATTTGTATTGAGAGAAAGAAAGAGGTAAAAGAGAGAAAGAGAGAGACTACCCAAAATAATAATAATAGTAGTAGTAGTATAAAAGAGAAACAACCTCAATTATTAACAGCTACACATATATACACTACTATATTGTACTATACACATTCACATAATTCACACACACACACATATATATATATATATATTTATCTATCTGTCTATAAACAAGATTTGCACGACGCATAAGGTGTAAACCAACCTGCCGCAGTCACATTCCCATTACAATATATTACTAACATTCACAGTAAGGATCCTCTTTACCTTTTTTTTTTATTATATATTTTATATTTTATATTTATTATTTATTATTATCTTCATCATGATTCCAAGTGATGTCACCACACCTACAGTTTCTGCAAGACCTGCAATGAGACCACCAAAGGTTAGCAAGAATAAGAAGAATATTCTGTAAAGATATTAATTTTATCATTGTATCCGTGATATACATATACATATGTACATAGCCTTCTCTTCGCCCAGAGCAAGTCAGACAAGTCGAATTATCGCAGCTAGAAAGACGTTACCGGTCGTCATTTAGAACTGTTAGGTAAATGACGACCAGATACACATATATGAAGTAGAAAAGAAAAAAAAAGAAAGAAAGCAACAGATCCCCAGACCCACAGTTCTAATAGATTTTAATCAATTAATTATATATATATATCTTTATACACATTTGTACGGCTTTAGAACAACCGAAGAATCTACAGTTGTACGACTGGCTATTGTTCCTAGCGATCCTGACTTTCCCTTTGAACTCGAGGCGCTTCAACTTCAGCTCGATATCCCGGTTGATTACCCGGCTAAACACTGTTCGGTAAAGGTGATGAACCCAGAGATACCTCCTGGATTTGCTTTGTAAGATCAGTACCAAAAAAAGAAAGAAAAAAAGAAAATAATATACCATTAGATCTATCTATCTATCTATCTATCTATTTAATTATATCTTGATTTGGTCTCTCGTGTGTTAATATTTCTACCTTTTCTTCGTCTTCGTCTTCTTTTTTCTTTTTTCTTTATGTTTCTGTTCTATATCACACGTATACAGTCATTTGGAACGAGGATATGATGTTTATGCTAGTAAACGTACGAGCACACTCGTCCGTCAAATGGACTGGATGGATAAGAATATGGAAATCCTTTTACAGGAACCACCGGCTCCTACAGTCAAGTTTGTTTTTAATAATAATGCCTCACATGAAGATACCTTGACAAGATTATCCAACCTGGAAATTTCTTCACCAACTCAGACAGAGAATAAGCCCGAGAATCCAAAGAAAGTAAAGAAACCAAGAAAGCCAAAGCAGCCAAAACAACCAGACCAACCAAAGAAACCAAAGAAACCTGAACATCCTGCACAACCACCTGCAATTGATGCCCCTCAGAGTACCAACAGTACACCAACCATCTCATATACCCATGATCAACTTGAAGAAGCTAGCAAGAAAAGAGAGCAAGAACTAAGACAACTTCAAGCTCGCTTCCGGTCTACTTACAAAGTTTTAGAGTAATGATTTCTTTATGATATATATATGTATGTATATCTGGGAACATTGACTCACTCTATATAAATATATATTAGATGCGACAAAAACCGTATAGTGGTAGAGATCAAGGTACCCTTGACAGATCCAGATTTCACTTTTAGTCAGAAATTCGGAAATGAATTACAAGTCGACTACAGTATACCAAGCTTGTATCCACTCGAATCCTGCAGTGTTGAGATCAAGAATGATACAGAGTACAGGCGGTAGGAATTGGTTGAATGGTAGAGTCTATCAGTCATACTAACTATAAGTCTGTGCTGTCTAGGGTCATAAAAGACACTTTTGCTGATTATGTGAAGGATGGAGCACACTCGCTCTTTAGTAATCTCAATTGGCTCAACCAGAAACTACCCACCATTCTGTCTAACCCGGTTCCTGTCTATCACGCTCAGAAACAACAGGACCATACTGTTTCTTCTTCTTCGACTGCCTCTACTTGCTCCACTTCTTCGACTTCTCCGGTTGCTGCGGTTACTGCTGGTGTTCAAATCACCCCTGATCCTAGTCCTGCGATGCCTGCTATTCCGTTTACAGAAAAAGAAAATCAAAAGAAGAAAAAGAAAAAGACATCGTTGTTTGATGAGCAAGAGAAATCCAACAGAGTAATTATCGTAAGTCGTCCTTTGGTCCACCCTGACCCTGACCATTCCGATACGACCTCTTTACCTCACCACAAACATCATAAACATCCCAAACCTGAAAGTGAAGATGAAGGAGATTCTAGTGATGACAATAATGATAATAAAAATAGAACTAGAACTAGAACTAGAACTAGAACTAGAGATACTGACAGTGATAGTAGCTGTAGTAGTAATAGTAGTGAAGAAGAAGAAGAGAAAAAGGCACCGTTGCCTGTAGCTGGACCGGCTGCCCGTAGAGGTACGGCCATTCGACTGATCGAACCTAGATTGGAAAATGTGTCACTGTTTTACTGCCTATCTCTGCACCTGATTGTCAAGTGTGCAAGGTGCAAGAATACAGTCGAGATTGAAAATCTGATGCCTGAAAAGGTGTCACTTGGAGGGAGACAGGAAGGAAAAGAACGTTGGATGACATGTACAACCTGTTCCTCTATTATCGGTGCCAAGTTTATTGGAGGTAAATTTTAAAATATGTATAGATGAACATGAAAAATAAAAATAAAAATAAAATAAAATAAAATTGTTTCCTTTTTATTATTATTATTATTATTATTATTATTATTATTATTATTATGTTTACTGCTTTGATAGTCTTACTGTATGTATTTATATATTTATTCTTACTTTTATGTACAAACATGTGTAGAGTTTATGCACGAGAATGCTAGGACTGTGGGATGCTTACAATTAGCTGGATGCACGCCATTTGATGTCCTGCCGTCTTCATTTATCGGGACCTGTGGAAAATGCATGGACGATATGCGGTCTCCTGTTCGAATAGCGCCCAATGATCAACCGGCATCTGTGCACTGTTTTGGGTGTCATGCCAAGATGACGATTTGGCTTGGAGACTTTAAGTTTGCCCAGGTTGGCTTGATTGGGCCGGACGGCAGCAGTAACGGCACCGATCGGCTGAGGGCAAGCGAGCAGCAGGTGATGAAGCTAAAGCTAAAGAAAACCAGGGTCAAGGAAGAGCTGTTGACGATCGGACAGCCGCTCCCTGACCAGGGTACATGCATACACTATCGAAAGTCCAAGCGCTGGTTCCGGTTTTCGTGCTGCAACAAACTCTACAAGTGCGACCAGTGCCACGACCGCCAAGAGGACCACCCGTGCGAGATGGCAAAGCGGCATGTGTGCGGGCTATGTTCAAGAGAACAGGCAATAGGACCAAAGCCATGTGCGTGTGGCCATGATTTTGATCGTGATCATCAAAAGAGCGCTTTCTGGGAAGGAGGACAGGGAACACGGAATCGGGATGCAATGAACCGCAAGGTAAATGATTAGTATGATGATAAAGAGGGAAAGAGGTGTTGCCTTTTCCTTATTTTTTTAGACAACAAGCCATTTTATAGACGAGTGTGTGTTTGAGAATGCTTAAAGATTGATCTAAATCTATATAATTAAATTAAATTGTATTGTACCTTTTAGGATTCACACAAATACAAGGGGAAGGCCAAGGTTACGTCAAAGAAACAAGAACGTGTGGGGATGGCAGGCAAGGAAAAATACCAGAAAAAGGAAGCAAATGAATAGATACATTTTATATATAAATAAATAAATAAATTATGTAAATGGCGGGTTTAAAGCCAAGTATAAAAGAGGGGCAGGGTTCTTAAGGAGGAAATGAAACAGAAGACAAAAAAGAAAAAAAAAGGGGGTGGTCAACCTCCTTGGCATGATTATTAACACTGCAAATTGATGGAATTCATTCATGCATTTAAACAAATATATATATATATATATATATATAATCTCTATTTAAGCACCAATAACCAATAACCAATAACCAATAACCAATACACACAAAAATCATATTATTTTATTATTCGAGCCAGTAACAACTTGATAGGTACCTAGATATATTTATAAAGGATTGGGTGGGGAATGCCAGATGTCCCATTTACATTCTGACACCGAGAATTGTAGGACTTATACATATCCTTGCATGTCAAAGGGCTTTTGTGATTATTTAATTTTGTATGTATTATAAATTTATATATACATAAAAAAAATTATTATTATTATTATTATTATTATTATTATTATTATTATTATTTTTGGCGGGAATCGCTTGCTCAACTCTATTCTATTCCCTGTATTTTGGATCCTGTCTTTTATGCTTTGGCTTTGAGTGCATCAAAGCTGTATGTAGCATATGTTGATGTAAAGTAAAAAGATATAAAATAAGAAGGTATAAATTATAGATATGCACATAATAGATACATACATAATATTCATATATTTCAAAAGGTGAAATGTTAATAAGGCCTTTTTGAATTCAATTCAATTCAATTCGAAAAATTTCACATTCCCCACAGTCATTTCTATTTCTGCCACCCCCCCGCCCGCCCTCTCTCTCTCTCTCTTTCAAACACTCACTCACTCACTCAGATATATATATATATATATTATATATACACTACTCATTTGTATTGTTATTTTTTGTACTTTATTTTATTTCACTTGACTTTACTTTTTTTTTTCTCTTTTTCCTTTTTTCCTTTCTCTTTCTCTTTCTCTTTCTTCCTTTTTCCTTTTTTTTTGTTGTTGCTTAAAGGGCTTAGAAACTCATGACAAGTGATCCAGCACTCATTAGCTCCCGCACTTCAAGCGCCAGCAACTCATCATCATCAGCTGAAATTCGTATCCATCCCCTTTCACCATCCCTCACTAATAATGACCAACAACAACAACAACAACAACAACAAGACGGAAAAGATAGAAAGGAAGAAGAAGAAAAAGACAATGACGACGACGAAAAAGTAGACGAACAAGAAGAAGAAGAAGAAGAAGAAGAAGAAGAAGAAGAGTCGCCTTTGTTTCAAAAACATCAAGCACATCATATACAGCAGATGCAACAGGGCTTAGACGACGTAACAACTATTTTTGTGGTCGGGTTCCCGGAAGATATGCAGGAACGAGAATTCCAAAATATGTTTACCTTTTCTCCCGGGTTTGAAGCTGCCTCTTTAAAGTGGCATTGTAAAGAAGGTGAAGACGACGGACTTACGGCTAGTTTATTGGCAGCAACCGGAAAGAAGCAAATGGTAAGAAGCAACAATATATACATATATACATGCTGTATTATAAAATGTATATATATACATATAATGAGATAATCTGTGTATATAACATTGGACTTGGAAACAATTATCGGTCTTTAAGTTTCAAACAAAAAAAAAACGATTTCTTTTCTTGTGGTTGCTTTAAAACAAAAGCACATATATTTCTATTTGATTAGAGGGGAATTCTCCCTTTTTTTTTGTGACATTTGTTTATTTTATTTTATTTTTCTTTAAAAAAATTATAGATTGGATTTGCTAGATTTCGTACTCGATTTGAAGCAATGGAGGCTGTGGAAGTGTTGACGGGCAAGAAGATTGATCAGGACAAGGGACATGTATTGAAGGCCGAGATGGCCAAGAAAAACCTTCATCTGAAACGGGCATCGCTTGCACCGGGCATGATTGACACCTCGTCTTGGAAGAAGACAAACGATTGCGATGTCTTTCTACCTTTACCCAGCGATCTCTTGTCGCCTTCGTCTGATTACAAAAAAGACCCTTTCCTGGCCGATCTAAGCACGACACCTTCACCTGTGTTCAGTGACACCTTTTTTGGCTTGCGCTCCCAATCGTTTGATGTGCGCAGTCCGAGTCCGTTTGGTGTGACAGCCACTCCTCGTGCCTTTAGCCTCTACCCACCCGCACGCAAGTCCTTGTCCTGTCTTGGTGAAGAAGAAGAGACCTTTAACTATCTCTCCAAATCATCCCCGGTCCTCCAAGACCACAATGGCTTTACAAACAACGGCATGCTGTCCTTCTTTGGCGAATCTGATTTCCTCAATCGTCTCGGTCCATTCCCACTCCAGACCAGCAGCAGCTCTATCCCAGATTACAACAACAACAACAACAACAACAGCAACAACAGCAACATTAATAACATTAACAATAGCATCAATGGCATCAGCATCAGCAACAGCATCAGCAACAGCATCAGCAACAGCATCAGCATCAGCAACAACAACAATAACAACATTAATAGTAATAATAGTAATGGAACTACCACTACTAGCAATGGTAACAGCAACAGATCCCAATCTTTGCAGTCCAGCCAGCTTCCTATCTCTCATCATCCTCTCTCTCACCTTCCTCTCACTCACCCTCTGTCTCACCCTCACCAACATCAGCACCAACACCAACACCAACACCAACACCAACACCAACACCAACACCAACACCAACACCAACACCAACACCAGCTCCAGCACCAGCTCCAGCACCCTCTCCCTCACCCTCACCCTCACTCACATCCTCACCCTCATTCGCATTCTCACTCACTCCCTCTTCCTCTGCCACCGCTCCCTCCATCTGCTTCGTCTTCCATGCCAGTTGTGCCCACTGGAACAGGCAATCCAGCCGATCAGAATCCACCCTGCAATACGTTGTACGTTGGAAATTTGCCACCCAGCACGAGCGAGGAAGAACTCCGCCAGATGTTCAGCCAAAGTCAAGGGTACAAACGCATGTGTTTCCGCAACAAACCCCAAGGCCCGATGTGCTTTGTAGAGTTTGAAGATGTTGTCTATGCCACACAGGCCCTTGCCGACCTCCAGGGACAGTCGCTCTCCAACTCAGTCAAGGGTGGCATCCGTCTTTCGTTCAGCAAGAATCCGCTCTTCACAAAGCCCAACAAAGACACCCTGCCTAGCCTCTTCCACCACAAGCAACTCAGAATGCCTGTCCTGGATCGTAGAGAACTCTACTTTGATTCCCAATTCTAAGATAAAAAAGAAAGAAAAAAACAAGAAGTCAAGAAGTCAAGAAAGGATAGGAGAAAAAGAAAAAAACAAATACCTTTCTTTCCTTCTTTCATTTTACTATCAACTATTATACATTTCTCTTTATTTTTATTATTATTATTATTATTATTATTTTATTATTTTTGCATGCAGCATAAAATCCATCTTTTATATTATATAGTCCTGGCTGGCTTGTCATTTGCACCATTTTGTTTTTAATCCTAATATTATTTTTTTATTTTCACTATTATCATGATACTTTTTTTCTTTAAAATATATATCTATCTATCTATATTATTCTCATACACTTCTTTATATATTTCAAATAATCTTTTGCTTCACTTGCACCCACCTACATACATTATATACTATATTTATGATTTAAAGATAATGACAAGGGATATTTTAGAGTAAGAGCACAGGTTGTTCTTTATCCATTCGAACCCCAACCAAAGGGAAACAAGAAAGAAATTCTGTTTTTAGATGTCTGTAAAACAATGTACACACTGAGTAAAAATAATAAGAGAAGATTGGTTAATTACAGCAACCAATAACCAACTTTATCTATCTTGTAGTTGGTTGTATTAATCAGCATCTATTTCACATTATATATATATTTGTTTCTTTTATTTTTACCGTATCCTCCCACCACCAAATTTGGATATTTTACTGTAAAGACAAGTTTGGGCTATTACCCAATCTATAATATTTTAAATTATAAATAAATAAAAAAAAAAAAAAACCTTAAGATTTTTATAGTTCATGTCAACTTAAATTCATCTGTGGCTGTCAGATATTTGAATAAAAAGGCTTGCCCTGAATAACGCCACTCGATTTATAGTTTATTCACTGCCCCTCATCCCTATCTCTGTCTCTCTTATTAAGGTTGCAAATATTAAACATTAATTAATTAATTAATTAATTATCCCTCTTATATAGCACACAAAAACATTTGCATAAATCAAAGATATAATAACCCGGCTGCCTAGGCTTATAAGACCAAAGTACAAAATAATATCAGTAGTATCCTGCCACACCACATCTTAGCCCTACATTCTTTCTTTTGGTTGACGAACACTCGAATCTACTTTCTGACTAAAGACCAGAATACTTATCAAACACATCTTATCCAAAAATAAAACAAATAATAATAATATATCACCATGCGTGCTCTTATCAGAAAAGAGACTCATATCTTTAGAAAACAAAAAGTCTAAAAGATAACAGGTAATATCATAATAACCTTTTTCACAAATACATACACACACACATATATATATATATATATATATATATATTGCTTTCTAGTTTTGGTGCATAAAGTATGATTTTATCAAACTGTCAAAATGACAAATTAAAAGCTGAAAATCAGCTACAAGTCAAAATTTACAAAGTCAATACGCTCTACATATATAAGTAACCTGGTCAGACACGTCAAGATCCACCGGTCGAGCGTTGTTTTGTATTGATTGCTTACATATTGATAAAGTTATCCCATTTTTTCACTCTTAAAAAACCATTTACTAATAAAAATTGGCTATTTACACCAAAAAGTCCATTTTTGATGTCCACTTTTTCCTCAGAGCAACATCTGAGAAAAGATTGAAATTTTTTATTTTTGTTCTATTAAGTAAAGTTGTGCAAAACGTAAAACGGTACCGGCCAGTGCTTGTTTGACCAGCAACAGACCAATATTCATGGAGATATCGTTGGATGTAAAAATACTAATATCGATATTTACACCACCGAAAGATGTATGGTAAATGTCCGACATTGAAATTCTGTGTTCTTAAGAAAGATCAATCTCACTGTGCAATGGAAGGTTAAGGGATATTGACATCAAGTTCTCTAAAAAGTGCCATATGAATGGCCCACAAACAAAATCAATACAATATAACAAGGGACAAGATAAAAGGGAGGAAAAATTGTGGGCGCAATAATGAGTGTTCTGGTAACCATGGAGATGACAGAGACTTATAAATGTCAATTATTCTCTTCCTTTACTCCTGACTGGCCTGTGCTTTCCTTACACAAGGGGAGTTTTTTTTTTGAAAAAAAAAATTGGTGAAGTAAAGAGCACATAAAGAGCTGGTTAGTGATTGGATAGAGAGACTTATTCATAGATAATCTTATTTGACTCTTATACATATACTGACATTGTTATTTTGATACTTTTTAAAGTAAAGGACTTATAGCTTTAATAATATACTTTATGTTCTTGTATCCCCAGCATCATTCCGAGGCTATTAATGTAATGTAATATTATATAATATACATGTATCCATATTGGTATTATTCTCCTTCTCCCCCCCTTTCTTTTTAACACAATTTCAGCCCAAAAATTGCAATAGAACTAGCTTATTGCTTGGGTGTGCGCTTGTTCACTTGGTTCTACTCTTTCTTTAATGCTGAGAATGTGTAGCCGTAATCGAAATTGTATTCAAGACATACTTCTTTTTATTTGCTTTAAAATAAAGTGTACGATTGTTTTTTTATTTATTTTTTGCTTGAAGCAAAAGAAAACAAAATCTAAAATGTACCTTGCGATGCTCTCTTATCGTCTGATAGCCCTACAATGTTTTAGCTTGTATATCTATACATTTATACCTTTAAATTTTATTAAAATATATAGAATAAAGGAGTGTAAGACTATTTCAAGCTTATATAAATCCATGTTGAAATCATCCAATATAAAATATGGCTATTTCACACAAAATGGCTACAGATCATTGGGTCATAATTTACCACCCCTTTATATTCAAACAACAAGTCCCAAGGGTAAAATTGTATATAATAATTCAACAATCAATCATCGTAATTTAAGTGGCTATAAAATGTGCTTACGCTTTCATTACAACATTCTTTCTTTATACATTTATTTGATCTTCATAATCATTTACTCTCTCTTTTTTTTTTTAAAAATAAATAAATAGTTAGTTAGTTAGCTAATTAATTAATGAATTAATGGATTGATTATTATATATTTTTCTACCTCTCTCAAATAATAACAATAACAATAATGATGATGATAATGAAGCGTTCAGCACCCTCGACGGTAATCACCACGCAAAGTCCAAAGAAAAGATCAGCTACTGCTTCAGGACCCAAGTATGAGGAAATCAAAATTGTGATGTACAACCCCACTACGGGTAAAAGCAATGTGGAAAAGTCTGCGTCCGCCCATCCACTTACACTCGCACCAGCCAAAGCCAAAGCCAAAGCCAAAGCCAAAGCCAAAGCCAAAGCTCAGCCCGCCCAGCAACGCATACGAGGAGCATGGGGTCTGGAAAGAGAAGTGGCACTGATGCAAGCCTATAGCATCCATAAACCATTTGCTGCTACAGGTGCACAGACAATAAAAGCCTGGGAGGATGTCCAAGAGGCCGTAAACACGATCGACTTTGGACGCAGGAACCCGTTAGCTATAAAAAGCATCAAGCGGAAGAAGAATGAACTATTCAAACGCTTTCGACCAGCCTTTGAACAGCACCATGATAAAGAAATTTCGGCTGAAAATACCACGATTCAAGATACACTTGAAAAAGTACTATATACTGCAATGAAAGATGTGAGCCTTTACTATTCCTAGAGAGAAAGTACAATTTGGCTTGCCAAAGTCTGATATGATATTCTGCACTCACGCAGGAACAAGACAGCCAACTAATACGGACAGCTGAAGATCAGTCAGCCTTAGTCAAAAGAAAGAACAAAAAAGATAAAACCAAAGTTCAGCGATTATCCGATCTTTGTGTAGATAGCCTAAGCGCCAGTCACGATGCATTTGATTCTGAACCTTCAGACACTACCGAAGACACACTTGCACAAAACGATAACCTAACAGGTGGAATAACTTCTCGGCTATTGGAACACCAACATCGTGTCATAGAAAGACAAGGAGTTGCACAAAATCTCCTACTAGCTTCACTCAAACAGTTTACTGAGTCAAATCTATCACTTGTCAACTCTCTTTCATCAATAGCTGCTTCTCTTTCAATTCTTGTTGAATATTGTAAGAATAAGTAAATACATATACATATACATATATATATTTTGGATTTATAAAGCTACAAGTAATTTCTAGGCTGTCATAGTATTTTCTTATATAAAGTAATATTTCTTTCCACAAAATCGGATGCCTTGCTTTTTTTTTAAAAAAAAAAAAGAGTTTCTATGCTATCCAAGGTGTCCTCTGTTAGGGGTATACACCAGACCCCCACCCGTTACTGATAAATATTGTGTCTTTGGTGGTTGAGCACCAAACATTCTCAATCTTACGGACCGATTAATACAAGCATAAAAGTTCTTAAACAAAGTAGACAGTATCTCTGAGGGAAAGCACATTGGTACAAAACCGGAACAAACCCAAACGCTCTGCTCATACGAATTGTATACGTTATTGTACTTATGGGTGTGTTCGGGGATAAATATATATGTTTTTAGGTGCTTTTCAAAGTTCCATGACTTTTGTTACAGACAAGTTATTGAGAATTGCTTAAACATGTTTTATAGGGAAGACTCTTCCGAATAACTCTTGTTTAAAAGATTCTCAAAACAAGGCTTGAATAAAAAGTCATGGACCTTCAAAGTCAAGAGGTATCAATAGAAAATAGTGGAGTTTCAGCTTTTTTTTTAATATTGAAATGAAAAAGAGAGTCACTATAGCAACAGGTACATTTCAATGTTCCTAAAAAAGATGGTTGTGTAATGTAAAATACTATTTTTTCGATTTTCTTTCTATATATATCGGGAATTGAATATATTCTACTATCGGAGTTTTCTTGGGGTAAAATTGAAAAGATTTCAAAACTTTGATGTTTATGCTCGAACACACCATATTTGATTGACTATTAAAAGGTAGGTCAATTGCTTTACACATTTGTCTTGATTTTATTGTATATATAAAATACTCTTTTGTATATATAAACGTATAACTTACTTTAGAGAGGATGAATCAGAATCCCGCTTTACGTATTGTATGCCTTTGATGAGTTTCTTCTGGTAGCAATATAACCCTAAAGCGCGACAGTCCAATATAGACCCACGCATAACGCACTTATGTCTAATCAAATAATCAATTTTACAAAGGTCTTTAGGTCCTTAAGTTTACTAAGGAGGGCGAAAAGAAAAAGAGAAAGAAAAAGAGCATGCATTATTCTTTATATATTCTTTATAGGGAGGAATAAAACAAAGAAAGTAATATATATATTGTACTGTGAAGGAAAGAAGAGTAATAAAGAAAGAGGAGACTTTGGATCAATTTTTTTTTTTTTTTTTTTTTGGTTGGGCAAACCCATGAGGACTTTGGATTAAATATGCTCGAAAAGAATTTTAAGAATGATTTTCATAAAAGCTCCTATATGAGAGTATTAACCAATAGAATATTACTTTTTGTTGGAATCATCTCGTATTTCTTTTTAACGAATAGAAAGTTGAGGAAATTAGAGATCTATACAAGTTCGAGCCAATAATTTGGTTCAAATATCTTGAGAGGGTCTCAATTTTCAGTAAAGTCCCATTATTGAGCCAACAAATGGGGATAGAAGAAGCAAGACTTGAAAACAAATACCTAACAATAATGCATAGGCTATTTCAGTATATCATGGATATTCAAAACAGTGACATTTACTTTCAACAATTTGTTTTCCTGCATAGAAATAAATGCCAGACTCGACCCAAAATGACATTTCGTTTCAAAAAAAAAAAAAAAGATATTCAAAGTAAAAATGTCGTGCACTTATAATATTTGAGCCATAGAATATATATATATATATATACATACTTCTTTGTGTCATTTGGATAATTGAATAAAGGTACTGCAGGACATCTTTCAGCTTATAATGAAGAGCTAAAATACTTTTTTGTCTTGTTTTTGTTCCCGTTCGTGACAGCACAAACATCAGAAAGGTACAGAAAAATAAATAAATTACGACATTTCCAAAATGGATGTGCCAAAGGTTTTGCCCGGATTATTCCAGCTGTTACACAACAACAGATATTTTATTCTTTAAAAAGAATATTTAACGCGACACTTGACATCTCTATTCAGTAATGGCAGCCTATACACCTAACAACCCACCTTACCCTGCTTATCGTGCCACTGCAAAAGGCAGTTTTGCCGAAGACAGCACTATCAGAAGATGGCCTATTATTATCGATAGCGCCATCACCGAGGTGAAGGAGGCCATGGACGAAATGAGTCCTCATGGCCCAGAGTACATTGAAGGAAAAGAGATTCTCAAAGGTATCGACACACTCAAGGACGAGATTCTTAAAGATAAGCCTCTTCGGTAAGCAGTAAAACAAAAAAAGAGATAAAGTTTCTGTTTCTTTCTTTGTCTGTTTGTTTGTTTGTTTGTAGTAATTCTAACAATTAACAATCTCAAATTAGACTTATCCATGACGATGAGACTGATGCCGAGTCTTGGAATTCCAACCTCAGAGCACATTTCCCCTTTGCTACCTGGTTTAGCGGTACCTGGTTGTTTAATGAGTGCTACATGTACCGTCGTTTGCGCGAATGTTTCTGTATAACTACGTACTGGAAAGACTTTGATCCTTTTGCCCGTCAAAAGATCGCAACCTTCAGATCGTCTTATACATCTGTGTTTGCTTTGGCTCGAAAGATGCCCGAGCTCATCAAACCTATGGATAAGGAGGAATGGAAGTTTGTTTATCATGAGTTGATCCAAGTCTGTCTGTGGGGAAATGCCACCGATCTCAGCCTTTTGACAAACATGACTGAAGAAGATATCAAACGTCTTCAGGCTACTGAGAAGCATCGGTTAGAAGAACAACGCAAGTTTATTGTGGTTGACCACATCGATAAACTTTGGGAGCAAATTGAAACCTTGGAAAATGGCAAGATCGAGTTTGTGCTGGATAATTCTGGTATAGTAAAGATAGATAGATAGAGAGAGAGAGAAAAAAAAACAAATGTCTCTTTGTCTTTAAAAGTACTTACTTCCTTCTTTTTCTTTTTCTTTCTAAAATTGATATCAAGGCTTCGAGGTATTTGTGGATCTGGTGCTGGCTGACTGGTTAATCCAGACCAAAAAGGCTTCTCAAGTTATTTTCAACTGCAAGACCATTCCTTGGTTTGTATCTGATGTTATGCCCAAGGATGTTCCTATCCTTTTCGAAAGCTGTCTTGATCCCACATTCTTCCCTGTTGACACTAAGCGCACCACTGAGGATGTCGAGGCCCTGGAAAAGATGGTCAGACGCTGGCAACAGTACGTTCAGGAAGGTCAATTGATTATTCGATCGCATCCTTTCTGGTGTAGTGGTTTGTCGTACTGGTATCTCAAGTCAGATGCTCCTGGTCTTTACAACGACATGCATAGCTCGGATTTGGTTATCTTCAAGGGTGACCTGAACTACAGAAAACTTGTCTTTTGCTGTGATTGGCCAGTAACCACCCCATTTGAAGAGGCTATTGGCAAAGACATGGCCAACTTTACAAGCATTGTATCTTTACGTACAAACAAGGCTGACCCAATTGTTGGTCTCAAGGAAGGACAGAGAGAAGAAATTGAAAAGGAAGCAACTTATAATGAGTGGCGCTGCAGTGGAAAATATGCTGTCGTAGAATATAACAAAGGACACAAGAAATAGATCATTATAGACATATCATTGTTGTGCACAGATATATACATATATACACTCATAGATTCTGGTGATAAAGCGCAAAAGACTTGGTAGTTAATAATTATTGATTTTTATTCTGCTATTTATAAGTTATTAAAGATTCTATAGAATCTATCAGATAAGAACTCTCTCATTTTATATCATTCCCTCTCTTCTTCTTCTTTCTACCAGAATGCACACCTAGGGAAGTACAAGTTTAATTAGCATAAATATAGAACTTTTTACTATCTTTTTCTTGTTTGATAATTTACCATCCAATATAACATTGGCACAGATTCTCTAGTGAAGTTGCCTGTTGGATCAACTTCTCCACTTGTGTAGACACATCCAAAGTGACCCGTGGGTTAAAGTCACGACCTGTCAGTTTGTTTGATACTCTATCCACAACAGCCACTGCACGGGAATTCAATCCTTCTGGACCCTGGGCATTTTCTATATGAAAGAAAGAAAGATATACAAATTTTGTTATAGTCACTAAAATACACACACACACACACACACACACACAAAGAGACTTGCCATTTGCTACTGCTTCGACCTCAATTCTGTTCAGGCGTCGGCTGACAGAGAAATTACGATGGCCTTCGTCAGGCATATCTTCATGATTGATACGATCAATGCCACGTACGCGTTCATCTGTAATACAATCGATAAGTATTATTTCGCCTTGTTCTTCTTTCTTTTTATTATTTATTATTATTAAATATACCCATATAGGCATAGCTAATTTACCTCTGGTTTGCTGTGGACTGACAGGTGTGTTATTTAATAATCTCCAGTTGATAAGAGGATCGTGCACAAATGCTTCCAATACAGCCATCAAACTTTCTTTATTGTCTCTCAAGACACGCATCACATGCTCACAGGTAGTTCTAAAGTTACCCTCGATACCACTAACTTCCATAGCCTTAACCAACATTCGTGTAAGACGGAATGGAATCTTTTCGGGGAATTTCTCACGATGCATTGCCACCTTTTTATTTTAAAATAAAATAATAACATTGATTATATTAGTTTGTATGTCAATATGTCACTCACTACTACCTTTAGGGCCATTCATTATTCTTTCAATACTTTACCTCGAAACAATCACCAAAATCAATATGAACAACCTTGCCAGTTACACGATGCAACATCAAATTGGAAGGATGACGATCTCCTAGACCAAGGATATATCCAACCATCGACATCACAGCAAGTGATCGAGTATAGTTTGTACGGCGATCGAGCCAAACTTCAGAGTTGCGACTCTTGAGCCACAACACGCGGTATAAGTCCTGACCAGTTGTCTTTTCAAAAGCATACTGGAACACTTCTACTTTCTGAATGACGGTCAAATTGTCATAATCAGGAGCCATCTAAGTTTTTTTTTTTGAAAAAATATATATAAGTAAATCAAGAGATTACACATTTAAACCCGTTGACTTTTTTTTTAGTACCTGAAGCATCAAGCGATGTTCAATGTTCAGTAGAATCTTTCGGCTGTCACGGTAATCACGAATAAGGGTATGTAAGGTATCAGTATCTGGCACCCAACCGATCAAACCAGAGTTGGGCGAAAGTGGGATAGCGGGGTATCTTTCGATGTTGAGATGACGCTTAAAGGTCTCAGCATCATTTTTGAGAAGGGTGTTCACCAAGCCAAACAGTTGCATCACGCGTTCATCTTGACGCAAATCTTCGTGTCCCTTGAGCAAATACATATAGTCTTTTCCATCACTTCCTTCTATGGTCAGTTTTCGTGGTCGTTGCTTGGAAGCGATCACAGTCAAACTAGGATTAAACTTGGCAATGCGTACAATTGGTTCGCCACTGCGGTAATAACCCGGTACACACAGCTCCAGGTTTCGAGCTTCCAGTAAGCGAGGTGAGATATATTGGAGTTCAAGGCTCGTCAGTTGAGGCAGTTGGCGAGATATACGTCTAAAGACCTGGTAATAAAGCTCCCAGGCTTGGTTGAGGTTGTTGAGATCCCGAGTCTCTTGGTATTGTCGACACCAGTCCTGCGCATCTTGGAGATCCCGGCCAAATGCTTGTACAAACGATTCTTCGCGCATGGTTTCAGGACCACGGTCGAGCATCTGATGGAGAGGCTCAAGTGTGGCAAACATTGCTTCAACATTACGATCACCAAAGTATAAACGAGATGCTTCTTCCAATCCTTCATGCCACATTTCGTGCCACAAAATTGCAACACGAATCAATTCTTGACTAACCATAAGAGCCTATTTTTTTTAAAAAAAAAAAGAAAAGTTAATCAATTATCTTTGAATATATAAAAAAATTAATACCTGATCAACAAGGGTGGTACTGTGTGTGCGCATGTGGTCCATAATGGCATGGGTTGCCTTCTTACGAGGTTCGCTCTGAGACTTTGAAGCCACAGTAAGAGAGTACACAAGTGCCTGAGGGTGCTGACGACCAATTGCGGTCAAAAGATTATGGATAAGAGAGCGTACAGTGGCATTTGGTGCATGAACACGAGCAATAAGTTGAGGAATAACTTGAAGCCAGACATCAATACTAATTGTGCCAAAACCGTCTTCGATAGCTGCACTGACTTCAGGATGGTATCCGTACTTGAACCACAATGTAAGAAGTCGCAAGGTATCTTGGAGAGAACTTTCTTTAGAAAGTGCGATTGAACGGAAGAAACCTTGGACGGCAGGTACGATATGATGGTTAAAGATACGAGCAGGGATCTGATCTGGATGAACACGCTCATGATAGTCAATGATATCAAAGTTTGCAAGTGCCCATGCGTGCCAGGCCTTATACCAGTTCTGGTCAAAGCGAGTTGCTAACAAGAAGGATCTCAGGATATCAGGAATCGTCTCATCCGTAAGCTCGTATGATATTCCACGCTGCCATTCTCCCTGGCGCAAATAACAACGACTGAGAAGACGTGTGTATTCAGCGACATCATCAGTGATCCTGGCTGAGTCGATAGGCATACTAACTGCCATCTCATCCGGATTAAGACCTAAATCCTGTGTCTTTTGCGCCGTGAATTCGCGCAGAATACTCAAAGCGCGTGTACGAAGCGTAAGACTGTCTTCGCCTGTAGACTGGCTCGCCGAGTCCCACATGTGCTTGAGGCGTGCATATACAATCTTAGGGTGAGGATCAGCACCAGTTGATTCGCCGTCGATTTCCATTAGACTACAAAGAGTCTTTTCGGACAGCGAGAAACGACCATTCTTACGACAGAGATTGGCAAACTTGATCCACATCTCCATATCATCCTGTGGAGAGATGACCATAGCCCGAACTCGCAGAATTCTTTGCCATACTTCCACATTGCGCTCACAGCCATCCAAGCGTTTCATCCATGTGTGACGGATAGCATTTTGACGCTCTGCATCATTGGATGATTGCTTGTAAATGATCATTTCTTCCAATTCAGCCAACATTTGGACACGAACAACAGTTGCATAAGCACGGTTGTAGCTTTCACCCAACAATGCGGTCAGCTCAGTGTCAAGCAAATCGCGTGTCTTGTTGATAAACTCTTCGGCCTCACTATAGCAGTTACGATGCATAGCAAGAATAGCACGGAAAAATGTTCGGTCGGGACTCTCGAGTTTCAATAGAACAATGTACTCCTCCATCTGCTCCCATTGGCCAAGACCCCATGCTGCTGCTGCGGCAAAAGGAGCCATACTCTTACGGTTCTCAAGAGGAGCGTGGATCCACTTGTCTTGTGCCAGACTAGAGAGTTGATCCCACTCACCCAAAGCATGCAAACAGCGCATTCGACCCAGGGTAATTTCCACAGACGTTGGATTCTCGATTTGTTGTTTTTCGTACGCATCCAGAGCATCTTGGTAACGGTGCAATTTCTCGTACCATGATACCTTGCTTTCAAGCTTAAGGGAGTCTTGGGCAAATGTCAAAATACCCATTGCAGCATCAGGTTGTTGGAGCAAGTTATTGATAGACATGAGCATCTCGACAGCATCAAATGGTTGATGATCCTGGTGAAATTCGGTTTCCTTATAATGGAGAGCCTTAGCATATGCATGGCACTTTTGAGCATACATAGCCAGAGTACGAATATCAATGGGAAGAACTCGGTGGTCGTGCTCCATAAACTCAGCCAAATGAAGTAAGATCTGGATGATCTCAGGAGGGGTATTGGGGGCCTTTAGAGCTACCTCAAGTGAATGAACGAGTTCTTCCTTGTATTGATCATACAATTCATTCCAGCACGATACAAAGGCTGCATTAAACAGTTCTCTGGCCAGGGGTGTATAAGCACTTGCCAAGAATACACAGGCACGAAGGGCATGAGATGGAGACTGTTTAAGTAATTCTACACTGAGACGACGAATCCATTCCATCCAATCTTCTTTTGTAGATCTCTGAGATGCTTCCCATGCCTTTTTGAGATGCTGTTGGTTAACAGGCTGTTTTTTAGCCGTGCTGAGGTCTGCTGAGGGAGTCTCATCTCCTCTATTTTCACGATCATCAAGGGTCTTGCCGAGTTCCTGGGGCAAGTTTTCTCCCTTGAGTAGTTTACCAACAAGGAGCTCATAATTGGAATGTGTGATACGATGGCGGGTGAGGACTTTGTTAATTACAGGAATAAACTTTGTATAGTCAGTTCCGAGTTGGAACACAAGCGCACACAGCAAATCCATGGCAGTCGGACGTGCCTCCAGAGGAAGGACAGGTAAGACACGGGCTAAGGGGTGGATGATACGCGAAGCATAGTCAAACATTATAACTTTTTTGCACAGAGCGGTAATGGTTGTAATGGCCTGTCGACGTACTGAGACCGGTGCATCAGGTTTTTCAAAGAATTTAACGACGGCGGGAATGACAAGGTGCATGTATTCTTCAATGTTTGATCCGAATACAACAAAGGCATGAAGGACCTTCATGGTAGGTAAGCGACGTTCTGTTGTATCATTGTCAAATATTTGGAGCATATGGGGTAAGAGGCGGGGTAAGTAAATCTTGAGCTCGCCATCGAGAGCCTTTGCGATTGCCTCGATAAGGGAAATGATGGTAATCTGGAGTGAGGAAGGTGGTGTCCAATAATCATCAACAAGATCAAAGATCTCCTTGAGATAGTTACGGATATGCTGTTTGACGATAAGAACGAGATCACCCAAACGGCGGAAGTAGTATTCCTGAAGGCTGGTGGTGCAGGAGCGAATAAGAGAGAGGAAACCAGGGATGACGAGGGGAAGGAACTGGACTACTTTGAGACCAAGGGTTTTGAATATGTACATAATGGCATCAATTACAGTATAATGGTGATTACTAAGGGATGGGTCTCTGAGGATCTTCATAAGTGAGTGCATGACAACCTGGGGATAGTAGTCCTCCGAGGATGGTCCTACACCCATCATCAGTAATGTCACATCATTACTGGCCAGTTTGGCATCTGCCATGGCTTCACTTGAACTCCCAACCGCGTTCATCTAAAATTGCAACAAATATAAAATAAAATAAAGTAAAGTAAAAAAAATCGGTATAATAGGTGAGATAACTGGTAAAACTATGCAATATATCTGTATAAAATAAATACCTTGTGACGATAAGGATCAAGAGCACCAAGAATACCCATAAGTTTGACGGTTTCTCGTCTGATGCTAGCGCTTTGTTCGGTCTTAAGAATACCGATTAAGATATTAAGAAGGGCTGGATATTTAGTATAAGGTTCAATAACAAAACCAGTATTACTGGCCAATTGTCCGAGTGTCTTTAGAGCAGCATCGCGCTTCGAACTCGAGCTTTGGTCCTGCAAAGTCTCCATGATCAGCGGCATAAGCTCATCAAGATATGGTACCATATCCTTGCCACTCACGGCGGCCAATTCACCCAACGCACCCAGTACTGCAGAGACCACTCCATTAGAAGAGTCTCGAGCCTTCGGTAAAAGAACCTTGAGCACAGGCTCGATGTAGGGTTTTGTCAGACGTTGGGCAGCACGCACTAGCAAAGAAACAAGACACGCAGCCTCTTCTTTTTGGCGGCTAACAACAGAGTATTCAAGTTCGGTCAGTAATTGGATCAAGGTTTTGCGGAGGGAAGGCATAACATATGCTGGGTTATAGGTTGTTAAACGGCCAATGACGGTTATGGTTCTTTTACGAATAGCAAAAACTTCGTCATTGAGAGCAATGAAGAGCGATCGAACGTTATCAGCTTGTGCGAGATGGCGGTCAAAGCGTACATCAAGAGAAGATAGAACAGTTTCTCGGATAACTGGGTCAGGATCTGCAATTCCGACTGTGAGGAGTTTTTCGAGTACTGCTCCGACGACCTTCATAGCATGGGCACTTGTCTGGTTACATATAGGGTCCCGAACAAATAGCTGACAACATGTTACTGCTGCAGATTTTCTGATTTCTGGTAGGTCATCGTCGAGGTAATTTACGATACAGTCGCGCACAAACTCGTTGAGAACATGATTAGAAAAGTCGAATGAGCCTAGTGTTTTTAAGGCTAAAACAATGATGTCGTTGTCTTTTGCGTCGGTAACACTGCCTTCACGCAGCGGCCGTTCGACTGTTTGAATGATGTTACGGCTGAAAGGTGCACCGGGTTGCTTATAAGGTTGACCGCTAAGAGTGATTGAAATAACGTTCAAAAGGCGAGCTATATATAAATATATTTATATATTTGGGGGGGGGGGGGGGGAGTTGCAGAATGATTGTCAGACAAAGAGTCAGTCAGAGTTATTTATAAACAATAGTTGAAACCCAGAGAGCGTTGATTGTCCTACCTTGTATAACAGTGGCGAGAGGATTAATGCGATCCGCGATATTAGAGAGTGCCGAAACAAGCGGCTCGGACAGTCCACAATTGAACATCAAGTCCAGCATGTCATAGATATACTTTGTCAGGGCTTGTCCTACTGCAGTAGCCAACATACTTATACAAGTGAATGTCGCTGTTTCTACCTCTTTCCGCTGGCGTCTATCATGCCGACAACACAAATCCATAACTCAGGTTCAGTTCAGCTCAATATTATCTATTTTTGTTCATAATTACCCTTTAACTGACAGGGTTTCCTTTATACCAGCCAGGGTCAAGTCGAGGTAAGGTCCCATGTTACTTTTGACTTGTAACGCAACCTGACCGATTGTGATAAATGCTAAAAACCAATAGCAGAGGTACAGAAACAGGGAAAGAAATCAGTATGTTCAATGGATGGAGGGAGGAATAGTCTGATTTATCAAGCTTATTACCATCACGCTTGTCCCTGTCTTTACGAAGATGACCGAGCAGATGCCTCATGAATTTGTCGAGGTAAAGTTCGGCAAATGTAGCGGGGTCGTAGCTAGCAAGAGTGGGAATTATAGCTACGACTGTCTTGCGGATCAATGCATTACTGAGATCTTTCAGTTTGATGGTAATTTCACACACTTCCTTGTACATATCGGTCATAAACTTTGATTTTATGTATGGGTATCGATATAAGTAAGATTATATAGCCACAACCACACACACACACACACACACACACAATTGTCCTACCATGCCAGCATGCAACAATAACTCTCGCATGGCCAATAAGCTTCCGTGAGTTGCCTCTGCACTGTTCATCCGTAATCCTCTCTGTGCTTCTTCCCAGATACGAGCATACCACGTTTTTCTCATTGGTGTTTCACGCTGTTGAACGATATCCAAACATTGGCTTAGACAGTCTGCGGCGTGTTCTCGGATGAGTTGGCGGGAATCTCGTAAAGCAACCCAGATAAGATCAAGAATGCGGGGCACATACGCATAGATGAGGGTCGGTGCATTGACCGCCAACTCGCGCAACACTAATACGGCGGCTAGACGACTCCGGTCACTCTGTAACCATTCGAGTGCATGTTCGACTTGTGTGTCGACTAGATCTGCAGTAAGCGTAGATGAGCTTACGGCTAATCGACCGAGAACTCGTGAGGCTGGTGTCATGACTAGTGGATCATTATAGGGAAGCATGTTTCGAAGGTAGTTGTGAAAACGACTGACATTTCCCTCAGGTTCAAGGTCGATTAGGCGATCTATAAATGAGAGCTTAGACGATAAATTGGCCAAATTTAAATATATAATTTATTATTTTGGCCTACCAATAGCCATAATTGCGCCAAGTTTTTCGTTGTTATCACTTCCATGGGATAGTTCTGAAATGCGCTTATTGATATCGTTTGTAAATTTCACATGACTTTCGTCGGATAATTCGCGGGATGCCATGGCTGCCTAAGTCAAGAGTGAGCGGGTTGATTTGTTATAGAGGTGTGTGCTTACGGTCTCGCGTAGTTCCTCAGCTGCTTTTTGCCGGCGGTCTTCATGTCTAATGTAGGGTTGAGTTTGTGGAATTGGTAAGGATGAACATACTTTGACTTTAGTTCGTTGAATATCTTTGTCAGATTCTCTTGAGTGCTGAGCATGACAACGAGTGTCATGGTGTTAGATGGAGGAGTATTGGTGCTGCGTAATAGGATATAATAAGAGTTAATCCAGAAAATAGGGAAAAATATATATTATAGAATATAAAATGGCAGGCCCTGTATTTTTCGGGTCTCGTTTTGGATGGTGTTCGATGAATAGAAGGAGTAAAAAGTCACGCATGACGTTGCTTTTTTTTTTTACAAAAAAAAAAGTGAATTTGGGGGAGGGTTAGTAAATTTCAGTAAAGTGTTGTCTTTTTTTTTCTTTTTTTTTTTGGCCTCTGGTTTTTGACTTTTGGCTCTGTTTTTTTTTTTTTTTTGGCTTTTGGCTCTAGCTTTTGACTCTAGCTCTGGCTCTGACTCTGGCTCTGACTCTGACCCTGGCTCTTTATTTTTAGCCCTCATCGACTTACTTCTCCGCGTGGCAACCAGAAACACAAAGGAGAGGAAGTGTGACGAAGGAAGTCACATGAATAAAGATATTTGTGACACACACAGAGAATACAAAATGTTTGTCCTAAAAATACAATCAGCACTGATGAGAATCCTGGGACTGAAAGTATAAAAGAGAAGTGATTACCATTTTGAAGCTCTCTATCTCTCTCATGAATCCTCAATTTTCTTCTGCTCCCTGGTTTACCCAGAGCGATATGTCTTCTTCTACTACTACTACTTCTTCTGTCTCTCTAGTAGACATGTCCTATCTGGACAATGGTTTCATCCCTAGCCAGGATACGTTACCCTATATACCATCACCAACCCAATATCCCATTCAATTCTCTCCAATGCACACAGACTCGTCTTCGCCATTTGTGCAGCAAGAATACTATGCTGAGCCTACGATGGACCTACCGATAGGATATCCTCTATCTCAGTCCCCAAACCTTCAGACCATGCCCATTGTTGAAGGCACTGCCCAACACACACTGGTTGCCCCTCTTCCCGAAGGCTCTACCAATATCAGTCATTCCCCGCTCTTCAATCACCGCGCAAGCATGCCTGCCTTTGGAAATGCTCGACACACCCTGCCTGTCCACGCACTCAGTCTGGACATCCAACCCTGCATTTCTATCACGGAACCGACACCAATCCGCCAAAGACAGATTCCAGAACTCGCCTTGGCAGATCAACTTATTGCTCAGCATGAGCCTGGATCGACCTATGCACAAAACCTCTATCAAGACTCATTTCAAGACACACTTCAACCAAACACTGATCCAAACACTTGGCTCTCATGGACTCCCAACAGAGGATCATCGCCTGTGTCGGATGTGTTTGATATCTCGATCTCTAGCCCCTCGCCAGAGCCATTTTTCAACCTCTTGGACAGTGATGTGTTTGAGTCCTTCCAACACACATTGAACTCTCTTGTAGAACCAACATATATTAATGGCAATAATAAGAATAGTCGCAATGATCCTGCCTCTCTTTTACCAGTAAATGACCAAGAATCCCAACGGGCACGAACTCGCCGTCTCTCGGAGCCACCCAAACCAACTGGACTTTGGTCACCATCATCCACACCGCCAGTCGAGACTCCCCGCCGTCATAATAGTGCACGCAGACCCCGGTCCTCCAGTAACGTTAGCGGTGTAGCTGCCATGTTCCCCTGCACACATCCGGGCTGCAACAAAGTGTTCACTCGGCTCTATAACCTAACCTCGCATGCCCGTACACACACACCCGATCGGCCATTCCCTTGTAGTGACTGCGGTAGATGCTTTGCTCGCCAACATGACCGTAACCGCCATGAGAAGCTTCATTGGGGAGTAAAGCCTTATGCTTGCCATGTATGCTCAAAAGCGTTTGTACGTATGGACGCTCTTAATCGACATCTTCGGGTTGAGAATGGTTGCAGCCAGGTCTCCGGATCAGAGCACTAAGAAAAGAAATAAAGACCCGAAAAAAAAGAAGAAAAAGAAAGAAGTTATTCATAGTCCACTCCTCCTCCTCCTCTTCCTCATCTTTCTCATCTTCTTCCTCTTCATATAAAACACCCTCAAAATGTGTAATTCCATTCAATTCCTATATATGCATATATCTCGCCTTCAACTTTCATTATATCTGGCATAATATTCCTATTGTTCTTAACTTTATCGTGTAAATAATACATTTTCCTTTTTTAATTATAATAATTATAATAATAGTCATCACCATAAAATAAAATAAAATAAAATAAAATAAAATAAAATAAAATACTTTTTTATTTTATTTTATTTTATTTTATTTTATTTGCTTATTATAAATACACTGTAATGACAGAATATTCGTGCAACACATAATCGTTTGCCTTGTAAGATTCATCGTACAATCTGAACCCTAATCTGGAAATATTCATCTGTGTAAGAAAAGAAAAGAAAATAAAAGAAAAGTGGTTGAACCAGAATCGTACAAAGCTGGAGTTGACGGACTTTTGTTCCAAGTGTGGAAATGGTGGTATACAGTTGTTCCCAAATAAACAATTTCCCATTTTCCTAAAAAGAAATAAAAAAAAAAATGTCGCTTATTAAACACACAAAAAGTAAACTTGATTCAATTTTTCTTTCCCTTTATGAATATATGGTTTAGCCAATAAGACTTTATTTCTTTGTTTTGTTATGAAGAGCAAGATGTGTTATCTAAAAGAAACTGGTTTTTGCTTAAAATGCCTAAACGCTATTTTGTTAAAGATATCCTTATGAAGTACAGTTTACTTTATATATATATATATATATTTATTAAAGCTCTTACTGGACATAAAGATGTAGTCTGTCAGAAACAAAATGGTATATATTCCATCTTAATTTTGAAACACAACATGGTCTGGCTAAAGAAGTGAAGAAACAAAAAGAAATCTGCAATAATTACAGCTCTCCTGCCTATGAAGCCAAAATAGTCTATACTTTTAATAGCATACATCTATATGTATATGTATATGTACATACATACATACATACATTCGTACATACATTTGTATATATATATATTTATCTGTTTTAAGAAGACTGATCTTTATCGCAAAAGTGGTAACTGTAAATGATCTACAACTCTTTATATATATATATAAAAGAACCTCCTCTTAGTACGATAAAAAGGTTGGTTTTAAGATGATCTCTGGTAGCTATAATTAGTGAGAATTGCTATAACTTGAGTACAAGAGATTACAAGAGCATTGTCTCTTAATGCTCTGTGTGTACTTTGATAAATACCCGGCCAGTTTAGCAGCCAGTTTTTAAATCCTTCAAGTCTCTTTGAGGTACACCAAAATGTTATGTACCTTTTGAGGGATTGCGAAGACGCGACTTATTATATTATATCATCTTTATGATAGTGGTGCATATTGTGAATCGAATATAGGCTTTCGATCCAAACTAAACCAATTTCGCTCCACTGTAAAATGACTACCATCTACAGAAATATTACAATAGAAAAAGAAAAGGATTTAAAATTACTTGATTTTTTGTATTTGTTCAACTCGAATGATTTTTAAGTATTTTTGCCATGCAACAGTGACTTTGGGAATATTTCTACTTTTGTCATACAGTTCATTAAGAAAGAAAACCTTAAACATTTAATCAATAGATGTAAATAAATAAGAAGGTGCTATATCTGTCAAAGACTCTTTAAACCTAACATTCAAATAAAATAAGCTGAAAAGGTCATTTCTTTTTGCAGTCGTATTTTTCTGTGGGTTATTTCAACAACTATTTTCTCTTTAAAGAAATAAACTCAAAAATTAGATCATCTATTTGTGACAAAAGCAAACATATAGCAGATAAAGATGTTGAATCAGAATATCTGCGTAAAAAAAAATAAAAACTTGCGTCTCTACAAGAAACATATAAAAATATAATATGTATATTTACTTTTTTTTCGTGATTTCTTACCAAATAAATAAATAAAATAAAATAAAGGTTCCCAGATAATCGTTTTCTTTATAATCAAAATCGCAACTACACATTCATTTATAGTCATCAGGGTGTTGACCAACATTAGATTCAATAGAAACAATCATCAGTACCTATTTTACTGCCTTGAATATGAATACATTTATAGCTGTAGTTTAAATTAATACCTAAGGATAGATACTTATACTTGAAATAAAATAGAGGGAGGGAGGGAGACTACAATTAGAAGTAGGGCATGATATGCTGCAGATATTCTCTAGAACTATTATAATGAAATCTAAATTTATAAAGTTAAATAAAGACACAACAGAGATACTTAATAATGTAGGTTGATTTTCTCTTGAACGCGTTTTTCTTGCTATCCTCAAGTTCTAAAAACGTGCGCTTTATAAACTATAATATTCCCTAAAAAAAAATAAGGTATAAAACTGTACATTATGCCTATTTTATTTTTGATTGATTGACTCGGCTTTATTAAAGAGAATGTTAGAAAAATCAAACAAACAAATAATAACGTAGGTTAATTTTTGCGCAGTGAATATAACAAAGTATTGCGCATGAGAAGAAAAAACGTGGATAACAAGACTTTGATTTTTTTGTAAAAAGAAAGGCACTGACTGATCGAATCTTGGTATCAAAGCAATTATTACTCTTATTCTTATTTCAACTTAATAGTTAGATCAACCCTTGAAAGTGGTCATATGTTAAGTCCAGAAGTTTGTCCACCTGGCAGAAACTTTATTTCATATATATATATATATATTTTAATCGCAATTAAATACTTAAAAATGCAAGCATTTTCTTTTCTTTAGACAAAGGAGACTTATAAGTAGGGCGTACAGCAAATACGAAACTCTCAGGAAGCAACAAAGTTATATAAATAGAAGTACAGATAGAAATACAACATCACATTATTTAAACTTAAAACAAGCATATTCCAAAATTTCATCATTATAGCCCTTGCATAGCATCTTGTACTAGCAGCAACATCGACTGCTTGCATCGGCTAAAATCTATACCCTTCTATACTTACACGTCAGTTGACAATAGGAAGTTATAAAAAGATAGAAAATTAACATAAGCGTTGCTTACATGTATTGAAGATAGATATATTCTTGCAGCATAAGGCAGTCTTCTCCAACAAAAACAACAAAATACAGTACTATCCAAAAAGCTTGCGGCGTATTCGATCGATAGTAACTATATAAATACATAAATATATAAAAAAATTTAGCACTGTAATTTGTTTGAAAGAATAAGACAGCTGTTTGGGTAGAGAATAAGAATATGCAATAGTTACAAACAATAAAATGTTAAATGAAATTAAAATGTGCAAATACACATGGCCTTTATTCAAAAAGCAACTGTTCTCGGTTTAATGTTTGTAGAACCAAAACTTGGTATGTTTATTTCATCTTTCATAATATTAAATATATATACACCTGGTTCTCTGTGGTATCCAATTAGTTACTAATTACCGCATTATAATGGTTCCGTATTCTGTCTACCAAATGTCTTGCAAGATCCACGTCTAGTCTAGTCCTGTCAATATCTCTTGAAAATGTCCAGATATTTAAGGAGGTCACAAAAGTTCTTCCCTTCCCTTATCAACTTGAGGGGAGTTTTTTTTTGACAGGAGATCAACTTATTTCTCCTGGTTTACGCTTTCATTTTTTTATGATATTCAACAGTCCAAATCCCCCCTCCCCTTTTTATAATAACGATAAAAGTCATCTTTTCATACCCTCTTCCTGCATCATTGTCTTCATATGATTCTTGGACAAGTGAGGCTTGTGCTCCAAAACACAATGTTGAAAATTGAGAAGCTTGACATGTTCAATAGCAGTATTGTGACAAAATGTTAATTATTGAAGCCAATTCAATTCTGGGTTGATTATATGCAGCGATTGTACTTTTTGTCATATGATTATTTCCAAGAGACTCGCTGCTTTCTTATCCAATATCCGCAAAGAAAACTCCACACACAATCCTAAATTGCAAAGGAGCTACCTTGAGACATTGAAGAGATCAATTTAATTCAGAACATCTTTTTCTTTCTCTCTTCTTCCAACGACCCTTTGACTTGAAGTGAATGTCGAGCAAGGCATAAATTACCTAGTTGAAACAGATTTACTCTGATCGTAAAATATGATTGGCTATGGGTAATTGTTATTTAAACCCCACTCCTCCTAGCAACAAAACCAAAGCCAAACATATTTGAATTGAATTGAACCAACTGTATCTCATTGTGTTTGTCTCTGTATGCGCTAATGTTGCTCTTGTACCGCGACTGAGTAACCTCAGTTAAATAGGCTTCTCTTCTCCGTGATCATAAACTATAATTTCTTTCTTTCTTTGGTTATACGTACTCTTATTGAACAACCTTGACATTGAAATCTGGGATATGTTTTATTTTTGTATTGAATATTCTGTGGATTCTATTATTTTTGTTACTTTTTTTTTCTGACTTTTTTTTCATTTTTTTTTTGCTGTACTGTATTATAGTTTATCTGATATTGACTTGGGGATAGATACGCCAGATTATGAAGTCAGAATTAACCTTTATCTATTCATTTATTTTCTGCTCTATATTTTTACAGTAATAAGTGTTAATGTTGGACAAAGAATATAAAAGGTCCTCAGTGAGTATAAATTACCATAGTCATGTAAAAGACAAAAAGAGAAAAAAAAGTATAAAAATGTCGTCGTTTTAACATTGGCGTACACAGATATTTCTGTCCAGAACTGTCGTGTTCCCATTTCAAAAACCTTATTTTGCTAGAATTTCAGACGATCTAGTCAAACAAGTTTAAATGCAAATAGAACATTTTATTATTTAAAAAAAAACCTTTTATTCGGCAGAAATCATAGTCTATTTCTTATAGAATGGTAGAATTTCTTTAGCATACTTTTTATTATTATTATTATTATTATTAAAAATGCAATATCATAAATACCAACTTTGACCTGAAGAAATTTGATAGTAACAATAGCAATTTATTTCTCATTATAGCCTTTCAAAGCTATTTTGACCAATTGAAAATGATGTACAGAAGCCTTGTTTCGCTTGTGAAATTAAAATATCTATATTTAAAGGAATAAAGTTTTTTTTATTAGTAGTATATGTATGTATATATATCTCTCAAATACTTTGAATCCTTATGCTTAACAGACTGATTTGAGTTTCACTAGCTCCTCTCTGTTAATTTTGATTTTGACAAAATGGCTTATATTCTGTTGGGTAATAGGCTTAAATAATGGTGCTAAAGAGTAGTATCTTATTAACAGTTCAATCAACTGGATTTCTAAATATAAACTTAGACTTTTATGTATATATAAAATTTAATTATGACATAGACTTATTATTAGCTATGATTAATAAATGCTTTTGTCTAGTGTATTCCAAATACCAGATTTAAAATACTCTCCTTTTTTGGAGAAATGTAAAAAGAGAAAATCAAGTGCTTTAGTCAGAGTGAATGTTCTAGTCATTTGAACTATAATTCTTATTACAGCAAGTAAGAGACGCAAAGAGGAGTTATTCAGGTATTGATTGATTCGTTTATTTGTATATATAGCCTCTCAAACGCCACATTCTAGAAGTGAACAAGATTAGAAACAATTCTTCTTTAAATACTTGTAGCTTATAAATCTAATACACATTATTCAGCACAGTAATAATTAATAGAAAGAAAAGAAGACAGAGATATGACTAGTCGTCTTAAATGCCTCTGCCTTTACTTTATTACAAATCTTAGTCATTGCTATTGTTATCCAAGAGCCAGAAGAGTGGTATTGTTAGTATGATTCCAAAATATAAATAAACAAGCCATCGTATACTTATAAATCAAGGTGTGTATTTTTAGTGCAAGGGCGTACTAAGAAAAGAAAAAAAAAGCAATCGGTGAAGGGCAGGAGAAATATTCATGTGCTATTTTGATCCCAAGTACAAACACATACACACACAGCATATCTATACCATTAATTTCAGTAAGGATCTCATGGAGGATTTTGTTACAAAAAAGGAGTTTTGAGATTACAGGATTTCTTCTTCTTTTGACTTGTGTCTGCTCACTTGCATTTATATGTTATAAATAGATTGATAGATAGTGCTTATATCATATTTTGAAACAAAATTATGTACCACAAACCCGTTGGAAGAGCAAGCCACTAGGAAAAAGCGACTACCCCATTTGCCGTTGTTTGGAAGGACCTTTGAAGCTCGTTTTTTTTTAAAAAATAAATAAATATTTATGTATTCCCTCTTTTAACTTTATGCCAAAGGGTTCAAGTAAGTGGAGATAAGTGAATTGTACCCAATTTTGATGTCAAAATCAAATTATGCTTTTTACTTTCTTTTAATATATTTATACACCCGTACAATAACCATTGTTAATGTCGCACATACACAACTTCACAACCATCGATCCTTTGACAGAATAAATGGTGTGTAGCAACTTTATGCCATTGGTACAAAAGAAAGAAAAAACAAGCGGGTCTCGGTTATGGTTTCTCTCTATGACAGATCAATTAAGCAGATTAATTGCATTACTCGTTATTTCTCAAATGTATTGATAGACATATACGCGCACAGAAACAATATTTTATCTAACCAGCCTTTTGAATCTTGATTTCCAAATCTTACTATCATTCGCTTTCCAATATATAAAATATTCACCAATTATCTCATACTAACCGAACAATATTTTATTCCAAAATGGACACCAAAATGCTAGTAAAAGATAAAATGTATGTACTTTTACAGAGCAGAATTAATCTTAGGACGATTTAATTCAATTCATTTGAATTGATCTATATTCTACGATCAAATCTTCCAAATTAAGCTCCATTTTAATACACCTTGGGCAATTAACATTGACGTTCTAGCAATAACTTCCACATTTTGTAAAACGGACACAGTCGTATTACCTCGATAACAATCCATGCTACGTTTGGTGTCATGATATTGAAATTGAGATCATTATTGAAGTATTGAAGTATAAATTCCCTTTTACCCAAACACTGAAATATCAAGTAAAGAATGGAAAACAGGCAGATTTTTTTTTAAATTGAATACATAAATTAATGTAATCACATACACAATAATTATTGGTTAGAGCTCCTTTAAAGAATCCCAGTTTTGTATTATGTAATATATCTTTTTCCACTTTTTTTTTGACAGAGGTCTCACACTTTATAAAGGCATATAAATTAGCATGTATATCTTTTCGGCAATTCAACTACTGATATACAAGCTTTGAAAGTCTCTAGTTTATTAATGTCCCAAAGCTTCAATAAATAAAGACATATTTTATTTATTTATTACGCTATAAATAACTTGACCTTTTTCGAATACTTGTATAGTTCACGATCAAGTTAATGTACATCAATAGTATAAATACAGGATATTATATTTCCGTATAACGGTGAATTTGTTGAATCAGGGTCGGAATTGATAGGATTTCGTTAGAAAGATATAGCTCCACTTTATGTGAAACATATCTGTAGGCCAGAAAACTTTGGAAGTCATAAATGCTACCTCATATTAATCAGAGAAAGTGAAAATAATACACCAGCTATTTGGAGCCTGATATCTTGGAAGAAACTTGTCCGTACAACAAGTGTTGAAGAAAGAGTTACCATGCCTGACTTGAACGTAGAAACAATATACTATATCTTACAGTCAGATTTTTGGGACGACACCAAATGTTTAAGCTGCGAATTGAACCTTTTCTTTTTTTTTTAAAAAAAAAAAAAAACAAAAATGATTGTAAATGGAATCCACAAAGAATACGCCAAGAAAGGAAAATTCGGAAGTGGTGTAACATACTATGTATTACAAGGTTAATCTGAATATATTTCATTCAATGGGGACATGATAATAGGGCATGTGAGATAAAGAGTTAAATGGTAAAAGAAAGAAGAAAAAAAGTGCTGTAGTAAGAAGGGAGTTTCTTTTAGGGGTTGATATACATAGCATGCACATAAAATTCTGTAAAGCTCACGATACATGTTAAATGGCATCAAGGCATTTTGTGAAAAGGCTCGAATACAGCTCCTTTATTCTCAAGGCCTTAGAATATTATGTAGTATATCAAGCCTAATGATATTGATAATGGTATCAACTAATAGGATATATAAGCTTTGTGGAGAACTCAAGTTAATTCCATCAGGCCGGGATTAACTGAACTCTACTTTGAAATACAATAACCTGATCAAAATCATAGAAAACATGATGGTAACACTAAAAAATATTAATAGCTTTCATAAATAAATAAAATATATATATAAATAAATAATGCACTTGATACAAGTCTCTCAGTAATACATTGTGTAATCTTACCTCCCAAGATTCCAAACAAGATACAGAGAAACCTCCTCAAAATAAAGAAGCATATAAAGGAAGGGCCGAAGAAGAACTACTTAAAGCCGAAATTTAAATGTATAATATATACACACACTCGTACAGATGTGTATGTTGACCACATACCAAAATATTGCTTTGGTCAACATGCTTTTTTAATAGCTAGATTTAGATTTGAAGAATACCAAATACCAAATACCAAAAAAATGGAGTATCAAAGAGGTACATGCTCAACATTTGTTATGCAGGAATCTATAAATTGAATAAAGATGTATATATATATATGTACATTCTCAAATCCGTTTTTCTCTTGATCTACCAAAGCAATGCTAATCAAATGAGTACCTGCATAGCCTATAATGAGATTATCATTTCTCAAGCAGTCGCATGATACTTCGACATTGTACTATCCAGCTCTATTTTTTTTTCTTGTGAGCATAATATAGAAAAATTCTATAATAGTATCGCATTATTAAACAGCCTTATATTGAGATTATGGTTAATGTTATTGATCAAAACCAAATACACTACTTCATGTGTTTCAGAATATATATTTTTCTGGAACAGGTCAAATTAATTCTATACAGCCAAACCTATGGAAATTGGCGTTTTCACAAAAATAAATGGGAAACCTTACAGGCAGCCTGAACGTATGCAACGTCACTCATAATTAGTATTTTATGGTTACATGCATTTTTGTTTTTTTATTTTTGGGTTGAAGGTCAGACTTTGCAGCAATATTACGAGAACGACGTTTCCTGGTGGGGGCACGACATTTCTATCTAACCGGACTAATCAGTTGTGACTACATGTCCGAGACCCGGTGTCTTTCTCTAATCCTTCAGTGCAAAATGGCGTGTCCCGAACAAAAACACAATATATTCATTATGTGCATTAGCTTTACTACTCTGTGTTTATATCTCTCTCTACAGGAACCTAACTCTCATCATTTTAAGAGCCACAGTCTTTATTTGAGCCACTTGATAATAAAATACTATCTCATACGAAAAAACAAATCCTGTATATTCACTTAATAGCAGTTTGGGTCCTAACTTTAGACTTGACAATAAAGAAGTAATAATTAATCATAAATACACTATATCGATAGCCAGTTATGCAAAAGACCATAAGAAGTTTCTGTCATTAGAGTGGGATGAAATCTTGCTGAATATTTTAGGCTATCCTAGTGGACAAGACAATGAGACAAGGTTTCGAGGAAAAGATAATGGATACTTAGGGACCATATAGAGTTATTCCATGCCTGCAAAAAGGTCACGATTTGTGGTCCGGTAGAATCAAGATGTCACCCCCAGCAGGAAATATCATATCCCTAAAATTAGCGAAATTTGGAGTCAAATTCTTGAACTTTTATTTGGTAATGACAACAAACTATCCATTAACTGGGGGTAAAGCCGTACCTGAAACTACCACTGCCGTCAAACGCCAGAACAACAACAACAACAGACCACATACAATTGGTTGCAAAGTAGATGGAAGAGTTGTGAGTAATAATCAAAAAATGTTGATACGTGTCACATTGAAGCTGCCAAGTTATCTGTTTAAAAAAAGAGAGGCTATAATGATTGATATGCCTTTTCAAAAATCATCCTACAAAGCTATAAAAAAATGAAATTGTAGCCATCTCTTTCTCTCTTATTTTATTCGATATCACATCGATCTAGCTATGACAATGATTCACGCTTTCATTACCAGTACAGTTATTTTTCGTATTGACATTATCACAATTGAGTGAAGTACATACTCCACGACTAAAGACTGGTTCCTTCTTGTTTATGAACCTGGCATTTAGAGAAATTTTGCGCATTCTATAAAAAAGTATTTGGTTTGTAATATGGCCACAGTTTATAAAGCTTCTTTCAGCTTTATCGATGTTAATTATGACTTACGCGGCTGTGATGCCTTGCGACAAATATCTATGAAGTGGGTTCAAATTTCTGCAAAGTACAAAGATATCAATTCAAACTTTATCCTTTGGTTGGAGCCTTGAGTCCATATTGTTCATTAATCGAGTCAGCTTCATATACACATCGGCACACATATCCTGCTTGAAGTCCATATATTCAACCAACATTTCTTATTGAGTTAGACAAGAATGTCTATAGATAATATATCTATGTACAGTGGACTGTGTTGGCTAGTACATAAAAGAAGGACTTTAAGCAAGGGTAAAAGCTCGTGTACAGAAGATTTGATAAAGAGCAACCGATTAGTAGCCATTCTGATGACGACTTGTTATAATCTTATGACTAGTTTGGCTACTTTCGTATCCTAAAACATCCATAACTCCAAAGGAAAAGTATTTTCCATGGTATCCATCATGATCTCAATAGCAGCGAAAAATAAATTACTGGTAGTCAGCTGCTATATCATTAGTTATGTGTATCGTAGTATCAGACATCGCTGTAGATTTTGGAGTACCGTGTGAGGATGAGGAGTTATGAGTAGTTGTCAATGATGTAGTGATAGAATAGGGAGTTGTGGAAGTGAGTGCCGCGGTTTCTTGCTCAACCATACCTTGTATATATTCAGCATAACTGACATTTTTAAAAAGTTGAGGAGTTTTCCTCGCGACCTTTCTAGTCAATCGCTAATTCTGTGGGAGGGGGATGTTTCCTGGTAGGGCACGACATTTTGATTTTACTGAACCACAAATTATGCCTTTTGTATCGACATAGAATAGTTCTATCTGGTCCCTAAGGATACAGAACATTCGTATAAAGATGTTTTTTTTTTGTGTTTTGAAAAATAAAAATAAAAGGTCGAGTGGGAATTACTTACCAGCTGTGGCCATCTTGCTATGACCTTTGCCTGAGGCGGCATTATATGACTCAATGCCTTTGGAAAGGGGTAAATAGCTTTGCTCCTAATTTCCTTTTTCAATGACGAACCTTGAGTTATTTTCTGATAATATATATCTGAAAGAAAGAGAAAGACTTGATACGCGTAAGAAGGGTCAATGAATAAAATATCTGACAATATTGCGTCACACTTTAATGACAGCAGCTCCTTATACTCTTCTGTATAACTGGCTATTGCTGATATAGTGTATTTGTGACTAATTATTAGTATTTCATTATTGTCAAGTCTAAGTTTAGGGTTATTTAATCAAATATACAGTCTTTTTCTAAGACACGCCATTTTGCCCTGAGGGATTAGAGAAATCCACCAGACCTCGGGGATAGACAACCGCAATTAATTAGTTCGATTAAATAGAAATGTCGTCCCCCACCAGAAAATATTGGCCCCGTAGGATCGCTGATTGATCTTTACCAAAAGGTGTTATACACTCTATTGTATGCATGCTCCCCACACAGTACGTCTTTGGGTAGTAGGTCCAATCTGGTAATTCCTCTGTCAGATAGTAAAGAAATAAAAATAAAACAGAGAAAAAAAGTTCATTTTTTCTGGTTGAACCCATCACTGTAACTAATATATTGCCTATGCCTCTCTACTCCCTTTAATTGCTGCAGGTTGGCCTCATTTTTTTTTACTGGCTTGGTGGTGATGGTCTACTCCGACCAGTTATTTCTGAAAAATAACACTGTCATTATTACAATTGATATCCTATTTACAGCTATATATAGTTCAGTACTTGGGCCAAGTACAAGAAGTTGAGGTGAGAAAAGGGGTCAAAAAATAATAATAAAAAAAAAGAGTGAAATTATGGCTGCATAAGACTATTTGAAGAACTGAATAGTACTAATAATGTGGTGCTGAGCTACGATCAGCATGCAGTGGTACTTGAGTAATTCGAGTTATTATCATTTCCTAAAAAAATAACTAAAAATAAAGTATTTACCCTTATCGTGGTTATTGCTGTGAGCATAAGTTTATTTGCTTTGTAGTCAAGGTAGACTAGATTTTTCATGCCTTTATTACAGTGTATTTAATAATTTAAAAGTAGTTTCAAGATTTAACTTGCTTATGCATGCAATAAATTATTATCCCTACTAATTTTCTTTTATACATTAAACGTAAGCTATATTTAGGTGAACCGATTTACAACAAGGTTAGATAAATCTTATTGTAGCATAGTGATTCATATTTAATAAAACATGATTTCTGGAACTACCCCAGTATCATATTTATGATAAACTATATGACCAACAATCAAAAATAAAAAGTAAATTAAGTAAGGATTTATTATAAAATATTTTTATATAAACCCAAAATTTATTCTTCTTCTTTTTTTTTAAAAAAAAATAAAGAGATTGTGGAGCGCAAGATTTCATTTGGATAGTATATATGAGTAAACAATTTAGAGAGAGAGAAAAGAAACAGAGGAAAGATAAAAGATAAAAGATAAAAGAAAGAAAAGTAAAGATATAAAGAAGTGGGAAGGAGGAGGGGGAATAAGGCCATTATACAACACAGGCTTGCCCACACACGCCTAAATACACAGACACGCGCTAATACACAAACACACAAACAGGCGAACACAAACACAGGCCCAAATTAAGAGAGGAATTGTAAAGAGAAAGAAAGAAGAAAAGATTAGTCAAGATGAAGGTGCACGAGTTGTAGGAATACTGGTTCAACAAGCAAAGCAAGCAAAAACAATTGAGATAGAGAGGGAGAGATATATAATGAGTGAGTGAGTGAGTGAGTAAGCAAATGAGTGGGAGATAAAAGAGAAAGAGACCAAGAGATATTGTGAATGTGAATGTGAGTGGCTGAGTGAGTGAGACGAGGGAGGGTAAAATGGAAGAGGTTATGGTAGGTAAGGCATGTGAGGGAAATCGGAGGGGGGGAAAGTAAAAAAAAAAAAAAAAGGGTAATTTCTTGCTTATCGACATTGCCAAATCTTGATGGTCTGGTCCACGCTTCCAGTAGCAACCACCGGACTGATGTGACAATACCTACATAGTGCACCATTGAAAATTGTGGTTATTATAGTTGTGTAATTTATACAAAGATGAATTGATAGAATTTACTTACGATATACATGTCACAAAATGAGCGTGTGCTTCGAGTGTCTTCATACACCGACCCGTCTTGAGGTCCCAGATCTTGAGTGTCTTGTCATCAGATGCACTCAACAGGTATTTGCCACTCGGGTGGAAAACCAAACCACGCACCCAGTTGTCATGTCCCACCTGTCAAATTAAAGAATATTATATATATATACATATAAAAATTTAGTATTTTTTTTTGGATATTTAATATTTAAAAGTAAAACAGGACTTGCCAGAGTGTGGAGTAACTGGCCACTGCTGTCCCACAGTTTGATTGTTTTGTCTCTTGAACCAGTCACAACATAGTGGCCAGGCATTGCCTGGTCTCTTGACTTGGACTGTTGTATATATAGTTTTTATATAGACAAAGAGAGAGAGAGAGAGAGATAAATGATTAATTTTGGTCTTTTTTTTTTGTTTTATCAGAATAACCATCAAAAAATATACTTGATAACATAAACCATTTCTTACCTCATCACCAATCAATTCCTGGATAAATGGGTAGGTATTGACGGGTGCAAATATGGCACATTCTACTACGTGTTCATGGCCACGGAAATCCATCTTTGTCTCTCCAGATTGAACGTCCCACACACGAGCAGTCTTTTTTTTTTTGGAAAAATAAATAAATAAATAAATTTTACAAAATACAGAGCAAATCAAAAGACTTTTTACTATCTATATAAAATATTCACTTACTTGATCATTCGAGGCAGTTACAAGAAGTCTACCATCTTCACTGGGAGCAACAGAACGAACCCATTCAAAGTGCCCAACCAAGGTCTTGACACAATAACTGTTACAGAATTAGAATACATAAGCATATTAATTCTGATACCTATAATATCACTACACAGATAATTACCCAGAAGTAAAGTCCCAGATTTTGATGGTCTTGTCGCGTGAGGCAGACACGATCTTGTCTCCAAGAGGTAGAAAGTCGACTGAAGAGACACTGTGATCATGACCATAGAGTGTCTTTATACACTTGTAATCGTTGTTGACGTCCCAGACCTTGATAGAAAGATCAGCCGAACAAGATACTTTTATATATATATATATACATACAAAATTTAATATTAATATTAATATTAATATATGTATATATATATATGTTTTAATACCCAATATTTAATACACCCGATTACAACCCAATAAATAAATAAATAAATTTCAGTATATGTATAGAGAACTCACCAAGATAGTTTCCCTTTGGATCAAAGGCAAGGTCCTGAACTGCCTTGGTATGTCCTTTGAGAGTACGTTCGAAATCTCCAGATTCATAATCCCAGATCTTGATAGTCGTGTCTTCAGAGGCCGAAGCCAGGATTTGATAGACCGGATGAAAAATAAGACGGGTGATGGGGTTCCGGTGACCTGTCAGGCTGTGTTTCTCTGGTGGCCGAGGAATCCAATCCACAGAGCTTGTTGCTTTTCTGACGGGTGCGTTATTGAGCTCTTCCTGCATTTGTGTCGTCTTTGTCTCGAGTTCCATAATCTATTACAAGTATATATATATATATATATATATAAAATAAAAAACAAACCAAATGGGCAAGTTATTTAGTTGGTTGAATATTTTGTATATACATGTATGAAAGTATATAGATGTATTATAATATCTTGCCTTTTTCTGGAGACGAATAACAGATGTCCACTTCTTTTCCAAGAGACCGGCATACTTTTGTTTTGGATCGGGAGTAAAGTCCTGATTCTGAGACTCATTCTTGAGTGCAGCGAATGAGTCTGAGAAGCCACTTGCATTTAGATAGTCGAGAATGGCCTTGTGTCTAATTGAGATGGAGTTATAATCAGGGTTCAAGAAAATGAATAGAAAAAATAGTTGACAGTGTGGTCCATCTATTTTCATCCAGTAAAGATGATGTAACCCCCTTTGAATCCCAAAAGTCAACTTACAGCTCATCTCTTTGACGTTCAGAGAGAATGCTTGTCATTGGAATAAAGAAATGGGAATAAAGAGGTATATTATTATTATTATTATTATTATTAGTATTATTATTATTATTATTTAAGTCAAGAAAATAATATTAATAATAATATTAGAGAAGAAAAAAAAAGGGACGATCCAGGGAAATATAAGCCAGAAAATAATAGAATATTTTGTATGTATTTTTGTATGTATTCTTTTATGTATGTATATTTTATATATATATATTTTATATTATATTATATTATATTATAGAGTGCAAGTGCAAGTGCAAGTGTAAGTGTGTGTATATTAAGAATGAAAATATATTTATATGAAAAAAATAAATAAATAACAGAGAAAGAGAGAAAAGATTGGTAGACGGTAGAAAATAAAATACATACATAAAATATATTTATATTTATATATAAAAATTATATTCTATTCTATTCTATTCTATTATATACTTTTATTTTATTCTATTTCCTTATTTATATTATATATTTTATATATTTTATAAATAATTCTATATCCAATTATTTATTTAATTTATTTCAATATTCATATAGCAAAGTAGCAGTAAACAGTTAACAAATTAAATAGAACGTAACATAATATAATAGAAATAAATACTTGGTTAATTCTATATTTTATCATCATTGCTGTTGGTGTTGTTACTGGCTTATTTTTTTTTTACTATATAATACATAGATATATAAAATCATGTATGTACTATAGACAAAGCACATACATACACCTACATATATTCTTTAGTTATTTTGTCTGTAGTACCACATATTCCATCTTCTTCCATGACAAAAAAAAGCCCATTATTGTACAAACACTGTCAAGCCAAAAAAGGGAATCTATACCTTCTATTGAAAATTATTAATTGGAAAATAGTGGTGTTTTGAAGATGAAACGCGTATACAAGTTCATTATTCTCTCTTTCATTCTCTCTTTAAAAGCACATACACACGCACACGCACACGCACACGCACACGCACACGCACACGCATACGCACACGCACACGTACAAGCGCATACAACCACGCACACACACGCACACGCACACATACATATACGTATTTATATATATATATATGTGTGTGTGTGTGTGCGTGTGTGTGCATACATGCAGTACATCTTTATTCTTTTTCTTTTTAATGATCTTATAGTTCAAATATTGCAGATTTATCCTTCTTGTATTCAAATTATAAAACAAAACGATAGAATTATCTAAATAGTTTTTGCTTTCTCTCTCTCTCTGTCTTTCTTTGCATATTTATATATACACATACTATAAAAGCGCCAAATTGCACTCAGTACGAGAGAGTAAGAGCAAGTATAGGTGTAAGTGTAGAAACAAGTTTAAGATTGTGAGAAAAGTGGACAGAAACAAGTAGTATACACAACATAATGTTATATACATTAACAATTACAATTTACAAAAATTTGACAGCTAATTTAACTTGCCAAGTAATTAGAAGAAGGCAAAAAAAAAGGAGTGTATACGCATGTCCACAATCTCGATTGCATTCACGTCCTTGGAATCATTTTTTTTTGTTTTGTTTTATTTTGTGCTGGTATTTTGTTTGTAAAGATATATAAGTTTTCCTTGTGGTTAATGTAAATAGAAACGCATTCGATACAAAATATCACATTGCTACCAGCCAATTAAATTAATCGGCAACTACTCTAGTCATTAATTGAAACACTTTTGAAACTTTGTTTAGGTGCCCTGAATTTATATATATATATAAACACACACACACACACAGAGAGAGAGACAAACGCGCACGAACACATATAATATCCTTGTTCAAGTGACCACAAGAATCAATACCTTATTTTATTAGCAATAATGTACATTGAAATTAACAAGCAGCAAAGTCCAATACAGAAATAACACTCAACTCAAAGTATACCATACTACTATACTAAAGCTTGTAGCTGTAAAAGTTTGCTGCTCTTTACAGCTAATGAAAAAAAGGGCTAATATTTCTTGACAATTGAGTATATTTACAGATAAAACCAAAAAAATTCACTAACCACATAACATTTTGTCCGTCTGTCCGTCTCTCTGTTTGTTTTACCTGTCTGTGTAGCAATCTACATAAAGCAAGTCACAAAATCTATAATTTTTTTTTACATTTTTTTTTTACATTTTTTTCTCCTGATCACCAAAGATCTTTAATCAATTAACCGATCATGTCATCCTCCAAGTTAGACAAGGTGAATAATCGCATTAACCTAAGCAGATCCACAACATTCAATTATATCAGTCGAACCAACATATATATTAAATACCCAGATTAAATTGAATAAACTCGAACATAAAGCAAAACAACAACAACAAAAACTAATACACAATTCTCATTAGAAACCCAAGAGAGAAAGAGAAGAGGAGAATGTGTTTGGCGAGATTGTCAAGAAGGACAAAAAGGTGAAAAAGGAGAAGAAGGAGAAAAAGGAGAAGAAAGAGAAGAAGGAGAAGGAATCTGTCGAAGCTCAGGTCCCCAAAAAAGCCGAGTCGATCAAGCACAGTCTCGAGAGCTACAAGTACACCGAAAACCCTGCTCTCACTGCTGTTCCTCAGGAGAAGATTGACGAGTACCTTAAGAAAGAGGCTGTCGACATCCAGGGCGACCTTAAGCTCCGTCCTATTCTTGAGTTCTCTCAGACTCACTTGCCTGATGGCCTCATGAAGGTCTTCAAGGACTTCAAGAACCCCACTCCCATCCAGGCCAGCACCTGGCCCATCACTCTCTCCGGCCGTGATGTCGTCGGTATTGCCGAAACCGGTTCCGGAAAGACCTACGCCTTTACCATCCCTGGCCTGGTCCATATTGCCTCCAAGTTGCGTCTTGGTGTCAAGGGCAGAAAGCCCACCATGTTGGTCGTTTCCCCTACCCGTGAGTTGGCTATGCAGAGTCAGGAACAAGCTGAGACTGCCGGTAAGGCCATCGGTGTCACCACTGTCTGCTTGTACGGCGGTGTCCCCAAGGGCCCTCAGCAGGCAACCATTGCCCGCGGTGTGGATATCATTGTTGCTACTCCTGGTCGTTTGATCGATTTGATCAACGAGGGCAGCTGCGACCTGAGCGAGGTTGATTTCTTGGTTTTGGATGAGGCTGATCGCATGTTGGACGACGGTTTCGAAAACGATATCCGTGCCATTATTGGATACACCCCCAAGACCCGCCAGACTCTTATGTTCTCTGCCACCTGGCCCGAGTCTGTCCGCAAGCTCGCTGCCGATTTCCTCAACAACCCCATGCGCGTCACCATCGGTTCGGCCGATTTGTCTGCCTCGAACAACATCCAGCAGATCGTCGAAGTTCTCGAGGACCCCAGAAGCAAGGAGAGACATCTTTTGGAGCTTTTGAAGAAGATCCACAAGAGCAGAAAGAACCGTGTGTTGGTGTTCGCTCTTTACAAGAAGGAAGCCACCCGCATTGAGAACCTCTTGGTCCGCAACGGTTTTAAGGTTGTAGGTATCCACGGTGACAAGAACCAGAACGATCGTTCTTTGGCTCTCAGCCAGTTCAAGGATGGCTCTTACCCCTTGATGGTTGCTACCGATGTCGCTGCCCGTGGTTTGGATATTCCCGATGTCGAGTACGTTGTCAACCTCACTTTCCCTCTCACCATCGAGGCCTACGTCCATCGTATCGGCCGTACCGGTCGTGGTGGCAAGAAGGGTACTGCCTACACCTACTTCACTCCTGAAGACAAGGCTCACTCTGGTGAGTTGATCAATGTTCTCAAGCAGGCCAACATGCCCGTTCCTCCCGCTCTTCTCAAGTTCGGTACCACCGTTAAGAAGAAGGCTCACGGTGCCTACGGTGCTTTCTTCAAGGATACTGCTGATGCCCCTAAAGCCACCAAGATTGTCTTTGGCGATGATTAAGTAGTAGAGCTTGTTCTTTTCTTTTATACTTTTTTTGTTTATTCATTTCCATCACATATGTTATCTTTTTGTCTGTCGCTATCTCTCTCTCTCTCTCCACTATTTATACTTTTACATTTATTTCTTTTTTATTTTACTCATCCCAAAATATATATATATATATATATATATAGTTGATAGATTATTTTGTTTAATATTATTTTGTCCTTTTTTATTATCATATTTTATTTCTCTCATTGATAAATATAACACAATTATCATACGGATTCTATCTGTAGATACATACAAAGTCTTCTTTTGCGGCTTTCTTTAAAATTGTAGTAGATATTAGATGGCTTGTTGATAGAATCGATAAAACGAAGGCTTAGGCTTAAGTCTAAGTCCAGGTCTAGACTGGTTAGAGTGTATAAAAAAATATTATACCAACTATAGCCTCACTGTTTTTATTATGTGTTATTGACATGTAGTTGTATAGTGTCTTGGCCTTGATTTACTATTTACCAAAAGTTTTATATCCCTTAATAGAGACGTGATAATAAGAGAAGATAATAAGGAGTACACACTGGTGTTAAGGATGAGCTAAATAATAATATTCAATTGGCTAAACGTATGAGGAATAAAAACCAGCTGTCAAAATAATAGAACGAAAAAAAATAGTGTTTTATTGTTATTCTTTGTTAAAATTCTTCTAGTACTGACCTCGACTACCTTTTCATCTCTCTTCTCTCGTCCGCAGCTTTATTCTTAGAAAGTAATCCAAAAGAATACTTGTAGTCTGGAGTATGGACCAACAAGAGGTTGCAAAAGAGTTTGGAATTTCATTGAAAAAAGTTCTTTAAAGAAAGAGAGGATTTTTTTATTTCAAATCATTGAAAGATAAGCTTGATCTATTACTCAAAGTTAAATATATATAATCTTAGTAAAAGAAAATAGTTAAAACTATACTAAATAATTTGACTGGTTGGATAACTGTATCAAGAAATCACTAGGAATCATAATCTCAGCCACCTTTTATTCAATAGATACCCTGTTACAATGTAAATATTCAATAAATAACCATGAGAACATCTATATTTGAAATGTTATTTTCGAAAACATTAATTACAAACACAAGCACAGACGCAGTCGTAAAAATGCCAGCCATAAGACGTCTATACAGTTGGAATTTATTTCAACAAGATAGCCAATTTTCTTTCTTTCTTTTTAGTAAAAAAGCCAATCGAGAGTGTAAATAATAACAATAATAAGGGGGTGGCACAACCCTGAAAATGGTGTAGACCTTTACTTCTTGTCTCCATGGACACAAGATCTCGTTTTCAAGATATGATTGGATGTGGACTACTCAATTCGGAATCTTATTGGTTAATTACCACCGATGTATAACAAAAAGCACATCTCCGTTGTCTATACACACCAAAGAAAAGAGACAGAGAGAGTGAGAGACACAAGCGGTGATCTGTATATATTTATATATGTATACTTATATATGTATATACATCTGTGTAATGTGATGCATGTGTTACGTTTACCCAGAGCACCTACACACTTACACACACACATATATATATTTATATAGGATAGCGAAAAAAACGCGTTTTTTGTGCTTACAGCTAAGAACTAACCCAGAATCAGTAGACGCGCCTCTTGTACAAACCAAAACAAAGAAAATAAATAAATCAATAAAAAGGCTAAAATAGAGAATATACTTGTTTAAGGTTATAGAGCTGCAAGGAAGGCTTTTATACTTTATTCTTATTTGAACTATTATAAAAACCAATATTTATATAAAAGGAGAGAGAGAGAGATAAAATTTAAGTTTTGATAATATTTTATGTATATAGTAAATTCCATAAATTATTGGCTCCTTTTCTAAAATAAAATAGAGGGCAGACTTCTCAAATTCAAATTGACACTCTTTTCAAATTCAGATTGGTACGCATTTTGGATAGGAAATCTTGTACTTTAGAACAAAAATAATAATAGTAATAATAATAACAATAATCATATCGTAGGTGTAAATCTCGATCAATTTTCATCTATATCGGTTTGTTTTTTTTATCTTTTACTTTCTTATATACGTATACTGCATGTTAACCTTTATATTTATTGTACAGACTTTTTGTGTATATATGCTTGTATTTTCAATTAAAGTGAGTTGAGATAAATTCTTTGAAACTGTGCAAAAATAAAGATAAAACAAAATAGCAGTAGTCTAAAAAGTATACCCTTTTAATTTTTATACCAATATTTCTTAGAAAAGGAGCAAATGATATATGGAAAAAACCGTATACAGATATTTATACTAAATTTCAGTTTTCAAGATCACATATCTCGATTTGGAAGGTGGTGCACCTTTCTTTTGGTTTCGGTAACGCAGCCACAGAAGTTCTTTTATGGACAAGGGAGAAGAAGAAGAAGAAGAAGAAAGTAAATAAATAAATAAAGCCTTTTTATACAAATACATAAGTTTGTTTGTATGTACAGTATTAAATAATATATTTCAATTTCTTTCTTTTAATATTAATAAAATCTATCAATTAATTAATCAATCGATCAATTCAGTTAGTGTTTCAATTCCACGCCAGTAATAAATAAAAAAGATATATGTAACAAAATATATAGCAGTAGAAAGACTCAGAATGTAGGTATATTTTGAATATAAATCACTTAAAAAGTAGGTCGTGTTATTTTGGCTGACAAGGGTGTGAATATTTTGCTTAACCAAGTATCTACTTGCTTTTATTTTATTTTCTTCTTCTTTAAAATTTTGCTACTATTATATATGTGCATCAGTCTGCTTTCTTGTATTAATTTTTTTTTAAACAAAAAAAAAGTATATAAAAATATATCAGTGTGTGTGTGTGCGTGATATGCACTATATTTTGATGATTTTACTTTTATATAAAAAGCCAAAAAGAGGTTAAGCCAAAAAACATTTAAACGCCGCTTCCCAAACCAAAAAAAAAAAAAAGAGTACATTGCTTGTGTACCCACTCCAGGGGCACGTTTTGTCATGATTGCTGAAACGGCGGAGTTGTTGAATCCCGACGTCACGTACACACCGTGGTTGTGCCTCTTGGATGATTTTTTTCCCCTTTTCCTTTTCTACTTTTGTGTTCTTCATCCACGGCTGAGCATCTTCTTCATTTCAATCTGCCAATTGGAATCCATCTGTAGATCAACCCAGTCTCATCATCGTACAACACCCTCACTCTACAAACCAAGAAAATAATAGCAATAATAATAGCAATAATAACACCAACAATAACAATAATAGCGTACCAGCTAGCAACACACCTTTGATTTATTTTCTTAATTATTATATTGTCTGGCTTTACCTGTCCAACATATCCAAAATACACACAGACACAAGCGCAAGCACACACATATACACTTAATACACAACTTCCTTTGTTTTTGCGTATTTGTGTTTGTGTTTCTGTGAATCTAGTCATCTAGTCATTCAAAAAATAACAACAACAACAAAAGAAGAAGAAGAAGAAGAAGAATAAGAAGAAAGATTTTCTTTTACTTTATTTTCTTTTATATATTTCAATCAAACTTTCTTTTCAATCCCCCCTCTTTCTTCTCTTCTTTCTTTATACACACGCACACACATTCATACACTATATAATTTACCATCGAACGTCAATCTCTGTTTACAATGTCCGTTTACAATCATCGTTCAATGGTGTCAGCACCACAAAGCAGAATTATCGAGATGCTGGAGACAATCAGAGCCGACTACGACCAACTCTCTCAAGACGCCTACCTGTTCAAGAGTCAACGGAATGAGTTTGAGCTCAAAAGTAATCGAGGGTGACGTGGTTATCAGATGAACTGATCCATGACACCTCTTCTGTTGTGCAGTGAACACTCAAATCCAGGAAATGAACAATTTCCAGCAAAGTCTTCTTGAATTAGAGCGATCCCAACATACTCTTAAGAAGCAGTAAGTCTCTTTCTTTTTTTTCAGTTGACATCTACAAATAAATTTCCTTCTATCTACATATATATATATATATATATTTCTAAATACTTCTTTGTTCTTTATTTTCTCTCTCTCTCTCTCGTTCTTGCTCTTGCTCTTGTACTTTCTGTAAAAAAAAACAACAACAACAATACAAAATTGCAAATAACCATAACAATATATACTCACCATTCTTCTTCTTCTTTCTATTCATTCATTAATTCTTTCTTTTCTTTCTTGTTTGTTTTGTTTTGTTTGTTTGTTTGTTTGTGTTTTTTTTGGGGTTTACATAGATACGAAGATGAAATTGCCAGGCTTCGTCAGCAACTGGAACAGGCCCAGACGCGTGCTGGATACTCTGTCGCACCTGCAAATCCTCCCATGCCAGCTGGAATTCATTCTTCTCATCCTCCGCCACCCAACATTGGACCTGGCTCAAATTACTTTGGAGGGATCATGAACGCCCACAATAGTCATCAAGGGCCAGGTCTTGTTGCTCCTCCTCAGATGTCTGATGTTCCTCACTCAGGTTATCCTCCAACCCAGCCACCTCCGGGACCACCTCATCTCACTTCAGGTTATCCCACTAACCAGCCTCCTCCTCCTCCTCCTGGGCAAGGTAAGAGTGTAGAGTTAAATAAAATAAATATCTATACATACACCCACATGTATATGTGCATGCGTATGTGCGTATGTGTGCGTGTGGTGTTTTATTTACTGTAAATACATGTGCGTGTGCGTGTGCGTGTACGTGTACGTGTACGTGTACGTGTGCGTATGCGTATGCGTATGCGTATGCGTATGCGTATGTGTATGCGTGTGTGGGTGTGTGTGCTTACACATATGGCTACATGGCCTTTAGCCAAGTCGAATAACGATAAACAAATATTTATTTAAAAAATATATTCGTTATTTCTTTCTTTCTTTTCTTTTCTTTCTTTCCTTTCTTTCCTTCTTTCTTTCTTTCTTTAATTCTTTCATTCATTCTTTAAATAATGAACAACAAACAGGTCCTTATGGCCCCCCTTCTTCGGCCCCCAATACTGCACCACCGCAGCCTCAACCACAGCCCCTCACACCACAGCAGCAGCAACCGCTTTCTGGGCAGCCACCGTTAAACCCAATTCAAGGTAATATTTAGGCATTTTGTTTTATTCTATTCTATTCTATTTTACTTTATTCTATTTGGCTCGGCTTGGCTTGGCTTTTGGGTGGGAAGTAAATACAAGTTTTGTAGATGTGGTAGATGTTGGTGTAAACGGAAGTTACGTATATATTACAAACGTATACATATCTCACGTTTTATATCTTTATCTCTATCTCACATGTGTATATATGTAGGAGGCTATGGGTATCCTCGCATGCCTGAGTCTGGAGCACCTACTGCGCAACCAATGTCACAACCTATGGATGTGCCTGGTATGACCGTTAAACGCAAGTCTGGTATTGTTCCTGGTGGCCCACCACCTCAACCTCCTTCGGCAGCTTCTGCCCCTCCCCCTTCGCATCCTTCAGCTCATGCTCCTCCCTCCCAGGCCATCATTCGCGCTTCTGGAGGGAAACCCATCGAGGCTGCTATTCCCGGGGGGTTTGCAGATGCTGACCCAAATAATGTACCTGCAAGCATGAAAGTCGAAGGAAAAGACTGGTTTGCGCTGTAAGTATCTATTTATATTTTATATTAATACAGAAATAGATAGATTTAAAGAATGATTATATCGTGATTTGGCGTTTTCTTTTTCTTCTTCGCTGTGAGAGTATATGAGTGTTGGTTTCTTTTTGAAGAGATAATATAGTCTATATAATAATTTTATGATTTATTCTTATTTTTTTTATTTTCTTACATACAACAATGACACAAAATAATACACAGGTTTAATCCAAAAGTACCTCGCCAACTCAAGGTTGACCTCGTACACACTTTGGACCATGGTAGTGTTGTATGCTGTGTCAAGTTTAGTGCAGATGGTCGCTATCTGGCTGCCGGTTGTAATCGTCAAACTTTTATCTACGATGTCTCGACTGGTCAGAAGATTTGGTGAGTGGTACAGGTCAATGCGTAATGTGGCACAGACCAAAGAAAGAAAAAGAAAAAGAAAAAGGAAATGGGTTTACTGATAGATGGATATACATAAATCGAGCGGATCAGTGTGCTACAGGACGAATCAGTGTCTAAATATGGAGATCTCTACATCCGTTCCGTGTGCTTCAGCCCCGATGGCGTTTATCTTGCCACAGGTGCCGAAGATAAGCAAATCAGAGTAAGTCTGAAATGAATAGCACAAATAAGAGAATTACTTTGGAAATGTATATCATGTCTTCTCTTTCTCTACCTTTCTTACTATATAATAGTAGTATTTATAATAATTTAATTTAATTTAATTTTCATTTATTAGATTTGGGATGTTGTGAAGCGAAAGATCTGTAATGTCTTGAAGGGCCACGAACAAGATATCTACTCGCTCGACTTTAGCATGGACGGTCGTATTATTGCTTCTGGATCCGGGGATTGCACAGCACGGATATGGAGCATGGCAGACGGAAAGTGCCTTCATGTGCTTCGTATAAAAGATCTTGACCAAAAAGATCCAGGTGTGACTAGTGTGGCAATATCTCCCGACGGTCGTCTCTTGGCAGCCGGAAGTCTGGACAAGATGGTCCGTATCTGGGATACTCAGACAGGAACGCACCTGGAGAGATTGGAGGGTCACAAAGATAGTGTTTATTCGGTTGCATTCATGCCTGATGGAAATTCTCTTGTCAGCGGCAGTCTCGATAAGACTTTAAAGATTTGGCAATTGGGAACGAATGAAGGTCGTGGCTATGGAGTCGACAGAGATCGTTCAAAGGGTCCTTGCAAGACCACATTTGTTGGACACAAGGTAAATTATACTTACTTATATAAATTATTATTATTATTGGCATTCTTGCAATCAAAATGCCTATTTATTTTTATTTTTTCTATATATTTTTTTGGTCTATGCTTATTTGTGTGTGTACTAATCTGATCTTTGGTGATAATTGTAAAAAAAAAAATTAAAATTAAAATTAAAATAAACCAATTTTATTTTTATTTTTATATACATACAAACATACACACAAAAGGACTTTGTTCTTTCGGTTGCATGTACACCAGATGGTAGTTGGGTAGTTTCAGGATCAAAAGACAGAGGTGTACAGTTCTGGGATCCACGTACCGGTCAAACACAGTTTATGCTTCAAGGCCACAAGAACTCTGGTAAGCTTATGTTTTCTTTTATATTAGAAAGACATTAAAGGTCAAGACAATAAATAAATAAATTGATACGATAAATTTCTTATTATTTAGTCATCTCTGTGGCCATTAGTCCCAGTGGCCAGCCTGTATTTGCAACTGGTTCGGGTGATAACAGAGCGCGTATTTGGAGCTATGAAACCCTTGGCGCATAAATCAAACCAATTCATTCGTATATTCCTTCTTTTATTTTCTTCTTCTCTTTCAATGTTCTCGTATGCTCTCTCTCTCTCTCTCTCTCTCTCTTTCTATTCCTCTATTTTGTTTCCCATTTTTTTTTCATCGCATGACACATTTCACCAATGATGTTGCTCTTTAGTATTTCCTTGTATTTCTGTGTGGCATTAATCTATCAGACATTTATGTATGAATGAATGTATATATGTATGTGTGTCTGTTTGTTTGTATGTATGTATATGTGTATGTACAAACACGCACACACGCGTATATGTGTTTACATTTTGTGAGCAAGCGAGCGAGCGAGTGTGCGTGTAGGTGTATAGATATAAAAGGGAAATACATAAAAAGAAAAAGAAAAATCGCTTTTTATGGTATATTTTCAATGTCTGATGTCCATTCCTTAAAAGTCTTACATTTTAGCTTACAATCTTCCCATTGGCCATCTAATAACCATTGCCTAAAAATTCAAAAATTAAAATTAAAAATTAAAAATTAAAATAGACAGTTAAGGGGGAAAGAGTTTTTTTTTATAAAAAAAAACAATCTGTTCAAATGGTTAGCGCTCTTAGTTTGACTTTACCTTTCATCAATAACATGTCGAATAGAATTTAATGTATTAGCTGTACTATCCAGCATATTTTTCTTATAGTTTAGACTGTTCTTTTCATGTAGTACAAATGCATCTTCCTGCTCTTGTATGTGTACTATATTTGAATAACCAAAATAAACATGTTAGAATAATTGAATTTGACTTTCACTTGAAATAATAGTAATAATGTATTTCTCCTACAGACATTAATTTCCATTCTTTCTTTTACCTCTAAATGTTTCAGCAGCATACAACATTGTATCAATAGGCTCTTGGGTTTCATTTACTATGGTCTCAGGTAGCAAGATTTTATTGTCTATCAAGCTCTGACGCCATTTTTGAGCTAGAATCAATTACAAGTTATTGGGACGAGTTTCTTTACTTTTTCTCCTTTGCAATTGATATATTTATATATTTACCTCTTGTTCTTAATTGACTGGATAATTCTGTAGTTTCATTAACCGTGGATTGAATCGGATTACTTTCAAGTATTTTAGCTATTCAACAATACATAAAAAATAATAATTAAATCTATAGTAGTGTGCTTGGTTAAATTTTCTGGAGTATTAAGATAACCCTACATTGAAGGGACATATTGGCCAGTGTAGCGAGAAGTTGGAAAGATGACTATAGTTAATAAAAATAGACACATATAAATATATTTGTAAGTCTGTGTACGGAAGATACTGCTTGTTCGAATGATATACTAACCATTGTGTACAAAGGATTAACTGTATTTTTTAATGAGTTTAATGTTTTCTCTTCATCATGACTACACATACATACATGGAATTAATACTAAAAGCCTTTATTTTTTATATTAAATAAATAGAGTTAATAAGTTACCTGGCGAACAAGGACATTTTACAAAGCAAAGCAGCTTCCTTTTCTACCTTTCCACGTAACATTTTCTCCATTTTTTGGATAGTATGTATGGTTGGTATCCGAACTTTGTGAAGATACTCCTCCATCTTGAAAGAAAGGAAGAAGAAAAATGTCACGGCTGATCAATGACTTTGAAAAGAGTCTTTTGTTGTATTTAATCTTACATGTTTGTGTTGTTGAAGTATATGATCTCGATAGACAAGATTGGTTGCCATCAATTGTCTTACTCTTTCTTTTTGGAAAGTCTAATATATATATATATATATACATAATCACAATAAGAATTCTCTCTATATATATATATAATATATACACAAGTAACTTACAATTGAGTCAACAATTTGTTCAGTTTTTCTCTTCAATTCTGCCAAATCTCCGTAATTCTTTTCAAATTCCAGTGCTTGTCTGTGGAAAGATTTTACACTATCTTCCATTGATTTCTGTTCTGCCAACGCCTGATGACTCTCTGCTTTGGCATATATACTTTCACTAAAATTTATACATAAAATTTAATATAGTCTTTCTTGGCACATATACATAAATATATATCTATACACATCAAAATTCTTACATGACAGCTGTACGGATTTCTGGGGCATGATAAAGATCTCGTACCCGTTCCTCTAGTCTCTTTGTGAGATTTTCTTCTTTTTCTTCCCACAAAGGATACTGATTGTACAACAACTGAAGTCGTAAATCAGCCTCTACATGACTAGACCTAAATTTCTGCAGGTTTTTTTCCCACTCCTCTTGAGCTTCACCGGGAATATTACTTGTGGATTCTAACCGATCAAATTTTGGCAGTTCGTTATTCCATTGATCCACCAAACGATTCAGGCACTTCATATAGTCAATTGAGGGCTGTAAGCGTAATTGATCCATATCTTTTTGGATTGTTTTGAGAATTTCTTTAATTTGCTGTGATCCTTTGGAACTCTGATTTTCTATTAAGATATTCACAAGCAATCGCAGTAAATTTTTAAAACGGCCAATGTTTTCTAGAGGATCTTGAAGAGTGATATCAGACGGCGCAAGGGTTTTTTGTATTTTGGTGTCCAATATGATTTGATAGGCATTTTGACGCTTTGTTGTCTCGAGTGCTGACTTTTTGTGCTGTCTTAATACATTTATCCTCTGTTGTTTGTCTTTAATGGTCTTTTGAACCTGTGCAATGTCGGATTCTGTCCTTTTCCGAGCAAAGTTAAATTGGTTGGGTCAGTAATAGTTTATTATTCAAGAATGAAAAACAGCAATAATAAATAAAAACATCTTGCATCAGATAATCTTGCCTAATGATTTGATGTGAGTGAGCTCCTGCTCATTACGATGCTTCCATTGTTCATATTTTTGTCGTTGATGATCAATGTTCATGGTAGATGTTGACAACCTCACTATTCGATAAAGCGACTTTTTGAATAAAGGAAGCCGTCACGGAAAATTCACAGTAAAATAAAATTCAATAAAATAAAATAAAATAAAATGAAGTTAAGGATTCCTGCAAATTGAAGAAATATGTATCCTGTTTTTCTATTTCATTTTATTAATGTTTTGCATTGTTTTTTTTTTGCGTTGTATGTATGTATGTGTATGTATATGTATATGTATCTGTATCTGTATGTGTAAATGTATATATATATATATATATCTATTCTGATTTCTTCCAGTTTGCCCATTCCTCAAGTGTGGCATCTTCAATGAAATCGTATCTCCAGATAAATCCATCTTCACCAGCACATACCATTTGACTAAAAGAAAATTTTATAAGCAAAATTATAATAAAAGAGGAAGAGATAACAGTGTAATTCGATGTATATATATATATAAAGACCTACCGACAATCAAGGGAAAAGGCACAGCATCGAACAGATTTTGTTGATCGTCTGTGAGCAAGCTCAGCAACCATTTTACCGGTATCGATATTATAAATAAACACACTGCCTTGACTAGTACCTACACCAATGAACCTTTCATCCAAGCTAACATAACATAATAGAATATAAGCAAATTCATGAAAAAACATATAGTTTAGTTTACAAGATCTATACATCTATTTCGTACGAGAAACAATTGTATCTTTTCTTCTGTAAAAAATATAGTACACTTCTTTACCTCACATCAAATCTAGAAAAGTTTTCTCCTGTGCGTACACGGAAAGAGCGCATCATCTTTTTTTATAAAGTTAATTGTTAGCAAGCCTTTCTTGGAACATACACACACATAAAGAATAATCATCTCACCTTATCTGATTCGGGATCCCAGTATTCAATACGGCCATTAATAGATTTCGACAGCAAGTTTCCGTTGGCATATCGAATGCAATCTAGAAATAATATATTAGTACTTTTTTGTTTCTTTGTTTCTTTTTTATTGTAATCTTACCAATATAACTTTCTCCATGGACTTTTTTTAATACACGCGAATGCCTCTTTTCTACTGTGATATAGTCGTCCATTCCATCGAATACCGTATGATTTGGGATCTGCCACTCCCTTAATTCACCTCTAGAGCCACCAGAGACAAACTTTGTTCCTGAGGGATGAAAGCACTAAATATTGTCTTTGTTAAAGCAGTCCCACAGTCATTATTAATGCCACTACTTGCTACTGTTGGCGCTACTTCTACAATGCCTTAATTTAACTTACTGCTATAGTAGACTCTGCCTCAAATAAAACCAGGCATTTCTTAGTATCAACATCCCATAATCGCATTGTTCCGTCTTTAGAGGTTGAAAGAATATGTTTGTCGTTTTTGGGATGAGCCTGGATATCGACAATGGTCTCTATTAATTAAAAATAAATTTCTCTATTTTTACTTTATTTTATTTTAAAATATGCGAATCCACATATTCACATACACACATACACAAATTAATTATCTCACTTACTTGTGTGTCCTTCAAGAATACATATTTCTTCAGAATTGGCTAAACTGATAATGTGTATCTTTCTATCAGATCCCCCTGTCGCCAGCCAAGCATCACCTTCTCTGTACAGCCAACAGAATGTCAACAAGTTTTGTTTGACTGTAGATTCCTCTGTGTTTCCTGCAGTGAGATCAAAATTGGACATGATGTCAAGATGATCACCGCAGTGTTCATTGTCGTACACATTCAGCTGACAGCCTCCGACTGTTGCCAAAATATTACTGGTATCTGTCTGATCACGCTGAACTGCTCCTCTTTTGTCAAATGTCTTGTTGTGATCAATTCCAACCGGTCCAGCGAAATTCTTATTGTTGAAGAAAAAGGAGATCTGGTGGATGTCTGTGCCATGATTCTCTTTTACAATTCGTCTCAATCGCATATTTGCAAAAACTCGTTCCTGTCTTTCATCTCGGGAAAGTTCTTTAGGGACAGTTTCATTCGTTTCGAGCTTTATAATTTTGCTTTTTGACAAAGAAGTATTCGACAATCGTCGTTTCTGAAGCCCCATCATGATTGTGTTGTCTTTTGTAGTAAGATTCAGCGTGTCACAAAGTGAAAACAAGGAGCTGAAAAAAAATCAAATCGCGTCAAGAATCACGTCCCTTGGACGTGTGGAATATATCTACTATATATAAGATTTCTTTGGGGTCCCGATAAAAAGTGGGTGACGTTACAACAATCCAGTTACCAGGCGGATTTCATGGAAAAGATAGAAGGACGAAAAAGGAGAAGAGGGAAGAAAGTGGGTGAGGGGGGAAAGAGGAATTCAGTTGTCTTTCTTGTTAATACCATGCCAGAAGCAACACTGTAAGGATATGTGAATGGGCAAGGCACGACAACGATCTTCATGGCTTATAAGCTCTGTATATTATTACTTTCTTTTTCTATCTTTTCTTTCTTTCCTATTTTTTATTGCTGCTTAAGAAAGATATCCACTTGGTAAACTAAACCCATCCGCACATTCTTAAAGAAGAAGATAAGATAGTTTGCCATTCATAAAGAGGATGTCTTTTTCTATCTTCTTTTTATCTTCTTCTTCCTTCCCTCTTTTGTATGTATGTATATACATGTGTATTAACACATTAAATTAGAGAACTATACGTTTGGTGCCAAAGATGCACAGCCCGAAGAAGATCCTTCTGTAGCTACACGTCTAAAGCGATTAGAACACGACTTTGAGACTCAGGGGATGAGACGTACTGTGGAAGCCGTCTTGGTAGTTCATCAACACAACCATCCACATGTACTGATGCTACAGATCGCCAACGCATTCTTTAAATTGTAAGAAATATTTTTTTCGACGATTCAATAGTGTATGCTTATATCCTATCACACAGACCAGGCCATTATCTTAAGCCTGGTCAGGATGAACAAGATGGGCTTAAAGAGGTACTGAATCATCGGATTGGTTCAACCGATCCTAATGATAATGTTGCTGAACAAGATTGGGTTATTGGAGAGTGCCTGAGCACTTGGTGGAGACCCAACTTTGAATCTTACATGGTAAATGTTTTTTTTTGTTTTTTTCGCGCTATTATTTTCATTTTCATTTGATTATTATTATTTAGGAAAAAAAACTCAAACTTCTTATCTTTTCATAGTATCCTTATGTACCTGCTCATATTACCAGCCCTAAAGAAAAGAAGATGCTATACTTTGTTCACATGCCACCTAATAGTAAGTTACCCTCCTTTTTCTTTACATTTCTTTAAAGCCAAGAAAAAAATGGAATTAGTTTGAAGAGTTTGAGAATGTAATTGATGACAATCAAATAAACAACATAATACAATAGAGGTCCTGTCAGTCCCCAAAAATATGAAGCTTCTTGCCGTTCCTCTATTTGAACTTTATGACAACTCGGCACGCTATGGAGCACAGCTCTCTGCCATTGCTCACCTATTGAGTCGCTATGACTTTAATTACTCAAACTAAGATAAACCAATACTAATAAAAGAGAAGTATAGAAAAGAAAAGAAAAACAGTGACATTTTCTTGATCTTTAATCATGTGTAATTTTATGATTATATGGCTTGGATGAAGATAGGAGAACATTGAAAGAGTAAGAGTAAGAGTAAGAGTAAGAGTAAGAGGAAGAGTATCTTAATTATTCGTTGAATACACGCAAAAATCCTAACATGTAGTGTCACCAAATTTAATTAAGGAAACAAAACATTTGTTAGATTTAAATACTTGACCTTATTATACATGGTCTGTTTCATCTTTCTTTCATTAAGCAAATAAATAAAATATATGATTATATATTGATAATTTCAACCTTTTGATTAATATAAATATAATAAAGTTTTTTAATTTGACTGAGGCACAAAGAAAATATTTTTGCCAAACACCAAGCATGTAATTCTTTTCTAATCTTCATTTTTAATTATAAAACAAAACATGTTTTAGGTCAGCACCAAGAGACTATAATACGCAAGGAAATTTCGAGAGTTTTTTATAGGAAACTTCAAGTCATCTTACAAACAACAGTAAAATAAGAAGTTATGATTTTAATGAAACATCATTTCATTTTATTAAAGTATACATGCTCTGTGGTAAACGTAACAGACATACTTGTGTTTTTGGTTATAAAATGAAATTATAAGAGTTTTTTTTCGGGAATCATTGAATTATCTTTAAATTGTCAAATAAATGTACAAAAAAACTTTTAAAAAAAGCTATATTTGATGTTTATATTAACAGCCAAAAAGAATCCAAAAACTTATCAATATAAAACAGTTCAACACTAGGGACTATAGTGTATATAATCCTTGTCAAAATTTGTATTGTGAAGCTTCCAGAAGAAAGCACAAGATGGTCCAGACCATAAAGCACTTATCTATTTCGATGTTATTAACTATAAGTCACCTTGAATTTTCAACAAAAAAAACAGAAATCCAAATAATAGTTACCTCTCCTCTTTCATTCTTGTACCAATTATTACATCCAGACTCCCACGATGTACCCTTAAAGTCACGTCTAAGTTGGTCAGAGAATTGATCTTGGGCCTCGACTGTTGGTTCCATTGCAATAAAGTTGTTCTTCTGAGCGTAGGCCATAGATCTTACTGCCAGTTTAACCTGTCTAATTCAAAGAATAAATTTATCAGTGACTCACAAAAAATATCATAGAGTATGCGTGTGTACATACTGCTCAAACATAAAGATAACAGAATTGTTTCCAAGAAGTGAGGCTGGACCACCCAATAAGAAAAAGTTTGGAAAACCATGTATTCCAACAGACTTGTATGTCTTGGAGTATTCTGTAGACCACAAGTCATTCAGACATACATTATCCCGACCAGTAACTATATATATGTAAATTTATTAGATAGGCACATTGCTCGTTTTGCTGAAAAAAATACAATTATTTTGCTCTTACCACGCAGATTTCCAAGAAAGCCAGAGACGTTGAACCCAGTAGCCAAACACAAAACATCGAATTCAGAAGACCTTCCATCCTCAGTGACTATCGTTCTCCCAATAATCTCCCTAATAGGAGACCGGTTTATATATACTTTCTCATCGCACAAAGCCTCCAGGTAATTCTCCGAAGGTGCAACTCGCTTACACCCTACTACATAATCTCTGGAATAGATCTTAGAATACCTTCCATTTTTCTTTAATATATATAAGTAGCTTACGGGATCAACAAAGGTACCAAATCACCACGTCCTTTTGCTTCAAGACGTTTTATCATTCGACTTTTGATAGATTGAGTCATAAACTTGGAAGCTTTTGAATCCGGATAACCGAATAAAAAATAAAGGTACTCCCACTAATAGAATTAATCAGCCTTTTTTTTTCTCGGCTCACAGTACAATAAACTTACACCTAAATATGAGTAGAAACGGTAAAGGTACAAAATGAAAGGAACATAGAGAAACATGGTTTTTACCCACGAAGGAAAGGTAAATTGGTTGCGATCAAGAACCCATGCACTTGAACGTTGATAGCTCTCTAGACTGGCGACAGACTTGACAAGATGAGGTATGACTTGGATTGCACTGTACACTCTGTTATTCATGTATAGATCGACGAACAATAGTTTTTTTTTCTGTTTACCTTGAACCAGAACCAATAACAGCCACTTTTTTATCAGTGAAGTCAATAGATGAGTCCCAAGCTCCGGTGTGAACGATAGTGCCTTGAAAAGACTTGAAAATTTCTGGGATACGCGGTATGCGAAGCGAACCAAGAGCAGAAAATCTATTTCAGCAAGGTATTTTTCTTTAAAGCTCTAGTACATTAATGTAATTATTAGTATGGGAAACTTACAGGTAGTCATAGTACGAAGTTTGAATAGGTTGATTATTTTGTATCCAGTCCAGCTTCCATTGGCGAAGTTCTTCTGACCATGTTGCACTGATAACCGTGGTATTGTATTGTATGTCATCGTACACCCCGAACTTTTTGGCGACACCTTGAACATACTCCTTGATTTCGCTCCCTCCACTATACTTCTGAGTCCACACTACACCGCTCTCAGATTTTAGGATCATTGGGTAAATGTATTCTATTTTTTTTTACATACTTGGGTTCAATGCAAAACTATATGAGTATATATGACTGTCAATATCGCACGCACAACCAGGATACGTGTTCTGACTCCATGTTCCTCCCATTTCCGATGCTGCTTCGAATATCTTTGCAGTTATACCAAGTTTTTCTTTCACTTGAATAGCTGCACATATTCCACTGATACTAAAGACAAATAAATAAATAAAAAAGAAGGTGTTTATACTATTGATTTTGATATATTACTTGCCCGCTCCCAATGATTCCAACTGTTGGATTTGACATTTTATGTAAAAGTAATCCAAGATAAAAAAAAAGAGCTGTATGTCGAAACACTCGACTTTATGTTCAACGCAAAACAAAGGAAAATCACGGGACTTAGTTGGTACACTACTTGTATCTCAATGAAATACAATTTTTTTGAGCAACGCATGCTTACTTCCTATTGCATGAAACGTATGCCGTGTGAGAACTTAATTATCAAAAATGCCGGTTTGTTTGCATAATCATCTTCCCTCCTTGACCTATACAGTATTATATAAGATTTATGAAATACCATAACTACTCTTAATAAGATACGACTTTTTTTAAAGAAATAAATTAATTAATATCATACAAGTTTAGATACCCTTGACCTTTTGTACATCATACCTAAAGTTGTGTTGTCGAAAACGCTTCCAAAAACCCTTAAAATTTTTGTACAACTTGTCGATGATTCAAAAACCAAATACAGACCCATGTGTCTGGCTACAAGATCTATTTTCTATAAATACCACATGACGATTCCCCAACAAGGATATATTATAGAGAGCTATTGTAAGTTATACGTGTGTACGATAAATACCAATAAACTTTGACGATTTACGCCACAAACGGAATATATTAACGGATTTTCCCTTGATTTAAATTTGATCTTATTATCTGAGAAAACAAACCAATTAAGGTTTATTCAAAATTATTAAAAAAATTGCGACTCGGCAATTGTTCTTCGACAAGGTTCGCCAAAAGCAACACAATTATGTAATACTATATAATATAATAAATCAATTAGACCAGAAAATTAGGATAAAAAGGCATAAATCTTACTAATAATGCATACTTACTTCTCGTTGGTTTGTTACATGGCCTATGTTGGACTAATAGATTGCTCGGAGAGGTCAGGCCATGAGTAACACATACCGTGTAGGATCCAGACCGAAGCAATTGTCTTGACAATGCAACTGACTGTTATATTAACACAGTAAATGAATTACAATAAAATCATCTCTTTCTGTCATAATTTCTAGTGTTGTTTTAAACTGTATAGGCTGATCTGGCGGTCTCGCACTGCCTGGTAAAGTTTAGAGAACTCCCTAAAGTAGCATATTCTGACCTTTTTCTGTATCTTTCATTACAGAGTTTCTACTTGAGTTGAGACAAATTAAAGGTGCTAAAGGAATTCTTTTTTAGAAGGGTGAGATGTACCAGATATAGGTGTTGTGTAATTAATAATACGTCGGTGTCATATTCAGGACTATACCTCAAAGGCATAAACTTATTTGAAAGCATATTAAATGGATATTTGTTATAGTGGCTTTACCACTAAGAAAAAAAATGTAATACCCAGCTTTAAGCAAAGCTCTTGATACAATATAGCATTCTATATATTACTTTCAGCAGAAAATTACCAGCTGGTATAGCAAACAAGGTCCTGAAAACAAAATATAATAGTAAGATAAGAATAATTCTCAAAGGCTGTGCTGATAGTAATAAAAACATGCTGCTAAAATAGGAACATTATCTTTTTTCGAAAAAGAATTCCGTGAACACCTTAGAACGTCTTCAGCAGTGATTTAATTTCTTTAATTCATCTAGAGCCAGACACCGCCACTTTAGCTAAAGAAAAAATAACCTTTTCACAGCAGTTCAGTTTATCCTTTTCTTTAAATAAATTTCGAGAGCGTTTTCATCAATCAATTTATCTTATTAAATTTAACAGGAAGATAGAAAAAGGGTTTATCTTTTTTATTTAGTGAAATTCATTGAACTGGTGGGAGCACCAACTTTAGCTATATATTTAAATTTAACTTAAAAGTGGAGATAAAGTGGACTGCTGAAGATGCTCTTAGAGCATCCACAACGGTTTACATAAATTAAGCGAAAATGTAAAAGTAAATTAGAAGTTTAGATTACACAAACTACTATGTATGATTTAACGAAGGCAAAGAACTTGATTCTTGAAATTAATGTGGAATAAACTATCGAAATAAAAACACTAATAAAAAAAGTTCCAAAAAAAAACTTGTATACCTGTAACACATGAATAAGAGTTAAACAATGATCTTTGACACCAACTGTGAAATTATAAGTATTTATAACCATCAGTGAATAGATTCACAAAGAGACTTGTATACCTACGGCCCATGATGTAGAGCAGAGCCATAAATTTTGGACTTGGCGATTAAAAGACTAGACAAATAAAAGCGACAGGTATTAACTGCTTAAAGAGTCATGTATACATATAGCCCAAAATGGGCAGCGGAATATCGATCGTTCGCCCTGGTGGTAAATAGACTAAAAAAAGAAAGCCAACAATAAGTATATGTTCAAAAAGAAATATATACCTGTGATCATGAATAAATACTCAAAACTTGATCGTTGGCTTAAAATATATAAAAAAAAAGCTAGACAAAATAATAGTTGATAGCTAAATACTAAACGAGACATGTGTATCTCATACCCTGGATGTATGGTGAAACCTTAATCGTTGGTTTTGACTATGTCAAGATAACTAAAAACAACAACCAGTAAGTAGATGCTCAATATATATATATATATACTGGAGAACTTGGACGGGCAACAGAGGCTTTATAGTTTGGCTTTGACTGTGTAAACACTAGAATAATCTAATTGATAGTAAGAAAATATTTAAAGAGCTTTGTATACCTGAGGATTTTTATGGAGAGTGAAACCTTGATCGCTGGTCTTTTCCGTAAAAAGTATGGGAATATACAGCTTAAAGTAACTAAAGGCTCAAAGAGACTTGTATGTCTATGACTGTAGGAAAATGTCGGAATATTAATCGTTGGTCTTTACTATGAAAACACTAGAAAAATACACCTAAGAGTAAGTAAATTCTCGGAAATATATATATACCTATGGTTGGAGATGTAGGTCAAAACCGTGACTGTTGACATGAGCTGTGAAGATTCTGGACATATAAAACAGGCTGTAAGTAAATGGTGTAATAAAGACGTATGCCTGTAGCCCTGGATGGAAATCGGACGCCTAATCGTTGGTATGAACTGTGAAATTACTAGAAAAATTAAAACTGATAGTAAGAACATATTCCAATAAAAAAAACCTTGTATGTCTATAAGCCTTGATGGAGACTAGAGCCGTGAGGGCTAGCATAGAATGTAAAAAAGAAAAAGAAAAAAAAAAGATTAAATAGATAGAATCAGTAGTAAAGTAATATTTAAATACACTTATATATCTAAGACGTTGAATTAATAGCAGGATCTTGATCGTTGACCAGGACTCTAAAAACGCTTGATAAATGTCATTGGCTGTAAAAAAGTAATCTAAGAATCTTATATACCTTTACCCAATAATGTTGAGTGGAAACTTGATAATGACCAAAGACTTGATCAATGGACTTGAATGTGCAAACGCCAGAGAAATTCAGTCGATATTAAAAAAAATCAAAGATACATGGATATCTTCAACCCTTCCCGGAAAGCTGAAGCTTGATCGTTGGACTCGGATTTAAAATACTAATCAAATGTAATCGATAATAAATAAATGTTCAAAATAAACGGTGATACCTGTGGCTCATGGTTGAGAGTAGGAAATTTATCCCTTGACCTATATATTAAAAGCAATAGGCAATAGCAGCCGGCAGTCCTAAAAGGGCAATTATACTTGAATGTCTGTGAACCTGGGTGGAGACTAAACTCTTGAACCTTGGTGTGGACTATGGTATGACTAGATAAATATTATGGATGACAGAAAGATATTCAAAGGAGGGTGTACGCCTGTTACCTCGACGAATAGCAGAAACTTGATCATCAGCGTTGACTGTAAAATTATTAGACAATTTCAACAAGCAATGATTAACTATTAAAAAAAAAGCATATATACCTTTTACCCTAGATGAGCAGCGGAATCTCAATTAGTAGTCTTGACTATGAAAAGACTAGACAAATATAGCAGACACCAAGCAAATGCTCAAAGAGGTATATATACCAGTAACCCTGCATGAACTATGGAATCTTGGGTGTTGGCCTCAATTGTGAAAAGACTACCGAACTAAAGCTGGTAATAGGTAAATACCCAAAGATACTGGTATACCTAACATCCAAGAAGGAGAGTGGCATCTTGATTGTTGGCCTTTTCTGTGAGTAGACTAAAGAAACACAATTGGCAGTAAGTAAATACTAAAAAGTGGCAGTATATCAGTGATTTTTGACGGGGATTTGAACCTTGACTGTTGAATTGAACTGTAAAAAGACTGCTTCAAACAGCTATCAATATGTTAATGGGTAAAGAAAGCCACTTGTATCCCTGTAAATCTATGCGGAAATCGGGCTCTTGATCTTTGGTCTCGACTGTATAAAGTCTGAATAAAGCAACTAGTAGTAAGTAAATGCTTAAAAAGGCATGTATACCTTAACCCTATTTTTTGAAGTGCAACCTTGATTCTCGGCATGGACTGTCAAAGATTAAAAAGATTCAACCAGTGAAGAATAAATGCTAAAATGTGCGTGTGTACCTAGAACCTTGAATGGATAGAAAGAACATGATCATTTCGCCTTGACTATGTAAACGCTAGGAAAATCTAATTTTTAGTAAATTGCTTAAAGATTCTTGTATACCTGCGACCTTTGATGTAGAGCTGAGCATTGAATGCTTGCTACGGAGAAGAAAGGGTTAGAACAAAACAACGGATAGTACCTAAAAAGTCAAAGAGACTTTTATACCTGTGAGCCCAAAAGAATATCAAAGCTTTGATCGTTGGCTTCGGCTGTAAAAACATTATGCAAATATATAGTAAGTAGATTTTTTGGCAGATTTGTATACCTGTCCCCCCCCGGATAAACAACTCATATTAATTGTGGGCCTTTCCTGTAAAAAGACTAGAAAATATAATAGCTAGTAAGTAAAGGTTCACATAGTCATGTATACCTTTAATCCTTAATGGAGATTAAAAACCCGATTGCTGGCTTAAAGTATAAAAAAGCTAGACAGAATAATAAGTGATACGTGAGTACTAAATGAGACCTGTATACCTCGGGCACTAGGTAGATAGTAAAACTTTGGTAATTCAGTTTGACTAAATAAAAATTACTCGAAACAACAAGCAGTAAGTAAACGATCAGGTATGTACATATACTTGTTACCCTAGAGGACAGTAAACCTGGATCGATTGGCCTTGGCTGTGTAAAATTAAAAAATAATAATTAATTAATTAATAAATAGTAAAATAATACTTAAAAATATTTTTTAAACCTATGGCCTTAGATGGAGAGTAGATGCTTATTATTTAGCATAGACATTAATGAAATTAGAAAAATCAAACAAGCGTTATGCAAAGGCTAAAAGAGAATTGTATACCTGTAACCGTGGATGAAGAAGAAATCCTTGTTCTTCGACCTGGGCGGTGAAAACACTAGACAAAAAAAAACAAGCGATAAGTAGAAACCCAAAGAAAAGTGTATACCTATCATACTGGATGGAGATCGGATCCTTGATGGTTGCCCTTGACAGTAAAAACAATAGACGGATAAAAAAAGCCAATAATCAACGGCCCAACGAAAAATATATATCTGCAAGTCTGGATGAATATCAAGTCCTAGTTCTTCGGCCTAAACCGTATAGGCACTAGACATATAAAGCTAAAAGTTAGTAAAGACGCAAACATATTTGTATACCTGTCACTCTGGATAGGGCTCGGATTCGGAATCATTGGCATAGACAGTAAAGGCACTTGACAAAAAAAAAAGACACATTAAATAAAAGCACTTGTCAGATTTGTATACCTGTAAAACTTGATGGAAACCGGATCCTTGAGTGTTGAATTTGACTGTAAAGTCATGAGAAAAAATACAGTTTGCAGCAAGTCAAAAATCAAAGAGATGTGTAACACTATATCCCAATATGGAGACCGGGTTCTTGCTCGTTACCCTTGACTGCAAGGACACTAGAGAAACAAAAACAATTATAAGTAACGGCCCAATAACATTTTTATATCTGTAATTCTCGGCGGATACCAGATGATTGGTCGTTGGCCTTGACTTTAAGGACAGTAGAAAATTAAAACCGACAGTAAGTAAAATCCCAAAGAGAAGTGTATACCTGTAACACTGGACGGATATAGGATCCATGATGGCTGGCTTGGACTGTGAAGCAAGTAGAGAAATAAAGCCAACAGTAACTAAAGGCCGAACTAGATGTATATACCTGTCGCACTGGAAGGAAAACAAATTTTTCATTGTGTAGCCGGATCGTAAACACACTAGGCCAATACGAAAGAAAGCATGTAAAGACAGAGAGAAAAGTGTGTACCCGTAACCTTGATTTGAAATCAGATCTTTGATATTTGAACTTTAAGGAAAAAAAAACACTAGAAATATATAAATGACAGTAAGTAAAAGCTCAAGAAGACTTGTTTACCTGTAGCCCAAATTTGAGTTTTGATCCTTGCTGTTTGGCCTGGAGAGTAAAAACAATAGTCATATATACTTCTAGGTTAGTAATGGCCAAGAACGACTTGTATACCTTCCATAATGGATGTATATTTGATCATCGTTCTTTGCCATCAAAAGAAAGTATAAATAAAGAGTATAGTTTGTTTTAAGTAAAGGTTTAAAGGAAACTTGGTTAGCTATAACAATTCATGAAAATCGGATCCTGATAATTGCCGTGGATGAGTAGACACTAGAAATATATAAAATCCAATGAGTAATTGTTCATCGAGTTTTTGTATACCTATAGCCACGGACTGAATCCGGATCCGTGAAGCATGATCTTGGTGGATTCAACACTAGAAATAAATAAAGCCGAGTGTGATTGCTCATCGATTTTTGTTATACCTATAATCATATAACGGGAAATCAGCACCTTGAAGCTCGACCTGGATGGCCGGAGACTAGAACTAGATTAAAATAATGAGTATATGCCCATAATGCTTTTTATACCTATACCCATGGCGGGGAGATCGGAATCTTGATGCTTGATCCGGATAGCTGGAGACTGGAGATATATTAAATCTAGTGAGTATATGCCCATAATGTTTTTTTATACCTATAACCATGGCGGGGAGATCGGAATCTTGATGCTTGACCTGGATAGCTGGAGACTGGAGATATATTAAATCTAGTGAGTATATGCCCATAAAGTTTTTTTATACCTATAACCATGGCGGGGAGACCAGAACCTTGATGCTTGACCTGGACGACTGAACACAAGAAGTATATTACAGCTAGTGAGTATATGCCCATAATGTTGTTTTATACTTATGACCATGGAGGGGTGATCAGGTCCTTGACGCTTGATCTGAATGACTGGAGGCTAGAAATAAATATCAAAACTAGTGAGTAAATGACAATAACGATTTGTTATACCTATAACCATGGACAGGTGATCGGGTCCTTGATGCTTGACACGGATGGCTGAAGACCAGGAATAAATATAAAAACTAGTGAGTATAGGCCCATAATGTTTTTTTATACCTATAACCATTGACGGGCGATCGGAACCATGATGCTTGACCTGGATAGCTGAAAACTAGAAATATATTAAATCTAGTGAATATATGCCCATACCATTTTGTTATACCTATCACCATGCACGGGCGATCAGAATCTTGATGCTTGACCTGGATGGCTGGAGACTAGAACTAGATTAAAAAAATGAGTATATGCACATAATGCTTTTTGTACTTATAACCATGGGCGGGCGATAGGGTCCTTGATGCTTGACCTGGATAACTGAACACTAGAAAAATATTAAAGCTAGTGAGTATAGGCCCATAATGTTTTTATACCTATAATCTTTGACGGGCGATCGGAACCTTGATGCTTGACCTGGATGGCTGAACACTAGAAATATATTAAAGCTAGTGAATATATGCCCATAACATTTTGTTATACCTACCACCATGGACGGGCGAGTAGAACCTTGATGCTTGACCTGGATGGCTGGAGACTAGAACTAGATTAAAACTAGTGAGTATACGCCCATAATGTTGTTTTATACCTTTAACCATGGATTGGCGAGTAGAACCTTGATGCTTGATCTGGATGGCTGGAGACTAGAACTAGATTAAAACTAGTGAGTATACGCCCATAATGTTGTTTTATACCTTTAACCATGGATTGGCGATCAGAACCTAGATGCTTGACCTGGATGACTGAACACTAGACATATATTAACGCTAGTGAGTATATGTCCCTAATGTTTTTTACATCTATAACCATGGCAGGGAGATGGGAACCTGGACGCTTGACATGATTGGCGGAACACTAGAAATATATTTAAAATAGTGAGTATATTGCCATAACGTTTTGTTATACCTATAACCATTGACGGGAGATCAGAATCCTGTTGATTGACCTGGATGATTGAACACTAAAAACATATTAAAACCAGTGAGTATATTTCCATAATGTTTTGTTATACCTAGAACCATGGCTGGAAGATCGGAACCTTGACGCCTAACATCGATGGCTAAACATTATAAATATATTAAAACTAGTGAGTATATTCCCACAACGTTTTGTTATACCTATACCCATGGCCGGGCGATCGGGTCCTTGCCACTTGACCTGGATGGCTGAACACTAGTACTAGATAGAAGCTAGTGAGTAAATGCGCATAACGTTCTGTTATACCTATAACCATAGCTGGTAGATCGGAACCTTGATGCTTGTCCTGGATGGCTGGAGACTAGAGATAGATAAAAGCTAGGGTGTATATGTCCCTAATGGTTTTTTTTACCTATAACCATTGACGGTCGATCGGGTCCTTGCCGCTTCACATTGATGACTGGAGACTAGAAATAGATAAAAGCTAGTAAGTATTTACCCATAATGTTTTTATACCTATAACCATGGACGAGGGATCGGGTTCTTGATGCTTGACACGGATGGCTGGAGACTTAAATAAATATAAAAACTAATGAGTATACGCTCATAATGTTTTTATACTTATAACCATGGACGGGCGATCGGGTCCTTGACGCTTGACACGGATGGCTGGAGTTCACAAATAAATATAAAAACTAGTCAATATATGCCCATAATGTTTTTTATACCTTTAACCATGGGCGGGCAATCGGAACCTTGACACTTGACCTAGATGGCTGAACACTAGTAATAGATAAAAGCATACGAGTAAATGCGCATAACGTTTTGTTATACCTGTAAACATGGTTGGGAGATCGGAACCTGGACGCTTGACATGGATGGCTAAACACTAGAAATATATTAAAACTAGTGAGTATATTCCCATAACGTTTTGTTATACCTATAACCATTGTCGGGAAATCGGGTCCTTGACACTTGACCTGGATGGCTGACACTAGTAATAGATAAAAGCTAGTGAGTAAATGCGCATATGGTTTTGTTATACCTATGACCATAGCTGGGAGATCGGAACATTGATGCTTTTCCTGGATGGATTGGATACTACAAATGTACAAAAACAAGTGAGTAACTGCTCATCGAGTTTTGATATACCTGAAAACCGTGGACCTTGACCTGGACCTTGAAGCTTGACCTAGATGGAATGGATACTACAAATATACAAAAACAAATGAGTAACTGCTCATCGAGTTTTGATATACCTGAAACCGTGGACCTTGACTTGAACCTTGAAGCTTGACCTGGATGGAATGGATACTAGAAATATACAAAAACAAGTGAGTAACTGCTCATAGAGTTTTGATATACCTGATAACCGTGGACCTTGACGTGAACCTTGAACCTTGACCTGGATGGAATGGATACTACAAATATACAAAAAGCAAGTGAGTAACTGCGCATTGAGTTTTGATATACCGGAAAACCGTCGACCTCGACCTGAACCCGTTGACCTTGACCTGAACCTTGAAACTTGACCTGGATGGAATGGATACTAGAAATATACAAAAACAATTGAGTAACTGCTCATCGAGTTTTGATATACCTGAAACCGTGGACCTTGATCTGAAAACTGTGGACCTTGACGTGAACCTTGAAGCTTGACCTGGATGGAACAGATACTAGAAATATACAAAAACAAGTGAGTACCTGCTCATCGAGTTTTGATATACCTGAAATCGTGGACCTCGACCTGAATCCGTTGACCTTGACCTGAACCTTGAAGCTTGACCTGGATGGAATGAATACTACAAATATACAAAAACAAATGAGTAACTGCTCATAGAGTTTTGATATACTTGATAACCGTGGACCTTGACCTGAACCTTGAAGCTTGACCCGGATGGAATGGATACTACAAATATACAAAAACAAGTGAGTAACTGCTCATAGAGTTTTGATATACCTGATAACCATGGACTCTGATCAGATCCCTGATGCTTGACCTGGACGGAAGGCACTAGAAGCATACAAAAGACAATGAGCATATGCTCCTCGAGTCTTGGTGTACCTGTGGCCCTGGATGGAGACCTGTTCTTGATTGCTTGACTTTGCCTGAAAAGTCCCTACAGAAATATCAAAGACAGTGAATGATTAATCAACGAGCCTTTATATACCTGTAGGCCTGGATGGAGATCTTATTTTTTATCGTTGACCTTGTTTGTCAAAAGACTAGACAAATATAATCTTCACAATGTGTGTCTTTGATGAATATCATATACTCCTTAAAATATAGTAAGTCCTGTCAGTTTATCTCTTGTTTCTGAGTGTGAATAGGCTTTGTATGGATTGATGGTCAAACCAGTGTTGCACCTCAGTATTTCATTTTTGCTGTGTACTGGTTTTGACGTATTGTCTTATATCTTGCTACTGACTGTTTTACATATGATAAAAGCCTGAGATTTGACTAGCAAAATGGATTTTTATTGGTTATGATTCGTCTTTAACGTCTATGTTGATTAAAGCAGTTTGTGAGAGAGCAGTAAAGAAGTGTATAAAGTATTAATAGTATGTGGAAGAGAGTTGTTTTGACGCGTTCTGTTTGGATAGGTGTTTTTTTTTTATAAAACTCATGACGTCTCAATCATGAGTTGCTGTTCTTTTTTATTATTTTTATTATGATAGTTTGATAATATATTATAAAATTCGGTTTTTTTCTTATTCCTTTTTCGGTTTTCTTTTATCTTTTAGCCTTGACAACATGTATATATTATTACTATTTTACTTCTTTATTTAATATCTATGCTTAAAATATGGGTTTTGGGTTTTAAAGAAGTATCACTTATATTCTGAAGGACGTGCTGTGCAGGCACTTGTTTTACTTTTTGTTTTTTTCTTTTGCCTCTTTTTTTGTTTTAGTTCTTTTTATGTCACATAAGGTCCGTGCTGTCCGTGCAGCATCACATGTGTCATGGGGCTTAGAGGAGCATAGTAGCAATAGTGGTCCAGACTTTACTTTAGCATGAAAACATTTAAATGATGTCTTCCGATTGGTGGACTATATGCATGTCAAATTATTCAGTTGCTATGGACCCCCATTCACTTTTTTATTCTACTTTCTGTTGTGATTCTGTTAACAAGGCTTATGCTTTTGAACAGCCACTTGTCGAGACATTATATATGCCTCTGTGTTCATTTTAGCTGTACTACTGATATACAAAGTATTAATCGGCTAGACGTTAAACTACAATAAAGAAGTGTAAAGTTGTGTTGATTATAAAGCTTTAATTAAAGTCTTGTGTATATTTATTTGTTTGTTTTCTTGTTTGTTTGTTTCACATGCTGTGACTTTATTAGTTTAAGAAGCACCCCCGAAAAAAATTGCTGCTTATATCTTTTCTTTTCTTTCGTGTGAGACTTCCATTTTTCTTCTAGCTTTTTCACCAGTGTCTTGAGTTAATAAACACAAAGTGTAGGAATACTTTCTTGAAATAAAAGTACTTTCAGTGCTTCAGTATGAAGGGATTGACAGCCTGACTATTGAAAGTCGTTGGTACCTCAAGTTAAAGCATCGTTCTTAGAGTAAAATAAAAGTAAAAAGAAGAACAGGGTCTAGCCTAGTGTTTGTCAATCGACCTTGGTTTGTACTACTTTATAAACCAATCATAATCCAACCGAGAAATTAATACAGCATAACCCAACTGCCTGAAACACTTTACATTTATATGTGTTCAAATATACACCATTCTATCGATAATTATAATTATTTATATAAGTTACATTATACACCATGAAAAAGTAGTGGTGCTTGCAATTGTGCTAGCCTGGTCACAGATAGATCAAGCTAGTAAAATGGCTATTACATATATATAAATCACCTTTTAAAGGCTCTGCTTATTTACTATTTTTTTCTGTTATTGCTCAGACTGACTGACGGCACAATATGAAAGCAAAGAGACAATCTACTGCTACTGAACGTATAGGTTTTGTTTGGTTGGGAGCAAGACGCTATCGATTACTAATTATCGATTTATAGGATCTAGTGCTTTTGATATTTTGCGCTTGTATACCAAACTCAACTGGATGCACGAATAACCTAGAAATAATACTCTGTTGGATTAAAGGCTTTGATTTATAACTTTTGTTTTGTAATACAGTATAATGCGCTACAGTACTGTATAGTTTGATTCCACTTATTACTTTGAGGCTCATAGTCTAGCTTTGGTTCGCTTGAGACTATTTTAGTTTGAAGCACGGAGCCTTTGTATAAATGAACCTTTTCTATGGTCGATTAAATATGAGTGTACTGGAAATGATATTTTTTAAGATTTCTACAAGCATATGCAAATGCACACCAATGGTAATCATAGCTTTTCAATTATAGAAAATTAAAAATCGAATCAAATAAGCAATGTTTTTTTTTGGCTTTAAGTAACCTGGTGAGACACATTGTGATCCACCTCTTCGAGGTTTATTATATTACAATTACTCGAATGTTGATCAAAATATCCGATTTTTTCACTCTCAAAAAGCATAGAACCCTGAAATTCGGGAAGCTTGCACCACTTCAATAAGCTCTTTAAATGCCCAATAGCAAAAATACGAGTTGTTTCTAAAAGTACAATTTTTTTTTAGTTGAATACATAAACCAGACACTCCAAAAGGCATCAATTTGGAGTGTTCAAAAGTTAGAGATATTTTTTTTTAAAGAAAAGAGAATATTATTTAGCATAAGAGACATTATAGAATAGCTATATATCTATATATGCTCTACATAACAGAATATCAGCTTGTATAAACGTTTATATGAAGAAAGCCGTTCTATATTCTGACATTACAAGCATACGCTGGAAGCAAAGAGTGGAGTACAAATAAAGCCACAATCTTTTTTCCAAAAAAAGGCAATGACTTTGGCAGACACTCTTGAAATGGACGGCTGTGTAATATATGTCATGATATTTTATATTGCCCTTTAAGAGAAAAGAAAAATACATAGGATACTTTTTATGTGTTCCATTAAATAGCATACTTGAAGTCTTTGTTTCAGATTTATTAATTAAAATTATGATAGTAAATTGATGTAAAGAAGTAAAAAAGAAAAAAAAATGGGAAAATTTAAATTAATAAGGGCATTTTTTCTTTTTTTTTTGGGGGTTAAATACCTGTCTCCAAGGTGTATATGTGCAGTGTATACATCCCAGTCTTTCTTCACATATAGACGCACAAACCAGCTTGTCCACCGATATCTTGGCTGTACCATTATAAAATATAGAGTATAAGGTGGTTTGCTTTTTATGTCTTCTTGTAGACTGTGTATAGGCTCATTGGTAAATTAGAGCCTATGACTTCCTACAAACAAAAGTTTTTTCGTGACCTAGTACTACTGATCGGTGGTGCAGACAGCCTTTGTGTACCCGATAGTAAAAGAACCATAGCAGGGCCCATTTACAGGGACACTGTTATCCATATGGAGGTTGAAATACCGTTCAGTGTTCACTTACAGTTTCTGAGAGAGGATAGTATATTAATATGACCTTCACTGCGCCGTAATCACAACAAAAAAAAATTCTTTTTTAACGATGGCTTGAATCTTCTTTCAACATTCCCTCCATCCCGCCATCTTTGTCAAGGATCTTCATTCCTGTTGGGGATCGTCATTCATATAATATTGCAACTTAAAGTAGAGAAAAAATGTCGCAATATAAAAAGAGAGCACACTTCTTTAAAAAAAAATCGAAATACTCTT